ATTATATTATATATATCTTACGGTCAAAGCCCGGCCAATCCGCGCATTGGCCAATATCGCCTCCCGTAGGTCGGTCAAAGTCCGAAACTTTGCTCGATTTCGGCTTTTGGCCGGCCAATCCGCAGACTTGCCATGGTGGACCGGCCAAAGTCTTAATTCGAAGATCATCTGGCTAGGGACGACCGGCCAAAGTCCGAATTAGAAAATCATGAGCAGATTTTAGGTTTTTTAATGCCGTAAGGATCATGAAAGTCTTTATTGATTATTAATTAAAGTAAATGACAGATACATTCACATTTTTTATTGTACTATAGTCTCAATCAATCAATATTATCATTTGTTACAACAAGTTAAACTTTTATGGCATTTAAAATTACACAGCAGCTTGTTATTTTTACACTTGCAGCGATTTGTTGTGCACTTGGTTGTGCAATATCAGCGAGTGTAGCCTTGGCCCCCATTCAATGATTGTGAAGATGCGATGGTTCGTAGAGATTTTTCCTCAGTGCCAACTGACGACAGTAAGAGCAGTTTTTCGTGAAGAATTAAAAACTCACTTCTAGCATACAGTTGTTTTAGAACACCATATTCCGTTCCTAATTTGTAGAAACCGTCCTCGACGCTCATGACAACCGCAATCACGCTTCGGGGATCACCGCGACCTCTGTCAACATCTGGAACACGGATGCGTACATTGTCACCCACTTCAACATCTTTAAATTTTGTATTTGATGTTTTAAGTAACTATTTTATTGAGAGCCTCTCTTAGTAGATTTGAAGTGCTAAGTCCCACTTTAGCTTTGCATTTAAACAAGGCTTCGTATGGTGATTGTTGGATTCCTTGATGAAAAGAACGATTTTTCATAAATTGAATGAGACTCTCAGCCCAATGAGCTGATTCATTTGTTTGCATCCATGTCATCATCATGTTTTGAACATCTTGGTTGGCACGTTCGACTGAACCTTGGCTTTGGCTATGCCTTGGGTTGGAAAAATAAATTGAAAGGTTGAGGGGGGTGCAAATTGAAAGTTTGAGGGGGGGGGGGTGGTGTAAATTGAAATCGTGAGGGGGGGGGGGGGGGGGGGGGTTGCAAATCGAAAAGTTTGTCCCCGGGCGCCGGGAAGGGTCGCTGCGCCTCTGACTTAATGTCTGGTCATTTCCGTGTCTATAGAAACAGAAAAAAATCAAACAGGTATCGTCAGATTTAATTTAAAAAAAAAATAGAACAAAAACTGAAGAATATTTACTTATGTAAGTCCATCCAAACGTAAATAATGTGATGGTCACATAAGGTAAACCAATCATCTTTTAGCACCAAGTTACAGGCCTTTTAAATGTAGCGTCTTCTCTCTCTACATTTCAACGGATACAAATTTCTTTTCGTAATTTTAGACCTAGATCTAGTTATAAGATACAGGTGTTTACCCTACACGCAATGATGGAAGACACCCCCCCCCAGACCACTTGCCAGGTTGTGTAATAATATCTGGCCTTTGCTGTTACGGTGCATTGTTTTTGTAGCCTCTGATATATTTCTTTTGGGCTAACTTGCGTATCCGGTGTCAGCCTTCTAGCAGATGTAAAAATGGTGGTACGAGGTACGGGTAGATGAGGGGGTGGGGGTAGGGTGGAATCATGGTGTTGTTTTTTTAGCCTCGTGAAACAAAAAGACCCTATAAGAGTGAAGTCACCAAGGTACTTGCCTTAAGTAGGTTAGCTCTAGATACAAAATAGTCATTTAGTTTTCCTCCCATTTTTTTTATCTCTACAAAACAGGCTGCAAGTTTTGTTTTTATATAAAAAATTCTGTATGTCCGTCTGTCTGTTCGTTCGTGCATCCGTCAGTCTGTCCATCCGTTCCTCCGTTTGTCTGTCTTTCTTTCGGTCCGACTGTCCCTCCGTTCATCCTTCAGTCGATTTGAAGACGTGTGTGGATTGGTCTTATTAATTTAGACTAAAATCTAATGCAGTGATTTGATTTACACTATCCGATGATAACATATGAATATCTACTATTCAGGCAAATATTATACTAGCCACTACAATTATTTTTAAGACTGCAATATTCACCAAACATGCGAAGTTACTTCGTCAAAAAAAAAAAAACAAAAAAAAAAAAAAAAAAAAAAAAAAAACAACACAAAAAACAACATTGGTCACTTCCCGTACTCATGGGGTCACATCCAAAACACATGGGGTCACATCCCAAGCACATCCCAAATACATGGGGTCACATCCCAAACAAATGCGGTCACATCCCAAATACATGGGGTCACATCCCAAACACATGGAGTCACATCCCAAACACATGGGGTCACATCCCAAATACATGGGGTCACATCCCAAACACATGGGGTCACATCCCAAACAAATGCGGTCACATCCCAAATACATGGGGTCACATCCCAAATACATGGGGGCACATCCCAAACACACGGGGTCCCATAAAAACATGGGGTACATCCCAAACACATGGGGTCATATCACAAAAGGGGTCACATCCCAAACACATGGGGGTCACATCCCAAACACATGGGGTCACGTCCCAAACACATGGGGTCCCATAAAAACACATGGGGTCACATCCCAAACACACGGGATCACATCCCAAACACATGGGGTCACATCCCAAACACATGGGGTCACATCCCAAACACATGGGGTCACATCCCAAATACATGGGGTCACATCCCAAACACACGGGGTCCCATAAAAACATGGGGTACATCCCAAACACAAGGGGTCATATCACAAAAGGGGTCACATCCCAAACACATGGGGGTCACATCCCAAACACATGGGGGTCACATCCCAAACACATGGGGTCACATCCCAAACACATGGGGGTCACATCCCAAACACATGGGGGTCACATCCCAAACACATGGGGTCACATCCCAAACACATGGGGGTCACATCCCAAACACATGGGGGTCACATCCCAAACACATGGGGGTCACATACCATACACATAAGCTCACCGCCTGAGCAGGGGTTCCCGTCCACAATCGCCAGCACGAAGACTGGCTCTTTGAGCTGATCCTTTGTTGTTACAACGTTTTGATCGTGTAATTGGAACAGTAGGGTCTGCAGTGCTTTTTACTTGAATTGGGGGGTAGAAAACTGTGTACTAAGTCGCCCTTACCCCCCCCCCCCCCCTATTTGTTTTTACTTTTGTGAAATATAAGTACATGACTTCATACACACATACACTTACCCAGTGTTTCGTACAGACTTTTTTTTCTCCGTGGGGGCACTTGATATTCTGATGAAAGTATATGTTTTTCTATACAAATTCCATGTCGTTCAGGGGGGGGGGGTGCTGTAGACTTTCTTCGGGGGGGGGGGGGGGGGCTTACCAACTACAAACACACATATTGATCTTTAAGTAAACAGAAAAAAAAAATTGCCTACTATTTCAGACAGTGACAGGAGCTATCAAGATCAACTCGGATCAAAATATTTAGGCTGAAACAAAAGTACAAGTGACCCACAATATTTGACGTGATCAGATAGCAGTGTCTAAAGAAAACACAGCTGTGTTAAGTGGGTCTTGACGACTTAACGCGCATTAAAAAAATCTAAAAAAAAAAAACTTTAGGTTTCATTTTCTTTTAATGTTGTACCAGCAGTACACCCTGTGACGGCCTTGGGGCTCGTTCTAGATCTAGATACAAGACAATAAAATGTTCTTCAACGCCAAGGGCTGTCTAAAAACGAAAGCAATGTAAAACGTTCTGTGGACAGCTTAGATATAATAATTCTTATTGATCCAATGTGATTTTTTTTAAAAGTGCAGCGTCGCTTCATTCTTTTGTCGTTTGTGTACTCTTACACTTAGTACCTTAAGCCCTTGAGTTTTGTTTGTTTAGAAAACGACCGTTTGTGAAATAAAAAAAAAGTGTAATGTTGGTTTATTCTTAGTCGTTTATGTACTCTTAAAGTAACTTAAGCCCCTAATTTTTTAAAGAAAACGATCCGTTCGTGGAATTAAAAAAAATGTCTTAACTTATTTTGGTCAAAAGAAATTTTTCTAGACATAATATTTAAAAAAAAAAAAATCGCCTATATTTTAAAATGTTGGGTGGATTTTGTGTGTGGAATAGAAATCTAGTATTTATATTCCACAAGAGGCCTTTTTTTTTAGAGGCTTGAGAATGCCCTTATGTCTCGTCGATTTTTCAAAGGTACACACCGTGGTGTAAAAGCGACCAGGTGCATCCAGGTTGACCTGCATTTATTTATAGATTACACGGACCTAGAGTTAAACCGGAAGCCGGCCTAATCACTTCGATGTGCTCGCCATAATTTCCTTAGCAATGGCGGTTGTTAGGAACGCCGCGCAGCAGCCGATATACGGTTACCACGTCGCTTAATTCTACAAACTTTTTTTTATTCTCATGAAGCTGCCAGTGTCAATTGCCTTCACCCCAACTCTCTGGTGTCTGTAAAATAAAGGTGCTTAGTTTTAGTTGTCAACGTATGCTTTGTTTATATACTGTCTACTGCACGCTACTGCGGAATCCTCTTGACTCAAGGAGACCTTGAGTCTTTCGGAGTCTTTCCTCTTTACAGTCGATCTAACATCTAACTAAAACCATCTACTCCGTATCCTGAAGTAGTGAAGTAGATCTATGAGTCCAGAGTTATTTTTTTCATGAATCTCTCCGAGGGTGGGTGGTGGAGACATTAGCTCTCCATGGATCAGGTCCACCGCCCCACCCTGACAAAATATAAATATATCATAGGCCTATAAATTCCTATAAGGCCTACATTTGATAGAAAATAAATACTTTAAGCAGTGTCAGCTCCCCCGGAAGTTTTAAGTGCACCCCCTCCTCCCAGAACGTTTCAAATGCGAACCTCCCTACCCCTCACCCGGAGAAAGATGAAGGAAAACTTGATCACATTGTTTCTGTGACTCACTCACATCAAATTGTTTTAATATATTTTATCTCCAATGCCTGTCACATGACATTGTTTCTATTTTTACCTCCAGTGCCACCCATCTTGTGAACATCATTGACCAGAATGTCATGGAAGAGACACTGTTTTCTCTGCCAAGCTGGATCCTCTATGCCACCATCGCCGTTGTCAGTAAGTTCAGAACAGAACTTGTTGGTTTGCCGTACCCTCCATGTCAAGTGCCTAAGACCTATGGGGCAGATGAATTAGAGTTCATCTGCTTTAATGACCTCGACATACAGGGGGATAGTGTGGTCAGCACTATGCCCAGCCTCCTTTGTTTCCCTAACGTGAGTCAGGTACCCATAACAGCTGTGTGGACTTAGGGATGCTACTGGCTCAAGCCAAGAATCCGAACTAGAGAGTTTAGGGTTAGAAGTTAAAAGATCATTATGGTTAATAGTAATAGGAAAAAGTTCACTTAATTAGAATTATGAATAGTTATCAAGCCTGAACACAATCATTATTGTACATATATAATTATGTATACTTTCATTTTTTTAAAACTCAATTTTTATCAGTAGGCCTATTTCCTATTTTTAAAGACATTTGTTTTTGTAATTAAAATTAATCAGTAGTCCCGTTCAGTTGATCTACTGTAAACTCCTATTTTTTTGCATTATTTTTTTTAAATCATAAAAACGGCATTAAAAATCTACCATTAAATTTTTTTATGTATTAGAGATATGCAATAAAATAAATAAATTACTAAGCCTATATGAAATAGAAATTAAATAATTAAAATTCCGAAACAGCTTTCTTAATTAAATGTGAATGTTTAAAAATTTTAAACTGTGAAAATGACCAGACATTATTAACCGAGACCATCCATTTCTTTCAGCTCCGACGTCTCTAGCAGGAAGTAGATTGTTACCAGACCCCTCTGTTGCTCTTTTTATTGGGAGTTTAATTTCTTCAGCGGGTCTGTTGTGGACAGGACTAGAGAATGGCACAATGCAAATGATTTCCTTTGGGGTTATTACAGGTTGGTTGGATGGATCTAATTACTAATTACATTTTAAGTCTGAGTCTTTTGACCAAGATCAAATTTATCTGTAACTTAAAGCCTTACAGGGTACAGAGCAAGTCAGAGTAAGGCATAAAAATTTATTTCAATAATTAAGCCCTTAATCAGCATAAATGTACAAAGTTTGATCATTTAAAGTAATTTACTTTAAATTTACATTATCAATGATTAAAGCTCAACATGGAAATAACTTAGCAAATTTTAAGGAAGTTTAAAAAACCTATTATTAAGTACACCCTATAGTAAAGTTTCCCTTTCAAACCTGACGGTCTATGGGGCAAGTGAAGTAGAGTTCACTTGTTTCTGTGACCTCGGCATATAAAGAGATAGTGTGGTCAGCACTATGCCCTGCCGCCTTTACTTTCCCTAACGTGAGTTAGGTACCCATCAGAGTTGGGTGGAGTCGGGGACGGTCTACTGACTTGAACCCGGATTCGAACTCGAGACTTACGGGTTAGCATTCCAGCTCTCTACCGCTAGACCAAAGTACACCCTATGCCTACATGCAATTTCAAAAAAGAAAAAACATACTTGCAGAAATACTGTTGAGTGTTCTTATTTTTATAGAAGACATATTTTTTTAATTTAATTTATTGTAGAGTAATTACTTTCTTTTTCCTGTTGTTATTACATAATCTTCTTCCAGTATGTACCCAAGACACATGGGGCAGATGAAGTAGAGTTCATCTGATTTAATGACCTCGTGTATAAGGGAAAAATATGGTCAGCACTATGCCCAGATTCCTTTGTTTCCCTAACGTAAGTTAGGTACCCATCAGAGCCGGGTGGACTCAGGGACGTTTTAAAGATTTGAATCCAAATTCAAACTCCATTCTTACGGAGTAACCGTCTAGCTATCTACCACTAGGTCACGATGTCCCCTCCTGTTGTTATAGGTTAATAAAAATCTTTCCCACTGTAATATGTAAGAATTTTTGTTTTTTTTATTCATCAGGAGCTGGTCTGTCTTTTTCTTTACAAGCTTTATGTATGGCAATCTCCCCTTATTTCATCAGGTAAGGTACTTTCATGTAAGCCATTATAGTTTTCATGGTAAAAGTAAAGCCCATTAAATTTAACAAAAGTAGAGTGACCTCCCCTACAATTAAAAAAAACAGCCAAATAGATTAAACTTTGAACTTCTGAACTTTGAATACGTTCACACTGAATTTCTCACCAGGGATGGTTCCTGGGGCTCCGTGGTCACTCTGATGCTGAGCACAGTTCTCATGGTAGGCCTGTACCCCCTCATGGCATTCGCAACAAAGATGGCGTCCAACAATATCTTCCTGTACCTGTCCCCAGTGGTGGTCGTCAGTTCCCTGCCACCATTTCTCATGTTCTTGAGGTCACAGTGTTTGGAGACTGGTGATAAGAAAGGTAGGTACAGTTATACCTGTGCTAATAGATCATGCGCAAATTTTCTTCAGAATAGATGGCCATTGTTTTTACTTGTTCCCTTAACAAACATATCATTATACAATATTAACATAGATTACCATTCCTTATATTTTATTATATATAGTTTTTTAACAAGTTATTAAAAAAAAATCAAACAATTATTCATATATTTGTTTTAAAAAACAGCTATGAGAATTATTTTTTATTAAAGTAAAAAAAAGTGCCAGACAGTAGTGTCTAATTATGAATCAAACTTTTCTAAAAAAGCAAAACATTTTGAAAAAAAATGAATTCAAATCTGTTTTACAAAAATAATATTTTATAAACTATTTAAAACCTTATACAAGGCTACTCTAAAATCAAGATCAATATTTTCACTTTTCTAAACACAAATTCAATATTTCCCATTTTTTTTTCCTAAAGATAAGTATTTCCCACCATTCTAAAACCAAGTAAAATATTTCCCACCCCTCTAAAACCAAGTAAAATATTTCCAACCCCTCTAAAACCAAGTGAAATATTTCCCACCCCTCTAAAACCAAGTAAAATATTTCCCAATCTCTAAAACCAAGTAAAATATTTCCCACCCCTCTAAAACCAAGTAAAATATTTCCCACCCCTCTAAAACCAAGTAAAATATTTCCCACCCCTCTACAACCAAGTAAAATATTTCCCACCCCTCTATAACCAAGTGAAATATTTCCCACCCCTCTAAAACCAAGTAAAATATTTCCAACCCCTCTAAAACCAAGTGAAATATTTCCCACCCCTCTAAAACCAAGTAAAATATTTCCCAATCTCTAAAACCAAGTAAAATATTTCCAACCCCTCTAAAACCAAGTAAAATATTTCCAACCCCTCTAAAACCAAGTAAAATATTTCCCACCCCTTTAAAACCAAGTAAAATATTTTCCACCCCTCTAAAACCAAGTAAATTATTTCCCACCCCTATAAAACCAAGTAAAATATCTCCCACCCCTCTAAAACCAAGTAAAACATTTCCCACCCCTCTAAAACCAAGTAAAATATTTCCAACCTCTCTAAAACCAAGTAAAATATTTCCCACCCCTCTAAAACCAAGTAAAATATTTCCCACCCCTCTACAACCAAGTAAAATATTTCCCACCCCTCTATAACCAAGTGAAATATTTCCCACCCCTCTATAACCAAGTGAAATATTTCCAACCCCTCTAAAACCAAGTGAAATATTTCCCACCCCTCTAAAACCAAGTAAAATATCTCCCACCCCTCTAAAACCAAGTAAAACATTTCCCACCCCTCTAAAACCAAGTAAAATATTTCCCACCCCTTTAAAACCAAGTTAAATATTTCCCACCCCTCTAAAACCAAGTAAAATATTTCCCACCCCTCTAAAACCAAGTAAAATATTTCCCACCCCTCTCAAACCAAGTTAAATATTTCCCACCCCTCTATAACCAAGTAAAATATTTCCCACCCTTCTATAACCAGATACAGACGTGATGCAGGACTCAGACGATGAACTCCTAATACCAGACCTGGAGATGGCGTCAGACACCAAGGGACCAGTTGGTGACAATGTCTGTAAAGGTCTGAGGCATGGGTTTAAAATCTTCTGCTCGGAGGATGGCTGGGGAGCCTCCATTATCTCAGTTTTTGTTTGGCTGTCCTGGGGTGCAAGTGAGTAGACAAGAACTTAACAGTCTATGGAAACAGATTTTATTAACTATAAAATTAAAACAGGTCTATGTTTATTTAATATTGTTACTAATCTTCTTTAAATAGGTAAAATCCCTAGATTACACAACACAGTATTCGTCTGTGCTAATTAGTTTTAGACTATGTCACAATTATCATTTAGGTTATAATTTGCAATGTTTTTGATACCACCAAACAGTTCTAGAAAAAAGTTTCTTTACCAGGAATTAGCTGTTTCTTACTAAAGATTTTTTTCACTGGCTTAGATTTTAATAGTTAGGTAAACTCTCACCTCAGGGAGACAACCACAAAAACATAAGATCAATACTATTGATGCTAAATTACCTCCCTTGTCAAATCCTTGTAACAACTCACTTGAAAAAAAAACATTTTCCTCTTTCCCCTTATGAACAGTTTTTATTCTAAATATAACTTGCTGGGTTATTAAGACTGATATAAAAACTGTAAATACCAGCAAAGGGTTTCTAGATTTCTAATTTTAAAACAGTATTGTCCTGTACAAAAATGTCCTTACACTAACAGTCCTCTTCTCATTTACCCCCAGGTATTGACACAACCTGGCTGTTGCTGGGCTGGAGGTTCCAGTATTTTGAGACCACAACTGGGCTAGCTGCCTTACAGTTGTTTCTTTGTTTGGTGCTCTTGGCCTTCAAGATTGGCACGGAGATGACTCGCCAGGGCACGTCTCACAGCCAGCCCAATCTGGCCAGTAACTACATGCACCTCGGGCTTCTGGGTAAGTTATAATATTTATAAAAAAAAACTTTTAAAAATCTACACTGCATTTTTACTTGTACATGTTTTAAAATACTATAAAAAAATCCTCTAAACAAATTTTTTTATGAAACTAAAAATAAACTGACAAAGGAAAAAAAAAAAAATTAAATTTACATAGAATATATATATATAAATATATAGGCATACTTTAACAACTTTTTGCACCCCCCTCTTTTTCCTTGACCCAAATGTCTGAAAAAAACACTGATTAACTTTTATACAATGTGTTTTTAATTGACAAAATAGTAACAATAGATTAGTTAATCCCTCTATTATTTATCATGCCTTTTAAAGTCTTATTTTTAAAGGGCAAAATTTTTAAATTCTTACTTTGTGTAAGATCTTAAATAAAAACATTTTACCAGTTAAAAAAAATAACTGTATTTGATAAACTGAATCTTTTACATTGCAGGTGTAGGAGGGATAATTTTATACCTGTTCCCTGACCACAGCCACCCATTCCACAACCACCTCCTCTTCACTGTCGGCCTGGCCCTACAGTACGATGACCTCAGCGACCTGTACATGATCCCCAACAGCAGCCTGGCCCTCCCGACCAACCAGTTCCAACTGGTCAAGTATAAGATCACCTTACTGACCAAGGAGGGGGGCACCAAGTACAATCCAGTCTGGGGCATCTGTTGCCTGGTATGCCACATGCTGTCCCTCTTGTTGATGTCATGTTTGGCCATGATTCTTGGAGTGCAGCTGGCAAGTAAGTAACCAGTTTTTTTTTTATAGTTGTACATTGGTAAAAAAAAATACAAGCTAAATCTGGGTATAGTCCATGCTGAAATAGTGTGCTGAAAATTCGATACAGCCCATAGTATTAAAATGTTTTGTATTTGTTATTAAGTATAAAAATAGTGAATGTCTTGAAATTTATTTAATGTAACCTAAATTAAATGAAATATTAAGTTTAATCTTGTGTATTTGTTTATTTAATAAAAAAAATTATTTACCCATTACATTTTAAACATTTTAGTGAAATTTAAGTCTTTATTTTGATATTGTGGTAAACTTCTGTAAATTTTAATAAGAAACATTTTTGATTGGTGTAAATAAAAATTTGATAAAATTTGAATTATTCAAATTTTTAAATTTTTATTCACAGATATCATTGGATACTTGTCAACATTTTGTCCATTAACTTACTTATTCAGTCGTGAGTATTTCTCTTATAAAACAAATAAATTATAAATTGAATAATGTGAAATATTTATCTGTATATTTTGTTTATTTATACAATAAACCTTGTTCAAATCTGAAAAAAAAAATTAGAAAGAAAATAAAAATATGTATATTTATTTTTATTTTTAACTAAATAGAACCTGAAAAAAAATATTAGAAAGTGAATAATTAAAATATGTGTAGCTATTTTAATTTATACAGTTAAACTAAATAAAACCTGAAAAAAAAATAATTAGAAAATGAATAATTGAAATATGTGTAGCTATTTTAATTTATACAGTTAAACTAAATAAAACCTGAATTAACTCGACCTCTTTTTGACCAGGTGGTGGATTGCTGGTCATGTCACTTGCCGCCATTGTTGTTTCGTACATGCGGATTGACACGTGGCTTGGACGTAAACACCCATTGTATATTGTCTGACCGCATGCGTACAGATTTTGTTCCCAGTCCCAGATTTTCTTGCAATAAAACTCTTCTGTGCCCCGAGATATGTGCCTTTAGTGCCCATAGACAGTGTACTGTCAGACAGAAATTATTTACAAGCACACAGAAACGGCCAAGCTAAATTAGCTGTTTGTGATATCTATGCTGAATTTACGGACAATTCAGTGAAAAATTGCACATGACATACATTCCTTATTGTCATATTTCCATTTAAGATACATAATATTGTCATTGACTGTCTTATATTGTAAATTGAATGTACTTACCATACTTTTGTAAAAAAAAAACATTTTTACAATGCTTCGCAATAAATACAAAAAATTGTGCTTTATTGAAAAAAAATGCCAATATATTAAAATGTGTATTTCAGTGGCTGTTGTTTTGAGTGATTTCATGGAATTTAAACAGCAATACTTATTTATTTCTGGAGTATTGTAAAATTTTGTTTAAAAATCTATTAATTCACTTTTATTTTAAAGATAGTCAAACCTCCCAAATTTTTTTATTTTTTTATTGTTTCAAAAGTAGCTAGAGTTTAATAGACATGTATTAGCTATCTTCAACACATGTTTACTTTGTAATAAATTGTGAACCTGTTGTTTAAAATGTGTTACTCATTGTTGATGAAATTATTTCACCTAAAAGAAAGATAGTACTTTTTTTTCGATCAGTCCTAATGATGTCATAGGCTTGAGTTTGACCTGATCTCCTTCATCAGCCAATAATATCAGAGCCGGTCTAAAATTGAATAAACAATCGCTATGCTAGTACTCTACACTGAAATAAAGTTTACAGTAATACACAGTAATTATATATTAACTTAGTGAAGTAAAATGGTGTTAATTATTGGAAAATGGAGATGAAATACACAATGTTATCAAAAACATTTCAGTCCTATATAATTGATCTTTAATCAACTTTGAATTGATATGTAGATAAAGGGATGTATATAAAATAAATAATAAATACATAAAAATTGTTCTCCACTTTTAAAATATTTTTATATGTTGTTTGTGGATTAGCATCATATGCATACATTATTATTTCCACAAAAGCATAAAGGTTATGGTTAAAAAAGGATTATTACTCTACTTTCTTGTAGGTTATATGTTTGATAGATCTTATATTATTTATTTAAATAAATCGTTACCGCTGGACTTATTTTGTATTTATTTCTATTCAGGTAAAACAGTATTTAATTTACAACCTTGGATATAATTCATAGATAGAATAATAGAGAGAGATGAGTATTATATATTTAGCATAATGAATATATTGATGCATATAATGTGAAAGATTTTATAAAGATGAATTAAGTTTTATTCATGAAGTGCTTTATAAACTTGATTTGATGTTTTAAATTGAGTATTGAAAATAGTTTTATTTCATGATGATTACTCACTTAAAATGATATTAATATTTTGAATTGAAGAATCTCAAATTATAGTAAACTGTTTAAAAAGTATTATTATATAGCTAATACGGCTTATGATATATAGATTAGTGATGAATATGTAATTGATTTACACTTTAGGTAAGAAATATAAATTAAATGTGTTAGACCTAAATTGTAATGTATATTGTTTGTTTATGTTTTAGAGGTGCTTGCTGTTGTTGCTTAGTTTAATGAAAAACATTTTTTTTTTTAAACATTAGGTTTTTATTAGCTTCTAAATCCTGTACCTGTTAATTGGATAGTATAAAATAATAGTTTTTAAGAAACTTATTTTTTTACTTTCAAAAGGCAGGCAGAGGTTTTGAAATTTATATTACACAAATTTTAATTAGGTCTGCAATTATGTAATAATATATTTTAAATCATCTTTTAAAACAAATTTCTATGATAGATATATTGTATAGGTTATAATATTTTCATTTTGTATAGCTATTTATTTGTATGAAATATTTTCACTGACTTGAAAACAAGTGAAGTGTGATTTATTGTTGAATGTTTTGCAATAAGATGTACATTTGAAAAGCAAAATTTCTACTCAATACAAATAAAACTACATGTTTATGCATTCTTTACGCTAGCTAGCAATAGTACAAATAATTCTTACTATTGGTGGGATTTCTTGTCTGTATTGTTTAAAGCAATATATAGAATATATAGTTTTATAGGTCATGAACATTGTAGATTTATGCTTCAGTTTATGAATTAATTTTACATATTTAAAAAAAAAAAAACCTGACTTTGTTTCAAGAGTCAAAAATGTAATTTATAATGACCTCACACTTTTTACGAAAGTTGTGTGAATTGTTTTATAAATTTTTATTTTTTTAAAAAGTTGTGTGAGTCATGTTATAAAGCAGACATCATAATGAACACAGCCAAAAAGCAAACTGTTCAATCAAGGATTAGATAAGGATAGATCAGGATTAGACAAATAAATACTTTATGTAATCATCTCATTATTTTGTAAAACAATAATGCAATTATATGTCGTCTAGCATTAAACCATGCTCATGAAAATAAAGCCTATAAAACAAGCAATCAGGTGTGTCCCATTTTAAAATACTTAATTAAATTCAAATGTTTTGTTTTTAATTTTGACAATACCATGCATTGTAAGCAATCATTTTTGAAGCAAATTAGTTCATGTATGCTCAACAAATTAACTAATATATTATTATATTAGTTTTACGTTCTTTTTTTTCACCACTGGAACAATTTAAATTTTATTTCCATCAAATTAGATTGAAAAATCTACTTTATTTTAGGATTTTAAAAAAAAAATCTTATCTTTTTGAAAGATAGCTTTTAGCTGATGACCTGTTACCCCTTAAAGTTTACATAGTAACTTTATTTCCTCGCTAATCAATAGGATATGTAAAAAATAAACATGGAAACATTTTTGGGAAATTTTGGTTTTAGTGTAAGTATATCTGTAGGTAAATTGATAGAATCACTTATAAATAATATTCAGCATGTTATCAAGTTTTATATGACAAATTTCGAATTCATGAACAAAAGTAATTTATAAAATTTGGTATTGTATAAAATATTTTAATGACGGATTAATGCTTTACAATATTTTTTTTGGGAGCACACTTGGTAATGCATTAAAATGACAAGCAAGGATAAGATAGATATGCATTTAAAAAACTGCAGATTGGCCTATATTTAAATTGCTTCATTTTTTGCTTTTTAAATTTAATTTTAAAATCATCTTCATTGCAGGACTACTAGACTTAATGTGTCTTATTATGTATCGATTTGAAAATTAAACCTGTATCAATGATAAATAATTGTTCCAATATTTTTTAAATAAAAAGAATGGTTGTGTTATGAATTTAAATTGTTTTTTTTTTTTGTCCACCAAAATATAATGGTAAATAAATAAATTAATGGGGAAATAAGTACCTCGGTTACAGAACAAACAACAAGATTACAGGCATTTTGTTTGATTTATAGCTTTTCGGAAGTGTAGTGCAACAGACAGATAATAATTATTTATATTTATTGACAAAAACATATCATTCAATTCATCGTGACATTAAATTTCTTCAAAGTGACATTCAATTCTTCAACATGACATTTAATTTCTTCAGCATGACATTTAGCACCTTGACATAACATTCGACTTTTTCAACATTTTATTCAACATCTCACTTTAAAAAAAATTGACAGTTTTATATCACACTGAATTGCTAATGAGTCTTGACCTACATGCCAAGTTTAACGCAAATCGGTTCGGTAGATGAGAGGGGGGGGGGGGGGGGGGCGGGGCGGACACTAGTAAAAGTATATGTCGGTAGACTTTTAGACTTTCTTCGGGGGGGGGGAGGGTTCAGAATACTAACCTGCGAAGAACTGAAGCCAACTGGGATGTCTTAAGGAGATAGCAAAACTAATAGCCGGGGATCGGGCGAAATGGAAGGATATAGTAGAGGCCCTATATTGCATAAGAAGACTAAGTGAAGTCAAGAAGAGGGTGAAACTCCATTCGCAAGTTTCCATCCATGACCTACGAAGAGGAAGCAAGTTAAATATAATCTTGTTTAAAAAAAATCCACAACACATGAAAGATATTAGGAATTTTGTTTAATGTTTGACAATCAAATTTACGGAATAATTAAAACTACTTATACTCTTAAGGATCAGCTACAAACATCGCTTCTGTACTTTACACACACTTGCATGAAGTTGTATTTACAAGGTACATTCAATGTGACAAAGTTGTAATCAATAAACATGTGTGCTCATATAAAAATATAATAAAATACTGAAACACATGACATGCTGAAATATCATTGTGATAAATGGTCCAACAGATTCAACACCAAATCAAATAGAAAAATAAATAATAAAACTCAGAATAAGAGTTATTTAAAAAAAAAAACAACAATGCATAATAAATCGAAGAATTATGCTCTGTTGATTGTTTTTATGTGAAAATAAAAAAAAAATACATTTCTACTTCGACAATAATATATTTTAAAAATTCGGGCCTCTTGTTTGTGTAATACTGATGAAAAATGATCAACATGAAATTAGGGAACTATGGGTAAGACAGTCCCCATGTCTTACTTGTGTGTGGGACAACTGTCTTCAGCATTATCAGACAGCAGTCTGAGAAAAAATGGGGAAGCTATAAAGGGTCTTAAAATGGCCTCTCTGTCTAGTGAAATGTTGTGAAAGTTAAACATGCTGGCCAGAGACTGCGTTTAATCTTTGGCCACATTCTGTTGTTGACCGTGGCCATTTCTAAGTCACTGCTGGGCCATCTTTTAAAGCCTTAAATTCTCTGTGGCCACTTATTTATAAACTAATGATCCATGCTTGGTCAGCCATATTTAAGGAATCATACGGTCAGTTTATTATTATTTTTTTATGCTTTGTAGGAGGTCGGTAAGAATAAACGGTCCTACTTAATTGACTTATATATAAAAGAACAACAAGACATTTAAGGCACTTAAGAAACTAATTTAAGTTTTGTTTCGTTTTCAGCTCGTAGTTTTGTCGAGCACTTGAATCTTACGAAACTAAAGTATCATGATTGTCATTTTATGAGAACTGAGATTGAGTCACTAGCGAGCTCTGGACTGCCGAATGAAACCATAACGTTGAAAAAATGTTCCGTTTTGGGTAAACATCAGCATGGTTTATTTTAAAGCACACACACGTTTCTCTGGAATTTAAGAAACTATGCTTCGAGGCACATTATTTTTTAAATGTAGTAGCTCGCTTTACAGTTGTTGTTTTAGCCTTACCCGCGGGTAGGATCCCCCCTTCTTGCACAGAGCAGATGATAGGGGGCAGCAGATTCCTGGTTGTGTTGGAGTTTAAATTAGATGAGGTGGCAGCGCCCCCTGGCGTAACAGCTCGGACGGAGCTTCTAGCCTGGGGTTCAAGCCGAGCACCCGGGAAATTTGGCTGAGATCTTTGAGCCTGGTGGGTGTTTGTCTTGGGCTGGGCCTTCACGGGGGAGGTTCCCCTAACAGGCTCCAGAGACTGGCTGTTTATATTTGAAACGTTTCGGTTCGATTTGGGCCCCATACTTTTCCCCACCATTTTTCCAGGACCGACGAAATCGTTTTCGGGCTGGGGTCGCTGTGTGAACAGGCGATCATCAACGACAGTTCGGGATCGCGTTATAGGGGGTTTCGTTTCCGGCGGTTCCCGTGCGGTGAGCGCCTGGTTCCCCCGGAGGATCTCCTTGATTTCCCGGACGTCGTCCCTCATCTGCTCGTTCTGCCGCTTCATGTCCCGCATCTCATCGTAGTTGTGCTTCATCACCTGACGGAACGACATATAATTGGAAAACTGTTTGATAAAATACCAGCCTCTCATGTTATGTACATTTTCTACTGCGGCAGTTGTCATAAACTGACACATATATTTCACACAAAAATGATATAAAAGAAACGCTGTTTTTGAGTAAAGTGCAAGTTCACCTATATCCTTATGTAAATTCTCTTCTTATTTATCTCCGCGTCCTTCGTCTCCTACATGCCTCTATCTTTGTTTACATTTTTCATACCCCCCCACTTACCTACCCCTAGTACGTCACTTACCTCTCTCATCCTCTCAACCTCATGGCGCATGGACTTGGTAGCCTTATCCAGGTCCTCTCTGAGTTTAGCCTGTGCTGCCTCTCTACCTCACCACCTCACCACCTCACTACCTCACTACCTCACCACCTCACTACCTAACTACCTCACCACCTCACCACCTCACCCCCTAACTACCTCACTACCTCACCACCTCACTACCTCACTACCTCACCACCTCACTACCTCACTACCTCACTACCTCACCCCCTCACCCCCTCACCACCTCACTACCTCACTACCTCACTACCTCACTACCTCACTACCTCTCTACCTCACTACCTCACCCCCTCACTACCTCACTACCTCACCACCTCACCCCCTCACTACCTCACTACCTCACTACCTCACCACCTCACCTCTCACCACCTCACCACTCATCACCTCACTACCTCACCACTTCAACACCTCACTACCTCACCACTTACCTCTCTCATCCTCTCAACCTCATGTCGCATGGACTTGGTAGCCTTATCCAGGTCCTCTCTAAGTTTAGCCTGTGCTGCCTCTCCACCTCACCACCTCACCACTCACCACCTCACCACTAACCACCTCATCACTCATCACCTCACCACCTCACAACTCACCCATCACCACCTCACCACCTCACCACTCACCCATCACCACCTCACCACCTCACCACTCACCATTCACCACTCACCCACTCAACACCTCATTACCTACCTCTCTCATCCTCTCAACCTCATGTCGCATGGACTTGGTTGCCTTATCCAGGTCCTCTCTGAGTTTAGCCTGTGCTGCCTGTCTTTCTGTGTCCATGCTCTTGAGCAGGGCGCTCTGTTGATCTATCACCTAATCAGACACAATAGACATTAAATACAATCCTAATTTATGCCAATCACCCTAAGCCTACCCTAACAACGCCTCTGATGTGATCACCTTCCTCTCCCCACACCAAAAAAAAAACCGCCCTTTACCTGACTGACCTTCATCATCCTACCCTAACAACGCCACTGGTCCACCTACATCACCCCACCCCAACAACACCTTGACCTGACCCACCTTCAACACCTCACCCTAACATCGCCCCTGATCCACCTACATCACCCCACCCCAACAACACCTTGACCTGACCCACCTTCAACACCTCACCCTAACATCGCCCCTGACCCACCTACATCACCCCACCCCAACAACACCTTGACCTGACCCATCTACATCACCCCACCCCAACAACACCTTGACCTGACCCATCTACATCACCCCACCCCAACAACACCTTGACCTGACCCATCTACATCACCCCACCCCAACAACACCTTGACCTGACCCACCTACATCACCCCACCCCAACAACACCTTGACCTGAGCCACCTTCAACACCTCACCCTAACAACGCCCCTGACCCACATCACCCCACCCCAACAACACCTTGACCTGAGCCACCTTCAACACCTCACCCTAACAACGCCCTGACCCACCTACATCACCCCACCCCAACAACACCTTGACCTGACCCACCTACATCACCCCACCCCAACAACACCTTGACCTGACCCACCTACATCACCCCACCCCAACAACACCTTGACCTGACCCACCTACATCACCCCACCCCAACAACACCTTGACCTGACCCACCTACATCACCCCACCCCAACAACACCTTGACCTGACCCACCTACATCACCCCACCCCAACAACACCTTGACCTGACCCACCTACATCACCTCACCCCAACAACACCTTGACCTGACCCACCTTCATCACCCCACCCCAACAACACCTTGACCTGACCCACTTACATCACCTCACCCCAATAACGCCCCTGGCCCACCTACATCACCCCACCCCAACAACGCCCTTGACCTGACCCACCTTCATGGCCCGCTCTAGCTCCATCTCCATGGTAACGACCTTGTCCTTGAGCATATCCATCTCCTCATTAAGCTGAACGATCTCCTCGTTCTGCTTCTGGTACATGGGATCAGCCGCCAACTTTGTCTTCTGCTGGCGAACTTTTGTCACCTTATGCAAAAGACAAATGTTTACCCCTTCAGTATAGGCCTGTGTTTTATTGACTTAAGTTACTAAATTATTATACTGATTTAGAATAATTTTTGGATTCCAATTATACACGGAGTATTATATTCAATTTTTTTCTCAGAAACATGCGAATATTTATAGTATTGTTCTAATACTAAAACCAAATTCTAACCATTGCGTTTATAGACCACAAAGTTATTTACTTAATACTGTTTTTGACAACAAAGTTAAACCTAATAAAATAAGGGACATAACTTCGTTTTTAGCTTCATCGTGTCAGAGGAGTTACAATCTACAGGTCGTTAAGTCTCAAAGTCAAAGGATTTACTTAAATATTTAAGCGCTGCCGGTCAAATCTTCATCACACAGAGACAGAATCACGAAAAGAATTGCCCTAAGTCTGAAAACTCTTGTGAAAATGAACAGCTTGTACCTCAGCATATCAGACTAGAGATTACAACACCTAAACCAAGATATCAACACACAAAATAACACCTGTCTTTGAATTTTCTGCGCGAACTCCCGTGTTTCTTTCACCGCCTTCCTGAGCGCCTCGATCTCCTGATGCTTCATGGCGATGATCCTGTCCTTCTCCACCCCCGCGCGGCTCAGCTTGTGGATCTGCTCATCTCGGCTGCTAACCGACTCTCTCAGCTCCTCTATCTTCTGCTCCTTCTCGTCCAGCTCCTTCTCTTTTTTCTCTAGCAGCACAGCCCGGTCGCTGCAGTAGTTTCTCTCGTCGATGCGGATTTTGTCCCTGAGGACTTCGATCTGTCGGTTGAGTATCATGTTCATCTCTCTGGTGGGGGGATAGAAAAACATTAAACACTGTTGTGGCTTAACGTGGTAAGGTCACAGTAAATAATATACATTGTTATAACTGCTGAGCTCTCTATATGTGTACCACAGTTATGCAGTGAGAGGGTACAACTACCTGATCCACTACCATCTTTCCATATCACTACCATTTGATTATGTTTAGCTATGCTACAGTATATCTTGAGACACGACGACATCAACGCTTACGAAGGATTTGACAGAACGACATCGATTACTAACTCTATTTATTGCACAATAAGAAATGGACATCGGACAGCTTGGATAAACGATACTACAACTAGACAACCTAACCCTAACATAACACGGACAAGACTAACTTCAATCTTCTTCCCTGGCAACAACGAACTCACACTAAAACGTCACTTTCTTGCGTACAGCGTCACACACTCACTCGTTCAATATACGGCCGCACCATCAATCATGCGCACCCATTGCCCTAGTCAAACATGCATCATAACATTACCCCCCTCTCCCTTTAAGCTAATCACATTAGCTTTATTTATTACTTCAATAATACAACATTCTGTTTTACCTAACAATAGCAACTATGGTAGCTTTCACACATAGACCTTAAAGGCTAAACAATTTTAACTAATTCTTGAAGTTCCAGTTCAGTTCATGTCTCCGTGCGCACAAACATATTTTGACGATTCTGCAAAGTATACATCTCAGATCACCAGTTGGGTACACATCCTACAATCATACTTCACGTAAGGCCAGGATTCCACACAATGTCGACCCAAACATCACCTTAGTTGTACTGAAAAGAAATTATTTCTAACGGAAAACAACATGTCACTACTACTCGGTTATCATAATCTAACATAGTCTCTCTAACCTAATGTATTAGACTTAATCTAATGTAGTACCTCTTCTGTTAATTACGATACATTATTTATACAACAAATCACATTTCACGTGTTAATTTAGTGCTAAGTAATTAAGTAGCCACGTCAAATTTCATAAATCACTTTATCACCTGCATATATTCATCTCCTGTTACAATGACATGTACCAATAATAATTCTTAACATCTTCAGTAACCAAATACGATATCACATAGAGGAATATTTTCCCTAGAACCCTTAAATCCATGTCCAGGTACTCGGTACATCCTCGAGCTACCCACACAAAAAAAAAATCTGACTGCATCCTCAGTCTTGAAATCAACTAACTACCGATGAAGCAACCGACCAACGAACTATACCCCTGCTGGCCGGGTGACGACACCAAATTATCATTAAACAACATTATCCTAATCTACTGGGTTCCTTACGCTAAGAAAACAAACCTCATAGGATAACATATCATCACATATAATACATTGAAAATCATATCATTATAATAAATCAAATCCAGATCATAGTGGCATCATCTTGTCAACAACATAACACCGCCCTCAAACCGGCGTGTCTACATTAACTATAACAATATCAATTATCACTAATACTGATCTCTTACTTATCATACAACAACCCTCATTAGCATAACACAGCAATGGGCTCACAATACTCACAGCCTCTGCTTAATCACTACAGTTTTTGGTTCCACTAAGACGTAATAGAGAAAAAAAAAATTCATGTACATGCCTACTACTTAAAAAATATATGAAGAGGTACTACTTATCTAGTTTGTAGAACTTGGGTATCATCGTCGGCTTCATCACACAACACACACTTCCCACACAGGTCCCCTTGTCCTTCACAACACAGGTCCTCTCAGCACGGTCTTCACGTCAGGGTCCTCACAACACGGTCATCACATGTTCTCCCCACACGGTTCTTCATGGCACGGGTCCTCACAGGGTACGTGTCTTCATAGAACTGGTCTTCATACATATGTCTTCAAACACGGGTCTTCTTAGCACGGGTCTTCACACACGAGTCTTATTAGCACGGGTCTTCACACACGAGTCTTCAACATGGGTTTTCACACACGATTTTCACAATAACAGTTCATATATCACAGAGACATAGTCCGTACGAAAATTATGTCGATGGAACTTGACTGATTAGACACTGATAGCGTTTTCTGACTAGATTCTAGATGTTATTTCCGTCGACTAGCTTCTAAGTGCTTTTAAGTTACTTCGCCTTGCAATACTACTTCATGCTGTTATACTGCTTGAGCTGTCTTCATTCTGTTATAGCTGCTTCGTGTTACTATAGCTGTTTCACGTTAATACTGCTCCACCATGTTATAACTGCTGTGTTCTATATATGTGTACCACAGTTATGCAGTGAGAGGGTACAACTACCTGATCCACTACCATCTTTCCATATCACTACCATTTGATTATGTTTAGCTATGCTACAGTATATCTTGAGACACGACGACATCAACGCTTACGAAGGATTTGACAGAACGACATCGATTACTAACTCTATTTATTGCACAATAAGAAATGGACATCGGACAGCTTGGATAAACGATACTACAACTAGACAACCTAACTCTAACATAACACGGACAAGACTAACTTCAATCTTCTTCCCTGGCAACAACGAACTCACACTAAAACGTCACTTTCTTGCGTACAGCGTCACATACTCACTCGTTCAATATACGGCCGCACCATCAATCATGCGCACCCATTGCCCTAGTCAAACATGCATCATAACATACATGTTCAGTGAGTATCACTCAGTACGGTAACTGACAATCCCCCCCCCCCAGCCCCTCGATCTCCAAAAAAATTGTATTTTCGGTTTGGTGTTTATGGAAAAAGCTTGACACCAAAACGGAAATACAAAATAGTATGGAAGAAGCTTCTATTTTACTACTTTAACTGGGTAAAACATTTATTTGACCGTACATCCGACACTTTTTTTTTTTCGATTTGGTGTCACCTGTGCGGACCGCACCCCACCCCTTCTCCGCCTTGTGACATTAGTGCATCCAGCTACGATCTGTATTTAAGACGTAGGGCCATGGCCAACAACATACAATATAATGTTGTATTTTACTTGGTAAATAGGGTCATACAACACAAAACACGATGTTGTATTTACGTGGTAAAAAATAACTTTAAAACTTATGAGGTCAAATATTCTATTTAGTAAAATATGCCTAACTGGACGTACCACCTCTCCCCTTTACCATAACAAATCTGCTAATTTGATCAAGATTTACAGCTAACCTCAGTTTCAGAATAACGTTTCTTTATAATAATTAATTAAAACTTTAAAAATAACGACGTAATTTTCAGCAGCGGTTTTCAAATTTAAATCAACAAATTGAAAAAAAATTATAATAATAAGCTTTCAAATGCATTGATAACAGTAAAAAGATGTGATCGCTAAAATATGTAAGAGATCTCATAAGCGTCCAATGCTTTTATCAACGAAAGAAAGTTTATTTCATTTTCTTTTTTTCTCACCCACTGGACGCCGTTCATGAAATCACGTGGTACAAATCCACTCACCTGACGTCGCCCATAAAGTCACGTGATACAACCCACCCACCTGACGTCCATAAAGTCACGTGGTACAACCCACCCACCTGACGTCCATAAAGTCACGTGGTACAACCCACCTGACGCCGTCCATAAAGTCACGTGGTACAACCCACCTACCTGACGCCGTCCATAAAGTCACGTGATACAACCCACCTAACGCCGTCCATAAAATCACGTGGTACAACCCACCTGACGCCGTCCATAAAATCACGTGGTACAACCCACCTGACGCCGTCCATAAAGTCACGTGGTACAACCCACCTACCTGACGCCGTCCATAAAATCACGTGGTACAACCCACCTAACGCCGTCCATAAAATCACGTGGTACAACCCACCTGACGCCGTCCATAAAATCACGTGGTACAACCCACCTGACGCCGTCCATAAAATCACGTGGTACAACCCACCTGACGCCGTCCATAAAGTCACGTGATACAACCCACCCACCTGACGCCAACCATAAAGTCACGTGGTACAACCCACCCAACAGACACCCATAAAGTGACATGGTACAACCCATCCACCTGCCGCCGCCCAAAATGTCACGTGGTACCCACCTGACGCCATCCAGAACGGTGTAGTCGTCACTCTTCTGATCCTCGTCCTCCGACATGGAGCTCCTAGATGTCAGCGACATGGCCACGTCGTCAGAGCTAGCAGTCGAACCGTTGGGGGTTGGGGACAGGCCACGCCCTGTGACTCTCAGGTTATCCTAGTCACACAAAACACGGGAACATTTATTTACAACACACAGAACTACATCTAATTTCAACACAAGAACATTTATTTTCAACACACAGAACTACATCTAATTTCAACACAAGAACATTTATTTTCAACACACAAAACTACATCTAATTTTAACACAAGAACATTTATTTTCAACACACAGAACTACATCTAATTCCAACACAAGTACATTTATTTTCAACACACAGAACTACATCTAATTCCAACACAAGTACATTTATTTTCAACACACAGAACTAAATCTAATTTTAACAAAAATTTTCAACACACAGAACTACATCTAATTTCAACACAAGAACATTTATTTTCAACACACAGAACTACATCTAATTTTAACAAAAATTTTCAACACACAGAACTACATCTAATTTCAACACAAGAACATTTATTTTCAACACACAGAACTACATATAATTTCAACACATCAACATTTATTTCCGACACACATTACTAGATCTAATTTCAATAGAACATTTATTTCCCACATATATTAAGTAAAAAAAAAGTAAAGAATCCTCTTTAGGCCTAGCGATGCAACGGACTGCTGAAGTAGAGTCACTGTGTTTTTTTTACCTCGGCATATGAAGGGAAGGTGTGGTCAACACTTTGCCCAGCCGCCTTTACTTTTCCTAACCTGAGTTAGGTACCTATCAGAGCTAGGTGGAATCATGTACGTTCTACTGACTTGGACCCCGATACGAACTCTAGACTTTCGGGTTAGCAGTCTAGCGCTCTACCGCTTAGGCCAAGCCGTCCCACCGACATACAATATTGGACCTAATTTTACTTTTCACTCCTTCAAATCATCGGTACCTTTATTTTTTCTTAAATAAATTTAATTAATTAATCACAGACTAAAACGTATATTATGGTAAGTTAATAACTAATTAAAAAATACAATTTACATAAACATTGTTGACCACACTATTAAAGGACTTTAATGATAAGCTCTTTAAATGATGCCAAAACTAATATATTTTCTTCAACTGACTGCTTAAACCAATGCTGGGTACTGAGTACTGCTCGCTAAATCAATTATACAATCTAACCAGTTAATTGTTACAGTTATTATATGTTTGTAATAAACTAAGGTTCCAGGTTCTACATGATCAATTTCTGTCGTTACAATAGTTGTTTGTTGCGGCAGTGAGGTGTATTATGTGATCAACTCCGTAGTCATGATCAATTTCTGTCGTTACAATAATTGTTTTTTTCGGATGTGAGGTGTATTATGTGATCAACTTACTGGAACATGTAGCTCCCTGCCTGGCATCATGTGGGGTCAGCTTGTCCACTGGAACCAAAACACATTTAAATACATGAGTTTACCAACATGCGACATGGAATCAAGATGAGATACAGATTAAATACATGGGTTTAACAATACGCGATCTGGAATCAAGCTGTTATATGGATTAAATACCTAACACACGACACGGTACGACTCAAGATGAGATATGGATTAAATACATGAGTTAAACAAGCTCTTCACGGTACCAAATCAAGCTAAAATATGGATTAGTGCCTTTTGCGCATTCGTCTCAAACCAGGAAGTAAACTTTTATCTCTGTTTATTGTGTTAAATTCAGTGGGTTTTTGGGAGATAATTTTAGGTCAACGAACTGTCTTCACGAAGACATAATGTCTCAGTTTAATCTATGTCAACAAGTTGTCTTCACGAAGACATGCGGTCTCAGTTTAATCTATGTCAACAAACTGTCTTCTTGAAGACCGAAGTCTGAGTATAATTTATGTCAACATACTGTCGTCATGAAAACAGGAAGTCTAAGTATAATCTGTGAACATACTGTCATTATAAAGACTTCTAAAAACAGTAACGCTAGAAACCAATATCTAAACAAAAAAAAACCGAACTGCAAGGATACAATATTGTATTGATGATGTTTGAATGTGACTCGAATTATCTTTCACTATTCATTATGTTTAATCCTTATGAATCATCTAAAGGTAGTATAGACGTAGGCCTACGTCTGTGGGATTTATATTTGAATAAAAATTGTTTAAAAAATTCATTTGAATCTTTTCTTTTTGTAGCCGAGCTTCACAATCGAGCATGTATATTCTGCATGCTATTAATTTTAAATGTCGGAATAGGTAAATCAGCTTTAGATCACTTTTTATTATTCAAGGCCCGTTACTCGTAAGGCAGCAAAAAAAAAAAAAAAATCTATTGAGAATGAAACAGAAATCGACCTGTAATTTAAACTTGTTTCGTAATTATTTTCTAAGTTTTGAAAGCCACCTGATACACTGGCATACTATCTGAGACGGATACAAAGACATATCCTGGAGATAAGCTTTATGCGTCATTTAATATCTACAAACTAGAGCCGTATAGTGATCCGGGCGTTGAGTCCGATTTTACAATTAAATCCCCGAGCGACGTCACATTTTACGACGGAGACATTTTTTTATTGTCACTTTCGTTGGCCAGAGACAAAGGTACTCGAGGGAGATTTCCATATTTCGACCATAACCCACCCCACAAAGTTTTTTTTTAGTGCCGAAAAAAGAAAGAACGTTTGGAAGTCGAATGTTCATTGTGTGTGTACCGTTGGGCGATCGATTGTAATATTGGTTCCTAGTTACAGAGTGTCTCCTGATATTGGCTGGTTACGTAAAAAACAAACAATTGTCATAAGTGATTTTTGTGTGTGCTATTTATAAACATTCAAATGTCATGTGGACTATATAGGTAGCGAGAGGCTAAATAGGTGGCGAGGGGGTTACATAGGTAGCAAATGGCTACATAGGTAGAGAGGCTACATGGGTAGAGAGAAATTAGATGGCCGTACCGTCTTTAAATGTACCAGTAAAGTCACCAGCAACACCATTAAAATCGCCAGCAAACCCTGACACCATTAAAACCACCAGCAAACACAGACACCATTAAAACCACCAGCAAACACAGACACCATTAAAACCACCAGCAAACACAGACACCATTAAAACCACCAGCAAACACAGACACCATTAAAAACCACCAGCAAACACAGACACCATTAAAACCACCAGCAAACCCTGACACCATTAAAACCACCAGCAAACACAGACACCATTAAAACCACCAGCAAACACAGACACCATTAAAAACCACCAGCAAACCCTGACACCATTAAAACCACCAACAACACCCAAACAACTTTGGCGTCGCTAATAACAACCCGACACCATCAGTCATCAACAACATCATGACACCATTAAAGACACCAACAACATCATGACACCATTAAAGACACCAACAACATCATGACACAATTAAAGTCACCAACAACAATCTAACACCACTGAAGTCACGAACAACATCCTGACACCATAAGTCACCAACATCGTCATGACACCATTTAGTCACCAGCAACACAAAGACACCATTTAAGTCACCAACAACACCCTGACCATTAAAGACACCAACAACACCCTGACCATTACAGTCACCAGCAACACCCTGACACGATTATAGTCACCAACAACACCTTGCCACCATTTAAGTCCCCAACAACACCCTTACACCATAAACGTCACCAACACTACCTGGACACCATAAGTGTCATCATTAACACCCTGATTTACAAATAGCACACATACATCATTATGTTTTCCGGGAACCTGAGTTTGAAATTGTTCTCAGATACTACAAGTTCAAACTGTCTTTAGATTAGGACATCCAGGTTTAAACTGTCTTTAGAACCTACAGGTTCAAACCGTCTTTAGAACCTGCAGGTTTAAACCGCCCTTACAACATATAGGTTTATACAGGCATAATAACACTGCCAGTGTATATCAGCGTAGCGCCAAGACTTATCAACCAGCCGTCTAGTTCGCCCCGTAGAGACGAAGTATGCGGTTGGTGTATGGGGTAGATTGTTAAGTATATTGACACTTGAGACAAATCTTTTATGTTGTTCAAACAGATAGTCATACATAACACGTACGGCAAGGCCTGGCTTTGACATAATAATAATATGACGTTTAGAATTATCTAAGATTTGTATGAACCAAAGGCGGAAGTTAGTTTTAGCATATCTGGTAGATAGGCCTACATCTAATTTAAAAAGACAAGTTTTTATACCAAATGAATCGTTATGTTGTAACGATTTCAATAGCAGGTATTGAGATCTTTTTGTATTTGTGGTTTTAACAAGAAAATTCCGTTAACAACTCACGTAATAAAAAGCAAATTAAGAAAATGTATTTGAAAATGCAGAACCACAGAGTTCAGATATAAAATTGTGTGGTTGTGGAGTAATTTGACGTGGTGTTGGTGATTAGTAGGTTGATGATTTGTCAAATTAAGTGTTTCCGTAGTTTCATTTTAGATGTGTTTCCTGGAGTATTGTAAACAGTAGTTCGGGTTACGATCTGTGATTCGATTTACGAACCATGTTAGCTTTGTGAGCGGCTCGTTTGTCGAACAAAAATGAGATGTTTGTTGTGATCTTGTTTACATCGCGTGTCTTTTTCACGTTGTAATCATTGTATACACATTATATGCTTAAGAGTTCTTTCTGTGTGTAATGTGTTGTAATGTATGGTGTGTTTAAAAGTGTGGTGCATTATGATGTGTAACATATTGTAATGTGTTATGTGTAACATGTTGTAATGTGTTTTGTTTTGTTTTTAACGTATGATGTGCTGTAATACATCATGTCTAAATGTGTGGTGAGTTGTAATATGTGGTGTTGTAATATGTGGTGTTATAATATGTGGTGTTATAATATGTGGTGTTATAATATGTGGTGCTGTAATATGTGGTATAATAAATGTGGTGTTATTAACATAATATGTAGTGTTATAATAGGTAGTGTTATAATATGTGGTGTTATGATATTTTGTGTTATAATATGTGGTGTTATGATATGGAGTGTTATAATATGTGGTGCTGAAATATGTGGTGCTGTAATATGTGGTGCTGTAATATGTGGTGTTATAATATGGGGTGTTATAATATGGGGTGTTATAATATGAGGTGTTATAATATGTGGTGCTGTAATATGTGGTTTAATAAAATGTGGTGTTATAATATGGGGTGTTATAATATGGGGTGTTATAATATGAGGTGTTATAATATGAGGTGTTATAATATGTGGTGTTATAATATGGGGTGTTATAATATGTGGTGATATAATATGTGGTGTTATAACATGGGGGGGGGCTATAATATGTGGTGTTATAATATGGGGTGTTATAATATGTGGTGTTATAATATGAGGTGTTATAATATGTGGTGCTGTAATATGTGGTGTAATAAAATGTGGTGTTATTAACATAATATGTAGTGTTATAATAGGTGGTGTTATAATATGTGGCGTTATGATATTTTGTGTTATAATATGTGGTGTTATAATATTTTGTGTTATAATATGTGGTGTTATGATATGGAGTGTTATAATATGTGGTGCTGAAATATGTGGTGCTGTAATATGTGGTGTTATAATATGGGGTGTTATAATATGGGGTGTTATAATATGGGGTGTTATAATATGAGGTGTTATAATATGAGGTGTTATAATATGTGGTGTTATAATATGGGGTGTTATAATATGTGGTGATATAATATGTGGTGTTATAACATGGGGTGTTATAATATGTGGTGTTATAATATGGGGTGTTATAATATGTGGTGTTATAATATGGGGTGTTATAATATGGGGTGCTATAATATGTGGTGTTATAATATGGGGTGTTATAATATGGGGTGTTGTAATATGTGGTGTTATAATATGGGGTGTTGGTATGCCTGGTTTGTTGTAATGTGTGTTGTATTTTCCGTGTTTTATTTTGTGTTGTGTGTTGTAAAGTTCGTGATATTGTTTGTTAGATTATAATATTCGTGCTGTCTAATATTCGTATTCTAACCAAATCCTAACTCTAACTGCATGTAACGTTTACAAAAATGAACCTCTCTTAATTTTCTAAAACCCTAGAAACCTCTTGATAACCCGTAACTGAAGCTTTTAGAATGAAGACTGGTAACAAAATTTCGTTAATTAATCTAATCCTGTTCATCCTCTCATCCTTAATCCTAAACCCAACAACAACACATCTTAAAGGTGAACTCTATTCAAAGTTCCCCTTCCAAACCTGACAGTCTATGGGTCATGCTCACCCTGTTTCTGTGACCTCGGCATATGAAGGGATAGTGTTGTCAGCACTATGCTCAGCCAGCTCTACCTTGGCTAACTTGAGTTAGGTACCCATCAGAGCTGGGTAGACTAAGGGACGTTCTACTGACTTATCGGTTAGCAGTCTAGCTCTCTAGCTCTCTACCGCTAGGCTACTCCGTCCATAAACTCTTTGTGCGGTGCAGTTTTTATTAAAAACAAAACAAAACAACAACAGCACTTGTTTGAACGTTGTGTACTGCCCTCCCCCCCAGCCAACAGCGTGAAATCAATGTGTCTAATGAACGTGTTATGACGTAATCAAGATAATCCAATACGACAGGTGGCGCTCGAATGTAGTTGCTAACGTAAAGGGAGGTAAATTAAATACATTAAAAAAAAATTTCAATCCATACCATTAGTGGTACAATTATTAATTACCCAAAATAACAATCGTTGGGTGTTGTAAGTAAATAACGAACTTCTCCATGAACTGAAACACCTTCACCAACACATACTATTTAAAACAAAACATTTCAAAATCCAGCAACATGTATTAAGCTTAACACTGAACCTACCCTAGTAAACACAACTCTAGTCTTAAACCAAAACATGATATTAAAACTATGGGTTGTATCAAATACTTATTCACTTTGGAGTTTGTATACTCAGCCCACCACGCACGCCGAGAAAAAAAAATCCCTTGAATCATCATTTAATTACACATTTGCATTTTCAGTTTCAGGTTGGTTTTTAATTTTTATTTTTTCTTTATATTTAGACGTTTTGTATTAGATCTACGTATAAGTAAACCATCTTAAATGCATGAAAGCAGGCTACAAGTAAGAAAGAAATATTACTATTGTAAATCTGTATCAGTCCTCACAAGCCGATGATGAAAACTGTAATACTAAAGCGAACACACAACTGACGCTATAAATTACGTGTCTGAGGCGAAAAAAAAAGATGGAAAAAAAGAAAGAAAAAAAAAAGTATAACATTTTTATACAAGTAGATAGAAAACTGCTCACCTCCTACATAGTAAAGACTTGAATAAAAAAAAAATGAAAGCTAATTTCCCTGCTAAAGGTTAATCTGCTTGAAACACCGGTTCCTCAGTAAAAACACATCCAGTGACATGAAAACTCCATACACTAGCAATATGCGGTGCCTAACATACAAGGACAAGAAAAAATCACCCCGATTTCCCCCCAAAATAATTATAAAAAAAAAAAATTCCCGTCAAAGGGAGATCACCCTGCACGATTCAATAAGGGAGACAAAAAACACATTGGAACGCCAGACAGTTGAACTGTTTAACGGGGGGAACAGTAGGTTGCAGTCTGTCACCGGCTGTTTAAAAAAAAACGTATTAAATCACTTCACGGATTTGGAGGAAGATCGATATAGAATATTGATTGGTTATAAGGCTTAAGAAAAGATCTGCTTAATCGATCGGGTTGTGCTACTTTGTAAAAATTTCACGCAAAATAATCGAATAGAATATTAATATGTGTATTTCTTGCGATAGAACTTTAACATTTAAATTGAAAGGATAGGTGTGGGAATAGCTAAGTCTATGTTTTAGACTGACTTGAAAACATGGGATTTTAACTGATCGTGTTACAGAAATCGGATTTTACACATTAATGTAAATTTAATATTAGATAAAATATATCACAACATAAATGAAACATGTTGAAAACTTAACTTTATTATGTTTTTATTGGGTGTTTTGTGGGTGCTAATTGACAGGTTGGGGGGGGGGGGGGGGTTAGGATATTAAAAAATCACCTTTGTAAAAATAAATCGATTTAGGGAAACAAACAAAGAGGTATCGTGGTTCCGAGTCAAAAGTAGGTTAAAGGTCTGAGTTCTCTAGATTAGATAGGACGTCATTGACGTCATAGGACGTCCTGTTAAGTAGCAGACGTCCCTATAATTTGTCCCGGCTTGCAAAATTAAGAGCGTATTTACATTTGATATGTGATATGTGCACAATTAGGTGATTTGTTCTTTGTTTGTCACTCAATCTTACATGGTTCGAATCCGTTAAAGAGGACGGCTTGGTCGGACCGGAGAGCTCATAGCTGCTAACTCCAAAAGTCTCGAGCTTGAACTCCGGGCAGATGAGGCTCTATAGCTGGGGATAGCAACCAGTATAGAAGAGAAAGCTCAAAAATCAAAACAACTGCGGCTTTGCAGATTGTTCTTATATGGAAAAATAAAGAAAGGCAGGCTGAAACTAGAGTTGAAGGCAATCACCTCCAAAATTACAATTCAAAAGATGATGAAGAAAAAAGAGGTATCGTTTAGTATTTGAACAATTAAATTTATCTACAATAAAGACTTATAGTTTGACTCAGAAGCGAGAATATGGTTTGAATCCGTTTTTGTCTGAATGATTGGATTTACTTCAATAATTTAGCACCTTCAAGTAAATACATTTACCCATTAAAAAGCATAATGAAATACTTGTGGTTCAGTCAAACAAAGAATAAAAAAATGTAACGCTACGGTGACCGTGTTGTGTAGCTGGTTTGTTTCAGATTCCTTAGACCCGGGTTCAAGATTTGCTGGAAGAAGTTTGTGATCAATACACAGGTATATCGGGAGGTAACGGGGACAATCTTGACAGAGATTGATCTATAATCTATACGCAGGTCAATAAGTCATTGAATTCAGGTTACATTAACGCCACGCGCGAGTCGGTCAGTTGTTAATGTAAAGAGTTTTTGATTGGTGGTTACTTGCGTATATTCTATTTATAGTAATGCTAAAAAGCCTCTATAAATAAGTTCGGGTTTTTTATTAAAAAAGTATTTCAATCATTATGAGTAGATTGTTAAGATGTTTATTGAATATTTACAGAGATATGCATTTTTTTTCTGATATGATATTAGTACTACTACACAGTTGGTGTGTTATTGAAAATGTCTAAATCGACAGAGTGCGCTGTTATCGATAATGAGACGTCAGGTATAACTAACGACGGTCAGACGGAGCTAGGCTTATAACGGATTCATACAAAGATACAAATACACTAACATACACAACAAACCGCGCTGGTAAAATAAATGAAGTATAAGCAAAAGAAAGAATGAGAGTTATGTAAAACATTTCCCTTTGCGGGTCATCCGTAAATGCCGTCACGCTTTTTGGACGATTTTTACCTCCCCCCCCCTCGTCACAAAAAGCCAGACCCCCCCCCCTAAAATGACGTCACAACTCAGCCTACAACCCCCCTCAAAATCGTGTCTGAACTCTGTCAAAATATAGTATTTTAATCAATTCCTATTACAATTTATTAAAACAATCTTCAAAAACGCGAAATAACTTCTAAAATTCGTTTTCTAACATTGCTTTTTTTATAATGCAAAAGTGTGACGTCGCACCATCCGAACCCCCCCTCCCCCTCATCACACACCGTCACAAAATTACGGACCCCCCCATTCCTCATAGAGTGTGACGTCATTTATAGACGACCCTTTGAGTGAATATGACATTAACTTGGTCATGTCCTGATAGTATACGTCCGTTTGTTTCAGTGACCTCGTACAATCAAGGGAACTTTGATGAGGAAATGCTGAGCTGATTTTACATTTCCTCACTGGAAGCGGTTAGCTATCCGAGCTGGGCGGATTTTCTTGTATCAGACCTTGGTGGATTCGGCACTGCCCTAGTACACTGGCTTATATAAGAGCTGGGTGTTTTGTCTTATATCAGAGTTGGGTGGATTCAGTACAGCCCGACTACACCATTTTATATAAGAGCTGAGTGTAGCCTAACTTATATGTTGCGGCCGTAATAAAGTATTATATTTTTAACAGAGTTAAAAATTAGCTCAGTAATAAGCCTTAGACATATAAACGTGAACTTGGAAATAAAGAAAGTAAAGAAAATAACTTCAACCTAACCAGATCGCATATTAACCTCTTGAGGAGAAACCACATTGTCAGGAAATGGCCCGCGGTCCAGCTGAAACAATAACATGCACACACAAACACGGTTTATAAATATGTGAATTTTATTACCTTGTTTCGCTCTGATTAGAAAAAAACCTGTCATCCGTATTTGAATTCCATAAAAATTTTTGGTTTCAAAACAAGAAAAAAAAATGTTTTATCTCATATCTGTAGCATACTCTATTAAATTGTGGTAACCAGTAACACAGAACTAAACCCACACGTCTGTTTAAAACGATTTGAGGTCTCTATCAGAAACCCAGAAGTGTGTTGCCAACATATCACACGACACGACACAGATTAACTTTTGTACACGGCACAATAGGCAGGCACCGCTAGAGGGGAGACATATCACCCCACGGGGAATCTATAAAACCAATCGAGACGCGAGAGATCGAAGACGAGACTTTGGCCCCATATCGGAAACAGGGAAAGATTTCTTTTAGGTGCGCACAAGACGCGAACAGTTGACTTGCGAGGTAAGAAGGTAACACACATTTTATTTATTTATTTTGTGAGTGATAGTTTGTAGTATTTACAGAAGTTCCTACATACATGTATGTTTTGAATTTCTTTAAATTTACACCAGCAGCGTATTATGTATTTGTTGATACTTTTTCTTACGCCAAGACTATCACTTAAAACATACAAGCATTCTGCGAAGTCTATAAAGCTTATTGATTAATACAGTTATTGATTAAACATTTATTTGTTATCAGGGTTTAGCTACATATTAATATAAAAACAATAACCCATTACAAGGTACTTTAAAAACCCAGTGAACAAGCAAACCTACTGTTAATAAATCGCCTATAACAAAACAGGGGATTTATATTTCACCTGCGTGCGTTCACTAATCTATAAGAAGTTTTTTTTAGGGATCTTATCAATCGTAAACACCGTATGACCCGATTTGTTATGATCTTTGATATCTAAGGTCCTAAGCTCAAAACACAAATTGGGGAGACGTAACTCCGAACAATTGGGTTTATCTTTTAGGGTTATTAGAAAGGGATAAAGTATCCCAGTTGTCGCCCTTTACCCTCCGTGACGTCACTGGATTTATTGTTAAATCCGATCGTCGGAAACCCCAAGGTCTATTCTGGTATTATGACGTAAGGGTTGGGGTTTGGGGAGGGGGGGGGGGGGGTTGGGGGGGATATTAGACAAGTCTTTATTTTGTTAAATAAGGTCTTGTGACACTTCCTGCCTTAGAGTGCGTTTAACAAGTAGTAAATGTTCCGAAAAGTTACCGTCTAAAAATAGATTACAAAAATGTAATCGTTGCATTGAGTTTATAAAAAAAAAATCTTTCTGTGTAACTATTACGTCAAGTACAATGAGAACAGATAGCCATAAACATGTCAAGGTTAAGTGGGAACTGTTCTGACAGGCAAGAAAACTGCGTCTTAAGGCTAAATCGATAAAGTAGTCAAGTCAAGGCACAATATATTTGTAGCAGGTACAGACTTAGATGTACATACAGTTGTACCGGGTACACACATACATGCACATACAGTTGTACCGGGTACACACATACATGCACATACAGTTGTACCCAGTGGCGTAGGCAGGGGGGGGGTTAGGGGGGTCATAACCCCCCATAGACCCCTCGGTATATAAATATAAAAAGTATGAGGGGGGGGGTGCAAATCGAAAGTTTGAGGGGGGGGGGTGCAAATCGAAAGTTTGAGGGGGGGGGGGGTGCAAATCGAAAGTTTGAGGGGAGGGGGGTGCAAATCGAAAGTTAAAGGGGGGGGGGGGGTGCAAATCGAAAGTTTGTCCCCGGGTAAAAATTGGAACCTCCCCCCCCCCCCCTTGAGACGATCCTGGCTACGCCACTGGTTGTACCGTTTACATACAGTTATATCAGGTACAGACTTACAACGACATACAGTAGGAAGACCTAGGCACTGTTACAGTTCTTCTTACACATCTAGATGTACTAAAATAACCCTACAGGAGCATATATCTTTACCGGGTACAGTTTTATACTGAGGCATACACTTTTTACCAGGTACAGTTTTATACTAAGCCATACACTTTTTACCGGGTACAGTTTTATACTAAGCCATACACTTTTTACCGGGTACAGTTTTATACTAAGCCATACACTTTTTTACCGGGAAAAACCCTACATTTTCCGTTTAATTTGGTAGATTTCGAAGATTTGTACATTCAAGGAGATTGTTTGGTCAGCACTTTGCCCAGTCGCCTTTGTTTTCCCCTTACGTGCAGCAAGGTACCCCTCAGAATTGGGTGGACTCATGGACGTTCCTCTGACTTGAACCCGGATTCGAACTCAAGACTTTGGGTTACGAGTCTAGCGCTCTACCGCTAGGCCTCACCGTCCCACAATCCTTTTAGACACACAATGGCATTCCGAATAAGGAGGAGGTGGGGGGGGGGGGGGTTTAATAATTCTAGTATTAAACAGAACAGAACGTCACACTTTCGTTTTTGTTCGAGAAACACTGCTAGCCTCACAGTGTCTATTACTGGAACCAATGTAGTGGCGTATATACTTTATTAAACGTGATCTCAGGACAAATGCAACCCATGGACAAAATATCTCAGGACAACAATTACCATGGATCTAAAGTATCATACAACACCTAGCCTTATGTATATATATATATATATATATATATATATATATATATATATATATATATATATATATATATATATATATATATATATATATATATATATATTGAACACCCCCCACCATTCCCAAGATAACTTCATAGCTAGACCAATGCATGATTGTAAAGATATAATGAAAATTCAAATATGCATTGATCTTATCGGGTGCCGTCACGTGATTCTATTGATCTCTTCAAGTGATTGGCACCCCACTACCAACCTACCAGACATTCGTAGATAGTAGGATCTTTGTTGACTGGAAGAATTTTTTTCAGACAGCCTTTCTGTTGGGAGATTTCTAGATATGTTTTTAGACAGGTTTTTCCATTTGTATTAAAATACGTTTTGTATAGGTATGACAAATTGTTTGATCAATACACGTTGTAATTACTGTAATCCTCCAAATGGTACAGGCTGGTACGTCTGTGTGGTAGATTTATAATGAACAATATGTGACGGCAAGGAGAGTTATAAACGTTAACATGTCTGGAAAGTCAAGAAATTCAAAGGTATATAAGTTGAACTGTTGTTATATAATTAACAAAAACAAAAACAAAGTAAAGAAAAATAAGGAGTACTTTTTTTTTACCTTTTTTGTTTGTTTATTAAAAAAACGTTAGTATCAGCACTTAATAATATTCAGTCTTGAGTAGGCTTTTGGGATTCTCCTACCTTAAACTTAACGTGTTAATTAAGTGGGGTACAATTCATGCTGGTTTAACCCAAACCCAAAGTTAAAACGGTTTCTTTTTTAAAACGTAACAAGTAAATTAAGTAGCACGCAACGAATTATGATCTAGTCTAAACCCAAAGTTTGAGTAGTTCCCGTTTTTGTACGCCTAAAATATAACTTGGTCCAACTCCCCAGCCGGCGGATATAAAGATACATGGTACAAAGTTGGTCAACACCATCACAACCACCACTACCAACAACAACAACAGCTACGTGATCAACGATGATGATAGAGATAGTGTTGGTAGTCAACCACACACACCATCAAGCGACACCGTGGAGCAGGTAATGTTGTTTTGTTTGAAGGAATGGTTGGTTCATGTCTTCAGTAGGGTGGGTTTTTGTCTTCAGTAGGGTGGGTTTTTGTCTTCAGTAAAGTCAGTTCTGTGGTGTAATGGTTGGTTCACGTCTTCAGTAGGGTGGGTTTTTGTCTTCAGTAGGGTGAGTTTTTGTCTTCAGTAGGGTGAGTTTTGTGGTGTGATCGTTGGTTAATGTCTTCATGAGGGGGAGTTTTGTGGTTAATATCTTCAGTAGGGTGAGGTTTTGTCTTCAGTAGGGTGAGTTTTGTGGTTCATGTCTTCAGTAGGGTGAGTTTTGTGGTTAATATCTTCAGTAGGGTGAGTTTTGTGGTTAATATCTTCAGTAGGGTGTTTTGTTTTCAGTACAGTCAGTTTTGTGGTGTAATGGTTGGTTCATGTTTTCAGTGGGGTGCATTTTGTAGTTTCATGATTGGTTATTGCCTTCAATGCAGTCAGTGATGTGATGGTTGGTTATTGTCTTTAATGCAGCCTGTTTTGTGGTTGCTGTCTTCGATAGAGCCAGCTTTGTGTTGTGCTGAGGTTTTACTTTCAGCGATGGTTATTGACTAGGTCTACTAAAAATGTTAATCTATTTCGTTGTCAAAAAATATCCTCCCTCCACGTCTCGTGTGTGTGTGTAGTGTGTGTGTGTGTGGGGTGGTGGTTGCAGTGCTAGTGTCCGCATGTAGTTTACTCAACTCTTAAAAGTACCTGACGCGTCGGCCGTAGAAATAACCAAAATGTATATGCAATACCGCAGTCACGAGAAAACAGGTACATTGGACGTAATCTATTCCACATAGATCTATTTTGCCTTATTCCTTTGCTGCCCCTAGTGCAGCAAACAGCTGCAGCTAAATCCCTCAACAGAAATCTGTTTTGTACATATCTCTCTCTCTCTCTCTCTCTCTTTCTCTCTCTCTCTCTCTCTCTCTCTCTTGGAGCCCACGTAAGCCCAGAAGCCTTTGCTACTCTTTCCACAGTCTTTCTCCAAGATTGCTCTGGTCGGATTATTTTTTTCTTCCACATATTGTCAGGACTAAGAAATCTACTTTAACCGCCCCCCCCCCCCCCCCTCCACCCCCCCCCCCTCCCCAGGTGATGAGCATCAACCGACGTCTGGTGACCCAGATCGAGACGCTGAGGTTGAAGGTGGAGGTGGACACCAACAACCACGAGCGGTCCAAGAACACCCTCATCAACAGCACCAACAGCGAGCTCCAGGTCAGGCAGGCGGAGATTGACGAACTCAAGACGGATCTGGCGGAGAGGGAGGAGAGTGCCAAGGTAGGGGAGGGGGTGGCTTGGTAGGCTAGCTCCAAGGTGGGGGAGGGGAAGACAGGGTTGGTTAGTCCGAGATGGAGGGGGGGTGAGTGGACCTAGCTCCAAGTTGGGGGGGGGGGGTAAGTGGACTTAATGGGCTAGCTCCAAGGTGGGGGGAGGGGTGGAGAAACTTGGTTGGTTAGTCCGAGGTGGGGGTGGAGTGAGTGGACTTGGTAGGCTAGCTCCAAGGTGGGGGGGGGGGGGGAAGACAGGGTTGGTTAGTACGAGGTGTGGGAGGGGTGGTAGAAACTGGGTTGGTTAGTCCAAGGTGGGGGGGGGGGACTTGGTTGTGTCTAATGTGGACTGTAGGGGGGTGGAGAAACTTGGTTGGTTAGTCCAAGGTGGGGGGGGGGGGAATGGGTTGGTTAGGTTCAGGGTAGAGGGGGATTTTATAATTGCTTAGATCTAAAATGGGGGGGGGGGGCTTGGTTAGCTTGGTCCAAGGTGGGGGGGGGGGGGGACACGCTTTGTTGGTTAGGCACAAGATAGGGGCGGAACTTCTTTGGTTAGGTCCGGGTCAGGGGGTTGGTCAGGTCCAGGGGATCTTGATTGATTTTTATGTATCTAAATTTCTGATAATAAACGACACAGCTCGGGGCTTAGGGGAAGCTGAGTGTTGTGATAGATTGGTACGGAAGGGTTACACATTTTAAAGTCTTGTATTCAGTGCTAGTTACCAAAGTCTCCTACAAGAGTTTGTCTTATATACAACCTTTGTATTCATATTAAAGTTTTTGTAACGTTAAAACATAAAATAATCATAAGAATCAAAAACATGAGTGATTTGTTTTCATACGAAATTGCTTGTTGCGTTGGTTTTAAAATTGTTCAAATGTGCGTCCCGATGGTGCAGAAACTGGTGGAGGAGAACGCCAAGAAAGATATTGAGATACAGAACCTGCAGCAGCAGTTGGACGAGCTGAAGGAGGATGTTGCGGTGTCCAAGGAATACGCTCAGGAGATTCAGAGTGAGACATTTGTGTGTGTTTGTGTATGTGTGTGTGTATAATGTGTATGTGTGTGTGTTTGTGTGATGCGTGTGTATGTGTGTGTTTGTGTTCCTGTGTATGTTTGTGTGTTGTGTGTATGTGTTTGTGTGTGTATGGGAGGTGTGACTGCAAAATTGTGATTTAGCGCACTTACATTAAATTCTCAGTTCTGCTAGCTAGAACTCACATTGTTCTTCAAAATCCAGCCATTAAATGACTTCAATCGTTCTTGTTATTTGAGTTTTCACAATGGAAGTATTCTGGGTGTTGCTGTGTTTTTATGTATGAGAGATTATATATTTGAAATGAATAGCATCTTCCATGTTATTGATTGATTGATTTATCGATCTCTCCCTTAGGGCAACTGGACCAGCTGACCTTAGATAAAACGGAACTGGAATGTGGGACAGTGTACAGGGAGAAAGATGAGCACATAAACAGACTACAGAAGGAGGTGAGTAGTTGGTTGACTTAGTCTACAGACGGAGGTGAGTAGTTGGTTGACTTAGTCTAAAGACGGTGGTGAGTAGTTGGTTGACTTAGTCTAAAGACGGAGGTGAGTAGTTGGTTGACTTAGTCTACAGACGGTGGTGAGTAGTTGGTAGACTTAGTCTAAAGACGGTGGTGAGTAGTTGGTGGACTTAGTCTACAGACGGTGGTGAGTAGTTGGTTGACTTAGTCTACAGACGGAGGTGAGTAGTTGGTTGACTTAGTCTACAGACGGAGGTGAGTAGTTGGTTGACTTAGTCTACAGACGGAGGTGAGTAGTTGGTTGACTTAGTCTACAGACGGTGGTGAGTAGTTGGTGGACTTAGTCTACAGACGGAGGTGAGTAGTTGGTTGACTTAGTCTACAGACGGTGGTGAGTAGTTGGTTGACTTAGTCTAAAGACGGAGGTGAGTAGTTGGTGGACTTAGTCTAAAGACGGTGGTGAGTAGTTGGTGGACTTAGTCTAAAGACGGAGGTGAGTAGATGGTTGACTTAGTCTACAGACGGTGGTGAGTAGTTGGTTGACTTAGTCTACAGACGGTGGTGAGTAGTTGGTGGACTTAGTCTACAGACGGTGGTGAGTAGTTGGTTGACTTAGTCTACAGACGGAGGTGAGTAGTTGGTTGACTTATTCTACAGACGGTGGTGAGTAGTTGGTGGACTTAGTCTACAGACGGAGGTGAGTAGTTGGTGGACTTAGTCTACAGACGGAGGTGAGTAGTTGGTTGACTTAGTCTACAGACGGTGGTGAGTAGTTGGTTGACTTAGTCTACAGACGGTGGTGAGTAGATGGTGGACTTAGTCTACAGACGGTGGTGAGTAGATGGTGGACTTAGTCTACAGACGGTGGTGAGTAGTTGGTTGACTTAGTCTACAGACGGTGGTGAGTAGATGGTGGACTTAGTCTACAGACGGTGGTGAGTAGTTGGTTGACTTAGTCTACAGACGGTGGTGAGTAGGTGGTTGACTTAGTCTACAGACGGTGGTGAGTAGATGGTGGACTTAGTCTACAGACGGTGGTGAGTAGTTGGTTGACTTAGTCTACAGACGGAGGTGAGTAGATGGTGGACTTAGTCTACAGACGGTGGTGAGTAGGTGGTTGACTTAGTCTACAGACGGTGGTGAGTAGGTGGTTGACTTAGTCTACAGACGGTGGTGAGTAGATGGTGGACTTAGTCTACAGACGGTGGTGAGTAGGTGGTTGACTTAGTCTACAGACGGTGGTGAGTAGATGGTTGACTTAGTCTACAGACGGTGGTGAGTAGATGGTGGACTTAGTCTACAGACGGTGGTGAGTAGGTGGTTGACTTAGTCTACAGACGGTGGTGAGTAGGTGGTTGACTTAGTCTACAGACGGTGGTGAGTAGGTGGTTGACTTAGTCTACAGACGGTGGTGAGTAGGTGGTTGACTTAGTCTACAGACGGTGGTGAGTAGGTGGTTGACTTAGTCTACAGACGGTGGTGAGTAGGTGGTTGACTTAGTCTACAGACGGTGGTGAGTAGGTGGTTGACTTAGTCTAAAGACGGAGGTGAGTAGGTGGTGGACTTAGTCTAAAGACGGAGGTGAGTAGGTGGTTGACTTAGTCTACAGACGGAGGTGAGTAGATGGTTGACTTAGTCTACAGACGGAGGTGAGTAGATGGTTGACTTAGTCTACAGACGGAGGTGAGTAGGTGGTTGACTTAGTCTACAGACGGAGGTGAATAGATGGTTGACTTAGTCTACAGACGAAGGTGAGTAGTTGGTTGACTTAGTCTACAGACGGAGGTGAGTAGGTGGTTGACTTAGTCTAAAGACGGAGGTGAGTAGGTGGTTGACTTAGTCTAAAGACGGAGGTGAGTAGTTGGTTGACTTAGTCTAAAGACGGAGGTGAGTAGTTGGTTGACTTAGTCTACAGACGGAGGTGAGTAGATGGTTGACTTAGTCTACAGACGGAGGTGAGTAGGTGGTGGACTTAGTCTAAAGACGGTGGTGAGTAGTTGGTTGACTTAGTCTACAGACGGAGGTGAGTAGGTGGTGGACTTAGTCTAAAGACGGAGGTGAGTAGGTGGTTGACTTAGTCTACAGACGGAGGTGAGTAGGTGGTTGACTTAGTCTAAAGACGGAGGTGAGTAGTTGGTTGACTTAGTCTAAAGACGGAGGTGAGTAGTTGGTTGACTTAGTCTAAAGACGGAGGTGAGTAGATGGTTGACTTAGTCTACAGACGGTGGTGAGTAGTTGGTTGACTTAGTCTAAAGACGGAGGTGAGTAGTTGGTTGACTTAGTCTAAAGACGGAGGTGTGTAGATGGTTGACTTAGTCTACAGACGGTGGTGAGTAGTTGGTTGACTTAGTCTACAGACGGTGGTGAGTAGTTGGTTGACTTAGTCTACAGACGGAGGTGAGTAGTTGGTTGACTTAGTCTACAGACGGAGGTGAGTAGATGGTTGACTTAGTCTAAAGACGGTGGTGAGTAGTTGGTTGACTTAGTCTACAGACGGAGGTGAGTAGTTGGTTGACTTATTCTACAGACGGTGGTGAGTAGTTGGTTGACTTAGTCTAAAGACGGAGGTGAGTAGTTGGTTGACTTAGTCTACAGACGGAGGTGAGTAGGTGGTGGACTTAGTCTAAAGACGGAGGTGAGTAGTTGGTTGACTTAGTCTACAGACGGAGGTGAGTAGTTGGTTGACTTAGTCTAAAGACGGAGGTGAGTAGGTGGTTGACTTAGTCTACAGACGGAGGTGAGTAGTTGGTTGACTTAGTCTAAAGACGGAGGTGAGTAGGTGGTGGACTTAGTCTACAGACGGAGGTGAGTAGTTGGTTGACTTAGTCTAAAGACGGAGGTGAGTAGGTGGTTGACTTAGTCTACAGACGGAGGTGAGTAGTTGGTTGACTTAGTCTAAAGACGGAGGTGAGTAGTTGGTTGACTTAGTCTAAAGACGGAGGTGAGTAGATGGTTGACTTAGTCTACAGACGGAGGTGAGTAGTTGGTTGACGTAATCTACAGATGGAGGTGAGTAGTTGGTTGACTTAGTCTAAAGACGGAGGTGAGTAGTTGGTTGACTTAGTCTAAAGACGGAGGTGAATAGTTGGTTGACTTAGTCTAAAGACCGAGGTGAGTAGTTGGTTGACTTAGTCTACAGACGAAGGTGAGTAGTTGGTTGACTTAGTCTACAGACGGTGGTGAGTAGTTGGTTGACTTAGTCTACAGACGGTGGTGAGTAGATGAAGGACTAACCCTACGAGTAGTTGGTTTGACAAGGCTTAATTTGTTGCTAGACTTAATCTATGAGCTGTTTGTTTGATGAAGTCATGTTTACTTAATGTGAACAGGTTTTATGTAGTGTTCCGAAAACTGACACACAAAAAACGTAATATTCCTCTGTATTTGTTATTTAATAGTTTTATTTATCCCACAACATTTGCATAGTAGTTGAGGGATGGCAGCCTCTATCACAGATCAGAGTTTGTTAACTAAGCCAATACCACCAGCTTTATATTTTACATTTCACTCATGAATTCTGTGTGATTTTCTTAGGTGACCTCCCTTAAGGAACATCTAGCGACTCTAGACAAAGAGCTGTCGATCGCGAAAGAGAAGATAACCCAACAAGGGGCAAAACTCAGGTTTGCAGAACTTGACAGGGGAAACGAGAAGGTCAAGTTCAAAGAAGAACTGGCTAAGGTGAGTACTTAAATAAAATTTTAATTTAGGCTTGAGCAGTCTCTGATACCCATTTGTGAAGAATGTGTCATGTTTGTTTTTATATGTCCATTGCAGTGTAGGTATACACATTCTAATTGGCAGTTTAGATCGGACTTTAGTCAGGTTAAGTAAATAAAACATGCACATGTAAAATATAGATAAAACAATCAAGAAACTAGTTTAACTGCAGGAGAGCTAGAGCTGGTGGCCGATATTAACATGACTTTATAGGACTGTAGTTAACGGCCCATAACTCCAGCAGGACAGAGAACTCTGGAGAGCTGTAGTTGGTGGCCCATACTCCAGCAGGACAGAGAACTCTGGAGAGCTGTAGTTAGCGGCCCATAACTCCAGCAGGACAGAGAACTCTGGAGAGCTGTAGTTGGTGGCCCATACTCCAGCAGGACAGAGAACTTTAAAGAAGTAGTTGGTGGCCCATACTCCAGCAGGACAGAGAACTTTAAAGCTGTAGTTGGTGGCCCATACCAGAGGCGTAGCGACCCTTCCCGGCGCCCGGGGACAAACTTTTCGATTTGCACCCCCCTCGAGATTTCGATTAGCACCCCCCCTCAAAACTTTCGATTTGCACCCCCCTCGAGATTTCGATCTGCACCCCCTCCTCAAACTTTCGATTTGCACCCCCTCAACCTTTCAATTTATTTTTCCAACCCATTTTGGCGCCCCCTAAGGTCGGCGCCCGGGGACATATGTCCCCCCCCCCCTCGCTACGCTACTGACCCATACTCCAGCAGGACAGAGAACTCTGAAGATCTGTAGTTGGTGGCCCATACTCCAGCAGGACAGAGAACTCTGGAGAGCTGAAGTTGGTGGCCCATACTCCAGCAGGACAGAGAACTCTGGAGATCTGTAGTTGGTGGCCCATACTCCAGCAGGACAGAGAACTCTGGAGAGCTGAAGTTGGTGGCCCATACTCCAGCAGGACAGAGAACTCTGGAGATCTGTAGTTGGTGGCCCATACTCCAGCAGGACAGAGAACTCTGGAGATCTGTAGTTGGTGGCCCATACTCCAGCAGGACAGAGAACTCTGGAGATCTGTAGTTGGTGGCCCATACTCCAGCAGGACAGAGAACTCTGGAGATCTGTAGTTGGTGGCCCATACTCCAGCAGGACAGAGAACTCTGGAGATCTGTAGTTGGTGGCCCATACTCCAGCAGGACAGAGAACTCTGGAGATCTGTAGTTGGTGGCCCATACTCCAGCAGGACAGAGAACTCTGGAGAGCTGTAGTTAGCTGCCCAAAACTCTAGCAGGAGAGAGAACTCTGGAAGACTGTAGTTAGCGGCTCATAACTCTATCAGAAATGACGAAAGATAACGGTTTTGAAAAGCTTATAACAAAACAAATTAATCATTAATATTTAGAAGTGTAAACGTATTCTGGTAGAAGCGATATCCACCGATGAACAAATTTCAAAGATACGTTCTACTTTCTCAAATCCTTTGAGTTTTTGTTATGTTATTGTAGGATAACTCTGGTAAAATTTTATTTAATATATGCACTACTTATGTTAATTGAGTTATCCTACTATGTTCAACAAGGCCTCCCAGAGCATGCGCATGGAGGTGGAGAAACTCAGGGAGGTGATGAGGAAGCAATGGGAGGAGATGAGAGAACTGAGGCAACAGAATGAGGGCATGAGGAGCGACATCAAGGAGATCCGCGAGCTGTTGCGTGGGGTGCAGCCGGCTGACCAGAGCGGGGCCCTGCCGGGTGACCAAACCCCCCACAAGTACGGTCCGTCCCTGCCAGCGCTGGCGGGGAACGCGAGGAGGAAGAAGTAGAAGATGTGTACAAGATGGGGTGTGTACTTGGTAACATGAAGATAGTGTGTACTGTGTGTGCGGTGTGTACGGGAATGTGTGAACATTGTGTACAGTGGAGTGTCGTGAGCACAGTCTTCGGTGTGTAGGATGGTGTGTAGTGTGTATTCTTTGTACAGTGAGAAATGTCTTCACTGTGTAGAATGGTGTGTAGTGTTATTTGATGAAGAATTCCGAACAAAAGTATCTTTAGGTTACTGGGACGTTGACCCCTACATTCCGACAGCTTTTTTTTTCAAAATATGTTTAAAAATGTACCTTTTTAAAAATTAAAGTGTGATTTATTTATAATGATGTGCTTTAATAATAGACGTTTTGAAAACTAGATTATCTTTCTATTTTTAGAAGTTTTGAAAAAAACACCCAAAAGCCAATCATGTGTTAGTCGTCTCTATAATGCCGCCTATATATAATATAGCTAGCTAGTAAATACCGTTGAACACAATCATTTAGCTAATGATGTAAGATAGTTATGATATAATTCATTAAAGATACTAAACACATATGTACGTACTTCCATTACGTCACCAATTTACTCCTCATCATAAAGAGATGATCTATGTGGTGTATATTAAACAGACAAATGTAACGTCTTTTAGTCCTGGAACTACACAATAGCTGACTTGTAAGGGGAAATAAACCTTTGATTTTCATCATCCCCTTGACAGTATCCACATTTCACTCAGTATAAGAGCAGCTTTATAGGCATCGTTGTTTTAACAATCGGAGGCGATATTAGGATGGCGGGAGGGGGGGGGGGGGGGGCTGTATTACACACACGTTAATTTAAAAAAAGTGAGAAAAAATTATTTAACCTACACATTGCTTTTGAGAGTAGCATTGACAGTAGTGTAGTTTTTAAAAAAATGTTCTTCCTAATTTATTCGGGTGTAATTGCTCAGTCAAAGCACGAACGTCATTAATAAAATTATAACATCAAGACATTGAACACACTCGGCTGAAAGAAAGCTAGAACATCGGATGGTTGCTTCAATGTATTCACTTCTACAGTGTGACCTCCCCCAATATATGCTGGTAAAAATTACTGGCTGAGTCAATGAATGTGCTTATAAACTACCAGAGTAAAGTAAGCTGATACTGTTATGCTACTGTATTTTGCAAAAGAGAACAACAGCTCGTCTATTGTATTAATATGCTCATTCAACTGCACCCATTGTAAAAAGTGTGTACATTTGTGTAACAGTATTATATTACTGAAGTATTAATGTATATAACCAATGATATTGTTTTGTATTCTGTTTGAATGTAGTCATCAGATGTAAGATTAAAAAAAAATGTAAAATAAAATTAATAATTAAATGAGACGACTGTTTCTGTGTTGATTTTCGTTAACACATTTTATCTAAAAATCTGAAAAATGCGAGAAGGGTTCAGTGTTTCTTCCAGACTTTTGACTCTCTGGAAGGGTTGTATGTAATTGTGCAACGAAAAGCCAGGGGAAGCAGGGTGGGTGGGAGGCACTTATAGGAATGGTTGCAGCCCATAATTTCTATTTTAATTTAATAATTTAAAAAATATATCTTGGGGGGGGGGGGGGGGGGGCGGTGAACATTTACCGGACTACCACCCCCCCCCCATCGAGATATGCCTAGAAGAAACACTAGTCCTAAAAAGCGCGAGTTTATTTTTTGTTAAGCTTGTTATTTAGAGTTACCTTTGTTATTGATTTTTTTTTTGACGATACTCTCAAACCAAATTGTTTTCGAAGTTTTCATGCGGAAGTGATCTCGCGGCAAGGAAACGTAACTCTGATTTAAAAATAAACACAGCAGACTTCAACACAGCGTTCTATGTGAGTTCCTCATTTTAAAACTGATGAAAACTCCAACATTTATTTAAAATTACAAGTCAAAGGTCGGTTATCATAACAACAACAATGAACTTACTGAATTAATAATATTCTAAGATGCACATTACGTCTACGATAGCCCTTCTCTACTTAACAAGTGCCTATTTTTTCGATGGGTTTCGCTGCATGAATCAAACCAATTTTGGATTTTCTCAAAATGTTGAGGAAGTAGCTCTAGATCTAGTAAAAGATGATCAAGATTTAGAAGAGTTTAATGGTCGAAATATCCCAAACACGAATTCTCGTGCTGCTTTGCTTTCGTCTTTCTTAAGTATGATACAAGCCCAAGAAGAGAAGATATTTCCTCTTTTTCATAGTGACAAGAAAAACAATGGCGCAAACAGTGAGAAGATGAAAGAGAAAACTTTAAGTAGCAATAAGGACAGATTGAATGGAGTTGTAGAGTATAACTTTAGTACTAGTGGCAAAGGTTCAAATCCGACAAATGGGGTTCTAAGTCTGACCGATGAAGTTCTAAGTACTAGCGGCAAAGGTTCACATTCGATAGATGGGTTTCTAAGTACTGGTAGCAACGGATTAAATCTAAAAGATGAGATTCTAAGTATTAGTACCAAAAGTTTAAATCCAACATATGAAGTTCTAAGTACAAGTGGCAAAAATGTAAACAGAACATTAGAAAAGAGTCTAGATATAAGTAGCTCAACTGATATTTTAGAAGTGAATCTCAGTACCGTGAAAAATTACTCAAACGGGACCACGATGAGCACCGACAAGGGCCTGCTCAAGAACATGCATCGTCGGTTCCTCAGCAATGTGCATGCCTCACTCAAGCATCACATCAAGAATGCTGAAGACTGGGCTATGAGCAAGAAGGAAGCGGGGGAACTCTTTGAGGTCTATTATACCTGTCTACAGGACAAGCTGGCCGCTTTGAAGTCGGAAGAGTTTCCGATAAAGACGGTCATGGCGATTGAAGGGGAAAAAGTGATGATGGACTGCAAAGTTTGGTAATTTTCTTTAATTTATCATCGTTATATTGTCTCGCTTGTGCCCAAGAAACGTGGGGCAGATGAAATACAGTTCATCTGTTTCAATGATCTCGGCATACAAGGGGATAGTGTGGTCATCACTATGCCCAGCCACTTTTGTTTCCCTAACTGGGTGGACTCAGGGACGTTTTACTAACTTGTGCCCGGATGCGAACTCGAGACGTACCGCCTAGAGCTCCACCACTAGGCCACTCCGTTCCTGACCTCGGTATACAGGGGGATAATGTGATTAGATTTATGCCCAGACGCCTTTGTTCCTTAACGTGATTAAGGTACCCATTGGAGCTGAGTGGACTCAGACCTTTTACAGACTTCTCCGAAATCATAACTTGAGATTTTCTAGTATTCGAGCACGCCGTTCCTTTTCTTTTATTGTTTCCTTTAAAAAAAATCAAAACATTAATGTTAGTTCAGTCTTTGTTTTTCTCTTTGATATATTATATCTCAGACAATGCTCTCGATCCATGACGTAATAGAACCAGAAAATTATATTTTCATGACAAGTCACATTGAAGCAGTGTTCCTGTTTGTATCGCTAATCCTGACCCTAATCCTGCCCCTAATCCAGGCCTCTTTTTAGTGAAGCTACTCTTAACCCAACTTTTGTTCTGACCATAATTTTAATCCATACCCCGAAGAGGCTGCATCATACCTGTGTTTTTATGAAGTGTTTAAATTTTAAGTGGTAATTTTTGACATCTTTGGACATGTTTAATTTTTTTAATGCTAATTAAGTGTCATTTACTTATGAAGGGTTATTGTTTACTAGATACGTTTCAATACAAACTCTGTTAGCATACCAGAATCAAACTACTTCTTCTTCTTAATCCCGTTCGTGCCCAAGACACATAGGGCAGATGGAGTAGAGTATATCTGATTCATTGACCTCTGCAAATGAGGGATATTAAAACTAGGGCTATATATACATAGGTTTTTGTGTGACATTACCGATCTTCTAGTCTAGAACTATAAATTACCTTTTGCTTCGACGTTCAAAGAATTAATCAACTGAGTACACCCCCCCCCCTCCTCCCCCACCCTCCTGTCTTGATCAGCTTCAGGCCTGACCGGGACGAGGAATCCCAGAGGGCCAACTGGCAGGTGCTGAGACACGAGGATACGGCACTACAGCGTGTGCATGTTGGGGGAAAGTTTCACGTGACTAAAGACAGCTCACTCGTCATCACGGGCATTGACGTCAATGATGCAGGTAGGTAGTGATGGTAGTGAGGTGAATGGTGCGGGTAGGTAGGGATGGTATTGACGTCAATGATGCAGGTAGGTAGGGATGGTATTGACATCAATGATGCAGGTAGGTAGGGATGGTAGTGAGGTGAATGGTGCGGGTAGGTAGTGATGGTAGTGAGGTGAATGGTGCGGGTAGGTAGGGATGGTATTGACATCAATGATGCAGGTAGGTAGGGATGGTAGTGAGGTGAATGATGCGGGTAGGTAGGGATGGTAGTGAGGTGAATGATGCGGGTAGGTAGTGATGGTAGTGAGGTGAATGGTGCGGGTAGGTAGTGATGACGTGAATGATGCGGTTAGGTAGTGATGATAGTGAGGTGAATGGTGCGGGTAGGTAGTGATGGTAGTGAGGTGAATGATGCAGGTAGGTAGTGATGGTAGTGAGGTGAATGGTGCGGGTAGGTAGGGATGACGTGAATGATGCGGGTAGTAGTGATGGTAGTGAGGTGAATGATACGGGTAGGTAGGGATGGTATTGACGTCAATGATGCAGGTAGGTAGGGATGGTAGTGAGGTGAATGATGCGGGTAGGTAGTGATGGTAGTGAGGTGAATGATGCAGGTAGGTAGTGATGGTAGTGAGGTGAATGGTGCGGGTAGGTAGTGATGACGTGAATGATGCGGGTAGGTAGTGATGATAGTGAGGTGAATGATACGGGTAGGTAGGGATGGTATTGACGTCAATGATGCAGGTAGGTAGGGATGGTAGTGAGGTGAATGATGCGGGTAGGTAGTGATGGTAGTGAGGTGAATGATGCAGGTAGGTAGTGATGGTAGTGAGGTGAATGGTGCGGGTAGGTAGTGATGACGTGAATGATGCGGGTAGGTAGTGATGATAGTGAGGTGAATGATGCGGGTAGGTAGTGATGGTAGTGAGGTGAATGATGCGGGTAGGTAGTGATGGTAGTGAGGTGAATGATGCGGGTAGGTAGTGATGATAGTGAGGTGAATGGTGCGGGTAGGTAGTGATGGTAGTGAGGTGAATGATGCGGGTAGGTAGTGATGATAGTGAGGTGAATGATGCGGGTGTAGGTAGTGATGGTAGTGAGGTGAATGATGCGGGTAGGTAGTGATGATATTGACGTGAATAATGCAGGTAGGTAGGGATGGTATTGACGTGAATGATGCGGGTATGTAGAGATGATATTGACGTGAATAATGCAGGTAGGTAGGGATGGTATTGACGTGAATGATGCGGGTAGGTAGTGATGATATTGACGTGAATAATGCAGGTAGGTAGGGATGGTATTGACGTGAATGATGCGGGTATGTAGAGATGACGTGAATGATGCAGGTAGGTAGGGATGGTATTGAGGTGAGTGATGCAGGTATGTAGAGATGGCATTGACGTGAATGATGTATGTAATTAGTGATGGCATTGACGTGAATGATGCAGGTATGTAATCTAAACATATGTTAATGATGCAAGTACATGCTGATGGTATAGACGCTAATAATGCTGACACGTTGTCAAAGTACAAATATTAATCACTCATGTAATACACGTGCGATACAGTTAACACTCCCTAATAGATGTTGGTAAAAAAACAAAAACATAACATTGACAGAGACGTTTCGATACATAACAATAACTAGCATATCAATACTCAAACAGGTCAGTACTTCTGTGTGGAGGAGATGGATTACGCTGCTGTATATCAGGTCGATGTCTTTCTCACAGATCGCAGGAAGCATGTGAGTTAATTACGGCTTCACCAACAGTCTTAAGTCGTTAATTAGATACAACTTTGCTAGTAACGGCTTAATTAATTTCAACTTGACCAAAATTCTAAAGCCTTTAATTAGTTACACTTTAATTAGTTACAGTTTAATTAGTTGCAGTTTAATTAGTTGCACCTTAATTAGTTACAGCTTATTTAGTTAAAGCTTGACAGAAATTCTAAAGTCTTTAATTAATTACAACTTAATTAGTTACTGCTTAATTAGTTACTGCTTGACTGATAGTTTAAAACTAATAATTAGCTACAGCTCAGATAGTTACAAATTAATTATTAGATTTAAACTATTTTTTTTGTTAGAAAAAGTTGGATTTTATAACGTGCAATGGGCTAGCTGGGGGGGGGGGGGGGGTGGGAGGGTTTGAAAGCATGGGAGAGACTGGGTTTAAATGCGTGACAGCACCTATGGACAACTCAGAAATCGCGTAAGTCTACTTGTTAAATGTTGTAGAACTTTCATTTAACTCCAATCTTGGCTTCTTCGTCTGGCTGCTGTACCTGACCTGGGCGTGGCTAGATCAAGCTGGGTCAGGATGTTCCTCAGGCTGACGTGTACCTGGTCCAGCAGAACCTCCAGGTGTTCACCATGTGGGCAGCCTGGAGTGAGTGCAACACTTGCGACAGGCAGGGGCAGAAGTTTCGTGTGGGGCAGTGCACTGTCAAGGTGAGTCCAAGGTCAAGGTGAGACTAGTGTACTGCCGAGATGAGTCCAAGGTCAAGGTGAATCTGATGAGCCCAAGGTCAAGGTGAGACTAGTGTGCTAGTGTGCTGTCAAGTTAGGTTAAATGTGAAGATGAGACTAGAGCACTATCGAGGTGAGCCCAAGGTCAAGGTGAGAATGTCAAGTGAGTCTTACGTACTGTCGAGATGCATTAGCAATGCCTAGATGAGTTAAATGTCAAAGTGAGCGATGTCAAGGTGAGTAATTGTCAATGTAAGTCTAATGACAAGGTGATTCTAATGTCAAGGTGAGAGCAATGTCAAGGTGAGATTAACGTGCTGTACAAGGTGAGTCTTAATGTTAATTCAACTCAGTTATCAAAGTGAGACTCCTGTACTGTCAAGATGAATCGTAGACCAAAGTCTAACGTAATGTCAAGATGCGGGACTCTATCGAGGACAGTCTACTATGAGGTATGTCTAAGGTAGTATTAATAGTATTAAAATTATTTTAATAAACACAGCAAGGAGTTAAACCTCTGCCAACTAACCTCACCAGAAACTATTCTAATATAAACACGGCAGTGAGTTAAACCTCTGCCGTCTTACCTCACCAGAAGTTAATATACACACAGCAGTGAGTTAAAATCTGCCATCTAACCTCACCAGAAATTATTCTAATATACACACAGCAGTGAGTTAAACCTCTGCCAACTAACCTCACAAGAAATTATTCTAATATACACACAGCAGTGAGTTAAACCTCTACCATCTTACCTCACCAGAAATTATTTTAATACACACAGCAGTGAGTTAAACCTCTGCCATCTTACCTCACCAGAAATTATTCTAATATACACACAGCAGTGAGTTAAACCTCTACCATCTTACCTCGCCAGAAATTATTTTAATATACACACAGCAGTGAGTTAAACCTCTGCCATCTTACCTCACCAAAAATTATTCTAATATAAACACAGCAGTGAGTTAAACCTCTACCATCTTACCTCACCAGAAATTATTCTAATATAAACACAGCAGTGAGTTAAACCTCTGCCATCTTACCTCACCAGAAATTATTTTAATACACACAGCAGTGAGTTAAACCTCTACCATCTTACCTCACCAGATGTTATTCTAATACACACAGCAGTGAGTTAAACCTCTACCATCTTACCTCACCAGATGTTATTCTAATACACACAGCAGTGAGTTAAACCTCTGCCATCTTACCTCACCAGAAATTATTTTAATACACACAGCAGTGAGTTAAACCTCTACCATCTTACCTCACCAGAAGTTATTCTAATAAACACACAGCCGTGAGTTAAACATTTGCCATCTTACCTCACCAGATGTTATTCTAATACACACAGCAGTGAGTTAAACCTCTGCCATCTTACCTCACCAGAAATTATTCTAATACACACAGCAGTGAGTTAAACCTCTGCCATCTTACCTCACCAGATGTTATTCTAATATAAACACAGCAGTGAGTTAAACCTCTACCATCTTACCTCACCAGAAATTATTCTAATATAAACACAGCAGTGAGTTAAACCTCTACCAACTTACCTCACCAGAAATTATTCTAATATAAACACAGCAGTGAGTTAAACCTCTGCCAACTTACCTCACCAGAAATTATTCTAATATAAACACAGCAGTGAGTTAAACCTCTGCCATCTTACCTCACCAAAAATTATTCTAATATAAACACAGCAGTGAGTTAAACCTCTACCATCTTACCTCACCAGAAATTATTCTAATATAAACACAGCAGTGAGTTAAACCTTTGCCATCTTACCTCACCAAAAATTATTCTAATATAAACACAGCAGTGAGTTAAACTTCTACCATCTTACCTCACCAGAAGTTATTCTAATATAAACACAGCAGTGAGTTAAACCTCTACCATCTTACCTCACCAGAAACTGTACCAGGACACCCCTGTGTTCCCACGTGACTACCCCATCATGATGTTCTACAAGGAGGGGGTACCGTGCCACTCTACAGCCGTACCCCGGCATCTCAGGAACCTTCCAGAGATCGGGCTACGGTACAGCGAGACTCAAGTGACCTTCTGTATGGAGCCGTGCCCCACCATCCCACCATCTGTGTCAAGTAAGTTCTAACACGTGTCCTATCATCTGTGTCCTACCATTTATGTCCTACCATCTGTGTCCTACCATCTATGTCCTACCATCCCACCATCTGTGTCAAGTAAGTGATGACACGTGTCCTACCATCTGTGTCCTACCATCGGTGTCGTACCATCTGTGTCCTACCATCGGTGTCCTACCATCCCACCATCTGTGTCAAGTAAGTGATGACACGTGTCCTACCATCTGTGTCCTACCATCCCACCATCTGTGTCAAGTAAGTGATGACATGACCTCTGTCCTACCATCTCCGCTGTGTCAAGTAAGTGCTAACATAACCCATGTCCTACTATCACACCATCTATCATCATGACATTTGATAACAATAATCCAATTAACTTTGATTCTATGCCCCCACCTCCTCACCAACAAGACACTACTCATAACCCCCATCAACTTATTTCAAACCCAGAAACCCCACCCCGCATGCTGTAACTCTGTTCATCCCTCCCATCCACCTAGTCCAAAACCACACAAACCCCACCCCCATGATCGACACAACCCCACCCCCATGCTCCACACAAACCCCACAAACCCCACATGCTCCACACAATTCCCACCCCCATGCTCCACACAATCCCCACCCCCATGCTCCACACAAACCCTACCCCATGCTCCACACAAACCCCACCCCCATGCTCCACACAATCCCCACCCCCATGCTCCACACAAACCCTACCCCATGCTCCACACAAACCCCACCCCCATGCTCCACACAAACCCCACCCCCATGCTCCACACAAACCCCACAAACCCCACATGCTCCACACAATTCCCACCCCCATGCTTCACACAAACCCCACCCCCATGCTCCACACAAACCCTACCCCCATGCTCCACACAATTCCCACCCCCATGCTCCACACAAACCCCACCCCCATGCTCCACACAAACCCCACCCCCATGCTCCACACAAACCCCACCCCCATGCTCCACACAAACCCCACAAACCCCACATGCTCCACACAATTCCCACCCCCATGCTTCACACAAACCCCACCCCCATGCTCCACACAATTCCCACCCCCATGCTCCACACAAACCCCACCCCCATGCTCCACACAAACCCCACAAACCCCACATGCTCCACACAATTCCCACCCCCATGCTTCACACAAACCCCACCCCCATGCTCCACACAATTCCCACCCCCATGCTCCACACAAACCCCACCCCCATGCTCCACACAATTCCCACCCCCATGCTTCACACAAACCCCACCCCCATGCTCCACACAAACCCCACCCCCATGCTCCACACAAACCCCACAAACCCCACATGCTCCACACAATTCCCACCCCCATGCTCCACACAAACCCCACCCCCATGCTCCACACAAACCCCACCCCCATGCTCCACACAAACCCCACCCCCATGCTCCACACAAACCCCACCCCCATGCTCCACACAAACCCCACAAACCCCACATGCTCCACACAATTCCCACCCCCATGCTTCACACAAACCCCACCCCCATGCTCCACACAATTCCCACCCCCATGCTCCACACAAACCCCACCCCCATGCTCCACACAAACCCCACAAACCCCACATGCTCCACACAATTCCCACCCCCATGCTTCACACAAACCCCACCCCCATGCTCCACACAAACCCCACCCCCATGCTTCACACAAACCCCACCCCCATGCTCCACACAAACCCCACCCCCATGCTCCACACAAACCCCACAAACCCCACATGCTCCACACAATTCCCACCCCCATGCTCCACACAAACCCCACCCCCATGCTCCACACAAACCCCACCCCCATGCTCCACACAAACCCCACCCCATGCTCCACACAAACCCTACCCCATGCTCCACACAAACCCCACAAACCCCACATGCTCCACACAAACCCCACCCCCATGCTCCACACAAACCCCACCCCCATGCTCCACACAAACCCCACCCCCATGCTCCACACAAACCCCACCCCCATGCTCCACACAAACCCCACCCCCATGCTCCACACAAACCCCACCCCCATGCTCCACACAAACCCCACCCCCATGCTCCACACAAACCCCACCCCCATGCTCCACACAAACCCTACCCCATGCTCCACACAAACCTCACCCCCATGCTCCACACAAACCCCACCCCCATGCTCCACACAAACCCTACCCCATGCTCCACACAAACCTCACCCCCATGCTCCACACAAACCCCACCCCCATGCTCCACACAAACCCTACCCCATGCTCCACACAAACCCCACAAACCCCACATGCTCCACACAATTCCCACCCCCATGCTCCACACATCCCCACCCCCATGATCCACACAATCCCCCGCATGCTCCACACAAACCCCACCCCCATGCTCCACACAAACCCTACCCCATGCTCCACACAAACCCCACTCCCATGCTCCACACAAACCCCACCCCCATGCTCCACACAAACCCCACCCCCATGCTCCACACAAACCCCACAAACCCCACATGCTCCACACAATTCCCACCCCCATGCTCCACACAAACCCCACCCCCATGCTCCACACAAACCCCACCCCCATGCTCCACACAAACCCCACAAACCCCACATGCTCCACACAATTCCCACCCCCATGCTCCACACAAACCCCACCCCCATGCTCCACACAAACCCCACCCCCATGCTCCACACAAACCCCACCCCCATGCTCCACACAAACCCCACAAACCCCACATGCTCCACACAATTCCCACCCCCATGCTCCACACAAACCCCACTCCCATGCTCCACACAAACCCCACTCCCATGCTCCACACAAACCCTACCCCATGCTCCACACAAACCCCACCCCAATGCTCCACACAATCCCACCCCCCCATGCTCCACACAAACCCCACCCCCATGCTCCACACAAACCCCACCCCCATGCTCCACACAAACCCCACTCCCATGCTCCACACAAACCCCACCCCAATGCTCCACACAATCCCACCCCCCCATGCTCCACACAAACCCCACCCCCATGCTCCACACAATCCCACCCCCCCATGCTCCACACAAACCCCACCCCCATGCTCCACACAATCCCACCCCCCCATGCTCCACACAAACCCCACCCCCTATGCTGTAACACTGTACATCCCTCCCAGTCACGGACGAGACGGGTAAGGTGATTGAGGTGCTAGAGCCAGGCTACTTTCCGCTGGACGGCAAGCCCCACCCCATGTTCCACACAAACCCCACCCCCATGTTCCACACAAACCCCACCCCCATACTCCACACAACCCCACCCCACAAGCTGTAACCCTGTACATCCCTCCCAGTTACTGACGAGACGGGTAAGGTGATTGAGGTGCTAGAGCCAGGTTACTTCCCGCTGGACGCCAAACCCCAGCTGCCCCCACTGGTCAAGCGTAAAGTCCTGTACGAGCCGCTCCAGTCACACCTGGTCCTACACTGTCCTGGGTGAGTCCTACACTGTCCTGGGTGAGTCCTGCACTGTCCTGGGTGAGTCCTACACTGTCCTGGGTGAGTCCTACACTGTCCTGGGTGAGTCCTGCACTGTCCTGGGTGAGTCCTACACTGTCCTGGGTGAGTCCTGCACTGTCCTGGGTGAGTCCTACACTGTCCTGGGTGAGTCCTACCTGCAGCAAGTTGGAGTTCTCGTCAGTCTGACGTCAAACACGTTGGTAGAAACTGGATCTCGGCATCCATGTTGTTACGTGTTACTAAATTCTTGCAGATATCTTTGTTTGTCTCCTGATCTTGATATTTGTCTTTTATCTTACTGATACCTTGATATTTGCCTTGTTTTATGGAGAATTTGATGTGGGTCTATTTTCTTGCAAAGATCTTAACATTTGCTTCTTTTTTAGAGAACTTGATGAAGTATATTTTCTTTCAGAGATCTTGATATATGCCTCTTTTTGGAGAGCTTGATGTGTCTATTTTCTTGAAGAGATCTTGATATTTGCCTCTTTTTGGAGAGCTTGATGTGTCTATTTTCTTGAAGAGATCTTGATATTTGCCTCTTTTTGGAGAGCTTGATGTGTCTATTTTCTTGAAGAGATCTTGATATTTGCTTTCTTGGAGAACTTGATGTTAGCCTATTTATTGGCAGATATCTTAATATTTTTTAATTTTTTTTGGTGCTTGATGTTAGTCTATTGTCTATTTTCTTGCAAGGGTCTTGCTATTTGTCCATTATTTTCTTGTCTATTTCTTGACATTTACCTCATTATGGAGAACTTGATGTCTGTCTATTTTTCTCACAGAGACCTTGATGTTTCGGTTGTACACTGGGCCCGGGGTGAGCGTGGGGTTGACCCAGCCAGCATACGTCATCAAACCAAAGGTCGGGTGTGGGTGGATTCCCTGAGCCGTCTGCACATCAACCCTCTGATTCTCAGTGACACAGCGGTCTACAAGTAGGTTATGTTGACTGGCATCCGTCATACTTTTAAAGCGGTACATAATAAGCAGTGTTACTTTCAGGCATCTCTTCGTGGATGGGGAGTGGGGAGGAAGTGTGGGGGGGGGGGGGAGGGAGGGGGAAATCGACACTCCCCGCCCCAGCCATAAAACACGTCTACCTCCCCCCTTCCCCCGAACGAAATAATTTATAATTTATAAAGAAATCAGCGTCCCCCATCCCCCGGAAATATTCTCCCCCCCCCCCCCCCCCCCACGAAGAAAACTGATTACCGCTCTGACCAATTAATGGGTGAATTAAATAATTTTTCACTTTTTAAACATTTGTCACTTTTTAAACATCAGCCTGTTTGTATTTCTTTTTTTTTTAAACTAGATTCTGAGTTCTTCTCTATTTTCTTATTTTGCTATTTGTGTTTTTTTTTTTGCGTTTTGTTTCGTAGCGCTCTCTGACAAAAAGCAAGAATTTTTCTTTTACTTTTTATTTTGTAATTTTATACGTTTCCGTAGAAAAATAAAGTTATTACAGAGATATAATAGTCTAGCTTGTAAAAACGATGTCGTTTTGCATACATAGCCCGTCTAAATCTCAACACACACAAATAGTCTTGATGTAATAATTATTGAACTATCCGTAGTCCCGTTCTATTTTTAGTTTCGCATTTGCGCAGAACTCTCTAACTAAAAAACCTAAACCTAAAAATAAACTCTGCACATTACAATGACGTCACAGCAGGCAGTAGCAACACAAGGCCTTTGGAACCATTTTGAAGAAAAAATATTTGTGTAGTGTTACCTCCGACCTATCCTCACGATCGCACGGTAACCTGAGACGGATTCCATCTTGACCATCGGCCAATATAAATTATAAACAGGTATCAAAAAGTTAAAAAAAAATAAAAAATAACTCAATACGTTGATTGATAGGAACATCGAAAAATGAGGGAGGTTATTAACATCCATCTCGGTCAATGTGGTTGCCAAGTCGGCAATGCCTGCTGGGAGCTCTTCTGTCTGGAACATGGGATTCAGCCCGACGGCTTGGTTCCATCGGATCAGACGATAGGGGGCGGCGATGATTCCTTCAACACTTTCTTCGCGGAAACCGGCGCCGGGAAGCACGTGCCGAGAGCGGTGTTTGTGGACCTGGAACCGACGGTGATTGATGAGATTCGAACTGGCACCTACAGACAGCTGTTTCACCCCGAGCAGCTTATATCAGGTTAGTGCTGGTAATCCGGTTTATCGTACGGGATTAAGATCTATATCCTGGGCTTGGAAATTACATTCTTTTGCCTTGATAGTTAGACATCGAATATTAATAGTAAGGGCCATGTTAAGTCTATTAATAGCAACAAACTAAACTTAAAACTATGTCTTGATCTAGATCTAGACTTAAACTGACCTTATACATAGTTACCGTTAGCACTTCCGATTATCACAAATATCTATTATCTAACCTATGCAGTTTTGGTATGATGAACTCATCATACAAACCATACACAATCGGCTAAGGTTTGTGGGTAGGTTAACGTCATTGCAGGCATGTCGCTTCACTAGAACCAGACTGTTCTAACTCCACTTAGATTTTTTGAGTTAATAGTGCCATTGTGTTATTAATCTACCAAAATGTCTAGTTTTAAAAACATGTGATCATACCATTGCGTGATTATTACGCAATGGCATGCAACTTTGTTCGTACTCCGAAACAACTATTCGGTTCCGAGACTCCAGCGTCCAATTAAAAAGCTTTATGAGGTCACGTGCAGTATGACAGCTTACTTGTTTACATGTTAATAGAATATACAATATGCTGATGTGTGTGTTTGTTTTCTTAAATTTGTACATTTATCTGTTATGTAAGGGTTGCACAAAAATAATAGTTTGAGAATAGGGTTGTTCTAGAGAAGAAGAAAAGGCAGGACACAAACATATATTATGTTGAGTTTAATTTTTATTTGTTTGCACCTAAAATATCTATGTAGCCTATGTTAGTGTGCAGATATACATTAGAGGAACATTTAGCAGATACGAGTAGACAAGCGTAAGAAAGAAATATACAGGGCAGGATTGAGTCGAAGACAAGTAATCAATTGTTGATGAAAGAAACTGTCTGGAATGTTTTAATATGCATAAGTGTTTAAGTGGCTTAATCCAAAACATCGATTTTTTTTTTACTACGAAACTAATTTTGTTAACAGTCTCTGAAATAGTAAATAAAATAAGGATTCTGTTTTGCTTGCCATGATGGGTTCGCTTGAACAAGTGTTAATGATGTAGCTAGAGTTTTTGTAATGATATTACACAAAATGGTATCAAATAAGCCAAGCATAAAAATATTTTTAAAATGTTCGATTTATGCATTACCCACAGTAAGAATGCAATAATGTCCTCTTCCGTAACGAGATTTTTGTATAAAGAACAGCATAGTGTTTGTCAAATTGAAAAAAAATATCAATGGCACATCTGTGTCCTAAAAAGACTTGAAAAAAATTAGAGGTTTTATAGTCCTTTTGAGGTAATCGAAGCTATTGCTAAATGAAATTTGAAATCGAACAAGTTCAGAAACGATTTCAGAAAGAGACGTGTAAATATTTCCAAACTGTGTCACAGAAAAAAAAAATCTTTCAAAACAAGTTACATTTTGTCAAGTCGAGCACTCTGGGTACAAAAAAAGAGAAACATATGTCGTTCTGTACGGGACATCCATGCGACAAGATACACCTATACAGTCTGTTGAGTTCCAGAAATAACACGTAATGCGTAGGGAAACACATTAATACCCTATAGTAAAGTTATCAAGAAAAAATTTAGTATTGACAAACATAAGGTCCGAGATATAATTTACACCAACAATTATTTCTGTGATGGTTTCCATTTGTTTATAAGTGTGAAATGCGTAGATAACTTTAATATGTTCCAGTTTTAGTCAATGTTCTATTTAACCATCGCGTAATTGTGCGAAATCCTATTATTAAGGTATTTTAAATTATTATTAGTAATGACTGTGTCCAGTTAAAATAACTGAATAAAAATTGTATAGTGGTGTACAAACACAATGGAAATAAATGCTGACACATTATAGTGTTTTTATGTTTGTATTTCATGTATAGTCTAAAAACACGTTAGACCGATATCAAGCCAAAATTAGAACATAGAAATTCTGCTTTCGTCCCGATAAGTTATTCTAACTCTAAAGATACCTCGTATCTATGTTATGAATCGTATCTAAGTATTCTAAGGGAAAATACATTTCTTTTATGAGCACTTTTGACTTAGTGTACACACAAGTAAGTTTAGTCCACGTATCGGTAAAATTAAAAACCAAAGATACAAAAACACGAAACTTTAAAACTTTGTATTGGAAAACTAAAAAAAAAGGCGTTAAAACAGTCTGGTTTATAGGAAGCAACGTGTAACTTTATAGGGGTCAAATGACGTGGACACACCCACTCTCTCCCTCCCTTCCTCACATTTCATCTCTTTTTAGGATACATATATTGTGTGATTGATCTTATTTAGTAGTATCGATGGTTTACATTGCTTTTAAGTGAGCTGCTATACATGGGTGATGTTTGATTTGTCAGACACAATTCATTAAGTTACACTAAGGTGTAATGTCTGCCTTGTCAGACAACTACATCATTAGGGCTATACTCAAGGGTAAAGTCTAATTTGCAAGACATCACTCATTAAGCTACACTAAAGTGTAATGTCTATTTTGCCAGACGTACCATGATAAGCTGGACTAGGGTGTAATGCCTGCCAGAAGTACCTCATTAAGCTACATCAGAATGTAATGTCTACTTTGTCAGACCTACCTCAATAAGCTACATCAGAATGTAATGTCTACTTTGTCAGACCTACCTCAATAAGCTACATCAGAATGTAATGTCTACTTTGTCAGACCTACCTCATTTAGCTACATCAGAATGTAATGTCTACTTTGTCAGACCTACCTCAATAAGCTACATCAGAATGTAATGTCTACTTTGTCAGACCTACCTCAATAAGCTACATCAGAATGTAATGTCTACTTTGTCAGACCTACCTCAATAAGCTACATCAGAATGTAATGTCTACTTTGTCAGACCTACCTCATTTAGCTACATCAGAATGTAATGTCTACTTTGTCAGACCTACCTCAATAAGCTACATCAGAATGTAATGTCTACTTTGTCAGACCTACCTCAATAAGCTACATCAGAATGTAATGTCTACTTTGTCAGACCTACCTCATTTAGCTACACTAGAATGTAATGTCTACTTTGTCAGACCTACCTCAATAAGCTACATCAGAATGTAATGTCTACTTTGTCAGACCTACCTCAATAAGCTACATCAGAATGTAATGTCTACTTTGTCAGACCTACCTCATTTAGCTACACCAGAATGTAATGTCTACTTTGTCAGACCTACCTCAATAAGCTACATCAGAATGTAATGTCTACTTTGTCAGACCTACCTCATTTAGCTACACTAGAATGTAATGTCTTCTTTGTCAGACCTACCTCATTAAGCTGCACTATAATGTAATGTCTTCTTTGTCAGACCTACCTCAATAAGCTACACCAGAATGTAATGTCCACATGGAAAGTTGTTTCTTATCAAGCTGGCACTAAATATTGAGCTCTCATCCGCATACAGGATGTACTGCATTATTCCCCATATTGAAATTGAAGCCATAATCTACGCTAACTATAACTTCTAAAGCCCACCTTAAAACTAACAATTATTCTTTCATTAACAGTTAACTTTGTTATAAAAATAGGAATTGTCGAAAGTGACTTTTGTTAATATACTAACAATTGTTAATGGTAAACATTGTTAATAAACTAGCAATTGTTAATGGTAAACTTTGTTAATAAACTAGCAATTGTTAATGGTAAACTTTGTTAATAAACTAGAAATTGTTAATAGTAAACTTTGTTAATAAACTAGAAATTGTTAATAGTAAACTTTGTTAATAAACTAGGGTTGTAAAGGACAGTGGCGTAGCGAGGGCGGGTGTTTCCCGGTGCGGCACTTAATGGTGTCACTCCCCAGAGGCGTAGCGAACCTTCCCGGCGCCCGGGGACAAACTTTCAATTTTCGATTTTCACCTCCCCCCTCAAACTTTCGATTTGCACCCCCCATTTCACACTTGTCGGGATTTGTCAAATTTGCTCTCAAAAGACTTTTTAACTCCCGAATTAATCAATTAAATGGAATTATCACTTTTCTCTATATATTTTTCTATTTCTTGCCTTGGTGTCACCCCCCTAAATGGTGTCACCCGGTGCGGTCCGCAACCCGCCCCCCCCCCCCCTCGCTACACCACTGGTAAAGGGTAACTTTTGTAAACAGTCAGGTACCACGTATACATGAATAATTCACCGACCCTATGGCTTAGATATAAGATTAGATCTAAGTTCGACGCAGTGTTTAATCTTAACTACAATAGTGCATTGTATTAAATTAATATTAATTACCATTTTAATGGTAGGACCTATACTTGCCTATGGACGTTAAGTATTTGTTTAGGGATTAATTATTATAATGAGTTACATTATTAAAGATGATGTAGTTTTAGATAACTTAATGTAAAATTTCTTCACGCAGGTAAAGAAGATGCTGCCAACAACTACGCCAGGGGCCACTACACCGTCGGGAAAGAAGTCGTCGATCTGGTCTTGGACCGGATCCGGAAATGTGCCGACCAGTGCACGGGCCTGCAGGGGTTCTTTGTGTATCACAGCTTCGGCGGGGGTACGGGCTCGGGGTTCACCTCCCTGCTCATGGAGCGGCTGTCCATCGACTACGGCAAGAAAACCAAGCTGGAGTTCTCCATCTACCCCGCCCCCCAAATCTGCACGGCCGTGGTGGAGCCGTACAACTCCCTGCTTGTAACCCACACCACTCTGGAACATTCCGACTGCGCCTTTCTCGTCGACAACGAAGCCCTCTACGACATCTGCCGTCGTAATTTGGATATCGAGAGGCCGACGTACACGAATCTGAACCGTCTGCTGGGTCAAGCCGTCTCCTCGTTGACCGCTTCCTTACGTTTCGACGGTGCTGTTAACGTCGATCTCATGGAGTTCCAGACGAACCTGGTTCCGTATCCTCGAATTCATTTCCCGCTCATAGTCTGCGCGCCGATCGTATCAGCGGAGAAAGCGTATCACGAACAGTTGACCGTGGCTGAGATCACAAATTCAGGATTTGAACCGGCGAACCAGATGGTCAAATGCGACCCCCGCCACGGGAAATATATGGCCTGCTGTCTGTTATACAGAGGGGACGTCGTGCCCAAAGACGTCAATGCTGCTATCGCCACCATCAAGACCAAACGTACCATACAATTCGTAGACTGGTGCCCGACGGGTTTTAAAGTAGGCATCAACTACCAGCCTCCGACGGTCGTGCCCGGGGGTGATTTGGCCAAGGTCCAGAGGTCGCTTTGTATGCTGGCCAACACGACAGCTATTGCTGAGGCTTGGGCCAGGCTTGACCACAAGTTTGATTTACTCTACGCCAAGAGAGCTTTCGTTCATTGGTAAGAAAACGTTACTGTATTGATAAGTATATCTATATGTTGCCAGTAACATTTTAAGTTTGATTTACTCTATGCCAAGAGAGCTTTCGTTCATTGGTAAGGAAACGTTACTGTATTGATAAGTATATCTATATGTTGCCAGTAACATTTTAAGTTTGATTTACTCTATGCCAAGAGAGCTTTCGTTCATTGGTAAGGAAACGTTACTGTATTGATAAGTATATCTATATGTTGCCAGTAACATTTTAAGTTTGATTTACTCTATGCCAAGAGAGCTTTCGTTCATTGGTAAGGAAACGTTACTGTATTGATAAGTATATCTATATGTTGCCAGTAACATTTTAAGTTTGATTTACTCTATGCCAAGAGAGCTTTCGTTCATTGGTAAGGAAACGTTACTGTATTGATAAGTATATCTATATGTTGCCAGTAACATTTTAAGTTTGATTTACTCTATGCCAAGAGAGCTTTCGTTCATTGGTAAGTTGTATCTCGTATGTAATAGGAAACGTTGCTGTATTGATAAGTATATCTATATGTTGCCAGTAACATTTTAAGTTGTATCATGATTCATGTAGATGTATTATACTCAGTAAGTAGCCTTTAGTATGTAAACGCTGGATGCAGACTGTCAAAAAAAAAAGAACAGAAAGTAGTTACCGTTTCAAAGATAGCGAACACCGGGCCAAATGTGGTGTTCACCTGTTTCATTCCTATGAAGGGAGGGTGTGGTCAACACTATGCTCAGCCGCCTTTACATACCCTGTGAGTCAGGTACCCATCAGAGCTGAGTGGACTCGGGGACGTCCTAGAGACTCTAACCCGGAATCAGAACTTGAAACTTTCGGCTTAGCTCTCATGCGCTCTAGCATTTAATCACGCCTTCCTATACATAGTCAATAAGTCATGTTGTAAAATTTTGATATGCCATGACAGTCGTTAACTAATCACTTAGGATATTTATTACAAAATTTCTTTCCCATTGTCCTCAACATATACTTTTTTTTAGGTTCTGTTTAAGTGAAATGTTATTGAACAGTTTGTGTCTAAAAATAACCTTGTCCAATATGTCCTCCCCAGGTACGTCGGTGAGGGGATGGAGGAGGGTGAGTTCACTGAGGCCAGGGAGGATCTAGCAGCGCTGGAGAAGGACTATGAGGAAGTGGGTCTGGACTCCTTGCTGGGAGGAGAGGGAGAAGAGGAGGTGGAGGAGTTTTAAAAAACTGGCATCAAAAGAAACTTTTTTGTGGCGGAGGCTTGCCACAAATACTAATGTATAAAGATCATATCATCGAGTGAAGTGGAACAAGTAGCTGGGTTGTCGTGTGGTTGGTAGGGTGGGGTTGTCGTTTGGTTGGCAGGTGGGTTTTACTAGGGGTGTGGGTAATTCAGGTCTGGGAATGGTTAGGATGGCTCAGAGGAGATTCACCATCAATGTGAGGCAATTTTCAGGGGTTTATATGTTGTACAAATAGCTGGGATTTTTATCTTTTGACTTAACTTTGTGGGCACAAGTTGCTGGGATTTTCTGTTTGAACTAAATTGTTATACAAGTTGCTGGGATTTGTCTAGTGACCTTATTGTAGGGATTAATTAATTAGACAGTTGGGGGAACAAGTTGTAGGGATTTGTTGATGATCAAATCGTAGCCTTAGTCGTAGGATGTCACTACTGAGCAATGGTACTAGTGGCACGAATGAGTTGATCTGGTTGTTCCTTAACTAGAAGCAGTTCTACAGCAGGCATAGCTTGCATGAAATATACTTTAATATTTGATTACTTTATATCTCTGCAAAGAAATAGCTAAGAAATTGTTTTAGCATAGTTTAAGAAAACATCCAAAGGAATACAGGGGTTTAAATGTCAAAGAATACAGAAAAAAATGCAGAGGTATATTTTGTACTTTTAGTATTGTCATCAAAATACGATTGAGTAGTATGAAATTTGTATTCCATTTATGTAAATGACATCCATAATACATCCATAAAAGAAAAGTCGTTTAAAAAGAAGTTGGTGTTGGTTTTTTTCTTATTTACCTTACTGTATGACTGATTTGAATTTATATTTATTTTTGTTTATTAATTGTAAAACCTGTAAAAATGACTTAGTTGTTTAGTTTATTAGATTCTTATAAAAATGCTAATTTGGTGCGCAATTACAAGTTCACCTCTATTCTATTGCTTTCTAAAAATATAAGCCTACACCAGGATTTTCTTAAAATTAAAGTGCATTAATTAACTTTCTTTATGAAAAGTGTGGGTAGAAATTACTAGATCTAAATCATTTTTTATAAGCAATCTGCTCTTTTCTTTATAGATCTAGTCATTTAACAAAAGTGCATTATATATTTAAACAGTTTTTAAAAAATAAAACCTACTTGACTAAGTTGTTTAGTTTATTAGATACTTATAAAAAAAATGCTAGTTTAGTGCGCAATTTTTATTAGCTAACCTCTATTCTATTACTTTCTAAAAAATATAAGCCTACACTACAAAAAATATTTGGATTTTTTTTTCTTTATAGTTTTCTTTTAGTGCTTTTAAAAGTTTGTAATTTAGACCCTCTAATTGTTTTCCTTGTTTCCTTATTGTCTTAATACTTTGTCTACTGTGTCGAAACTTGCGATAAAAGTTCTAGTGAAAAAACCCATATCGGACTTGATCTAGTAAACTTGTATTCGGTGAGACCTGAAGTAATGGGCCTATATGAAACTAAAATAGACATGACATTTAAAAACTGAAGTACATACGTATAAAATAAACATGACATTTAAAAACTGAAGAATATACATATAAAATAGACATGAGATTTAAAAACTGAAGTACATACATATAAAACAGACGTGAGATTTAAAAACTGAAGTACATACATATAAAACAGACATGAGATTTAAAAACTGAAGTACATACATATAAAATAGACATGAGATTTAAAAACTGAAGTACATACATATAAAATAGACATGAGATTTAACAACTGAAGCACATACATATAAAATAGACATGAGATTTAAAAACTGAAGTACATACATATAAAATAGACATGAGATTTAAAACATACTGCGCAGAATGTCTGTTGTGTTTTCTTTTATTTGTTCCTTTCATTACAATATACAATGTGTACACTCCATGTCCAATTGTAAATGTGTTCCTTTCGCTACAATCTACATTCAAACTGGATCTATTAGGCATCCATCATAGAGTCTACGGTGTAGAATGTTGAACATGTTTTGTGATGCAGCTTTGTATTGTATTTGTGTCATGTTGCATATATGTTATATGTGATGTAGTTACGTCATACACGATGACGGTATGTTGATTGTAAATTGATGTGTCAATGTATGAGAGTCTGTTTTTTGTTCTTGTTGTGGATAATCTAGGTCTTTTCTATAAAAGGTAATGTGGTGTTTTCCTAAAGGTATAATTAAGGTCTTATAAAGGTATAATTAAGGTCTTATAAAGGTTAATTGAGGTCTTTGTTTCATAAGGGTTGATCGAGGTCTCCCTAAGAGGGTAAGTTGAAGTCCTTATCTGGGTAAAGTTCAGGTCTTCATTGCTTTAGTGAACGCTTCACAGCCAATCTGGTTAAGGCACCTTGTTTTTTTATTCTCAACCGTGTCCGTTATTCTTTAGTCAGGTCGCTGCCCCTGTTGGGATTAGCCCCGTCGCGTCCATTATGTGAACACAGTTCATCCGATGATGTAAAACATAGTTCATACGATGAGGTAAACAGTTCATCCGATGAAGTAATGTCCGGTTACCGCATGTGTCGCCGACGTTGAAAGATGCCGAGAGTAACGTTGAATCCCGTTGATAATTTTTCACGTAGCTGCCGTCGTTATATTTCAAACCAACCGGCAATCGTGTGGGTAGGTTCGACATCTTTCAGTATCCGGCAAAAAATGGACAAAAACGTCTTGGCGTTGATGGTCAGATGTTACGAACGCCAGTAGGGGTGAAAAAAAAAACATGGGTATTGACCAACCGATTATGGAGCGTCCAGTTCCAGCAAAAGACCCTAGGGGAGGGGGAGTGTGGGGGACTTAGAATTCTTCCTCTCCTCCCTCCTCCTCTCCGGCTACGGAGTCGAGTCCGACCTCCTCGTAGTCTTTCTCCAGAGCCGCCAGATCTTCTCTCGCCTCGCCGAATTCTCCCTCCTCCATTCCCTCTCCTACATACCTGTTGGTCACACAGAGAAAATGGTTCAACACATTGACATTATAATGGAAATATTACAAACATAGAACAATCATTGAAATAAAAAGAAATAGTACATAAGTAAAATGCATGCAATAAATGAATTATTTAATTGAGGTAAATGTATATTTTTGTTTAAATATGTTTTGAAATAAAAGCAGCAATCATAGAATCGTTCATACGCCATACTACACAGATTGCCGTCATTTATTTCTGGTATACGGACATTACCGGCACAAACTTTTGCTTATTAGCCAGGTAGACTAGAGCATATGCTGCTAGAAAGGTGGGATTCCGATAGTTTTTTGCTTTCTTCACCTAGAGCTTTGGAATACCAAGATTGGACATATAGGACAGTTCGGTTCGGGTACGAAGTACGATCTCGAGCCCGAGTTTCTAACTTGGGACTTCCGGGTTAGCAAGCGCGCGGTCTATCTCTAGACCACGACGTTGAAAGAAGTCTTTGCTAGTGCAGTTTTCCATCTTAGTTAAAGTAAACTAAGATTTGGATAAGTGTTTAAGGCTTGAGCGCTAACAATGGCATGGGTTTGTACGAATATTTGCCTCTAGAGACTATTGTCATTTTGTTTGTCGGGTATACATAGGCTACCTTTTTTAGGGTCAGAGGTCGTCTAGTATCTAACTATGGTACTCACCAATGCACGAACGCTCTCTTGGCATACAGCAAATCAAACTTGTGGTCCAGTCGAGCAAATGCCTCAGCGATGGCAGTGGTGCTGGCTAACATACAGACGGCACGTTGAACTTTGGCCAGGTCACCCCCGGGCACGACCGTCGGAGGCTGGTAGTTGATGCCTACTTTAAAACCCGTCGGGCACCAGTCTACGAATTGTATGGTACGTTTGGTCTTGATGGTGGCGATGGCAGCGTTGACGTCTTTGGGCACGACGTCCCCTCTGTACAGTAGACAGCAGGACATGTACTTGCCGTGGCGAGGGTCGCATTTGACCAGCTGGTTCGCTGGTTCGAAACACGCGTTGGTTATCTCCGCGACAGTCAACTGTTCGTGGTACGCTTTCTCGGCTGAGATCAAAGGAGAGTGGATGATAGCTGGGAAATGGATTCGGGGGTATGGCACCAAGTTGGTCTGGAACTCTATCAAGTCCACGTTTAACGCCCCGTCAAATCTGAGCGGTGCCGTGATGGACGACACGGCCTGGGCCAGGATACGGTTCAGATTCGTGTACGTCGGGCGTTCAATGTCAAGGTTGCGCCTGCACACGTCATACATGGCTTCGTTGTCGAAGATGAACGCGCAGTCCGAGTGCTCCAGTGTGGTGTGTGTGACCAAGATGGAGTTGTACGGCTCCACGATGGCTGTGGAGATCTGAGGGGCGGGGTAGATGGCGAACTCAAGTTTGGATTTCTTGCCGTAGTCGACGGAGAGCCGTTCCATAAGGAGGGAGGTGAAGCCGGAGCCGGTGCCGCCGCCAAAACTGTGATATACGAAAAATCCTTGGAGGCCCGTGCACATGTCCGCCAGCTTCCGGATTCTGTCCAAGACAAGATCGACAACTTCTTTCCCGACTGTGTAGTGGCCTCTTGCGTAGTTGTTAGCGGCGTCCTCTTTGGCTGGGGAAGAAATAGACATTGCCAACAATACTGTTTCAAAGAGATAATTAGTGATTACAATATAAACTTGCCTAAAGCTAACAGCATTGAAGGCATAGTAGGGATAATTTGGTTGGTTAATTTTATTTCCGGATACTTTTTATAAGACACGAGTAAAGAACTTAAAAAATGGATTTTCATTCTGTTATTCCCAGCGACTGACTATTCCTGGCTCTAAGACTTTGATTCGTGATCCCAGTTTTCGACACCAACCCTAGCCACTAATGCACTGCCTTTAGGGCGATACAGTTGTTGTTTGTGATCCATATGGTAGATGAAGTAGAGCTCATCTGTTGCTATGACTGGCGGTCTTTACTTTTCCCCTACTAGTCAGGTACCTATCAAGAGCATATTACATCCGGCGGAATTCAGATCGAGAACCGAACTACAGCAATTGTAATGTAGTTTTATTTTTACGTGCATTATAATGTCTTTACAAATGGCGATCACGTCGTTAATATTTGTGTAGCGTCACAACAGGGTCGTATCGATGCTACATTCTACTGGTATCGCTACTATAAACCAAATGAAGACCCTAACCTTAGTCCAGTTTACGTATTCATATAGGGCATTAGATGCATGTCGCCCATGGCGTAGTCAGGTTTAAAGTCAACCACAGTTATAGTTCGAGTTGTAAGAGCTAGGGTTAGAGCTAAGGTCAGAGCTAGGATCTTAGGGTCACAGTAAGGGCCACAGTTAGGGTCAAAATTAAAGTTTATGTCAGAGCTAAGGTCATATTTAGTCAACAGTTACAGTTAAACTCCGTTATCAGAGCTTAAGTCACTGTTATGGTAAGAGCTAGGGTCAGATTTAGTCAACAGTTACAGTTAAATTCCGATAACAGAGCTAAGGTCACTGTTATGGTAAGAGCTAAGGTCAGATTTAGTCAACAGTTACAGTTAAATTCCGATAACAGAGCTAAGGTCACTGTTATGGTAAGAGCTAGGGTCAGATTTAGTCAACAGTTACAGTTAAACTCCGTTGTCAGAGCTAAGGTCACTGTTATGGTAAGAGTTAGGGCCAGAGTTCGGCCAAAATACCGTCCGTACTAGTTAGTGATATATGTAAGGTTTGAGCTAGTATGGGTTCCTTACAGGCAGGGTCTAAGGGTCAGGGTATTAGACACATGTAGTTATGGTCTGATTTAGGGTCGGTTCTATTTAAGGGTCAGAACTAGGGTCAGAGTATGGGTCAATTGTATTAAAGGGTCAGATGTAGGGTTAGAGTATGGGTCAGTTGTATTTAAGGGTCGGATGTAGGGTCAGAGTATGGGTCAGTTCTAGTTAGGATCTAAGGTTTAGAGTATAGGTCAGTTCTAGTTAGGATCTAAGGTTTAGAGTATAGGTCAGTTCTAGTTAGGATCTAAGGTTTAGAGTATAGGTCAGTTCTAGTTAGGATCTAAGGTTTAGAGTATAGGTCAGTTCTAGTTAGGATCTAAGGTTTAGAGTATAGGTCAGTTCTAGTTAGGATCTAAGGGTTAGAGTATAGGTCAGTTCTAGTTAGGATCTAAGGGTTAGAGTATGGGGCATATGTAGTTATGGTTTGATTTAGGGTCAGTTCTATTTAAGGATGAGAAGTAGGGTCATTTAAGGTCATATTAAATGCCCGTTCTAGTTAATGACTAAGTTAGGATCTAAGTTAAGGTTAGAGTTAGCGTCGGCTAAGGTAAGAAATACCATCAGTATTAGTTTGGGTCATAGAGTCAAAGTTAGGTCGGGTGGTGGATTAAGTAAGCTATTAAATACGTATGACTAAGCGCGTTAAGGTAATGCTAATAGTAGGTAGGTCTAGGACTATTGTCAGTACTAGTAACTGTCAGTTAGGGTCAGTACTAGTTAGGTCCAGGATTATTTTCAGATTAAGCATGAGCTATGGTATAATGCTGTAATTCCTGATCAGTCAGATTTGGTCAAAGTTAACATCAACATCTAGTTAATCAGTTTTTGGGGCTTTTTTAGGGTTGGAAGGGTTTGGAATAAGTTACTATCAGTTAAGGTCAGATAGCATCATGAATATCATCAGAACTAGGTTCAGATTTAGGCTAAACGTTAGGGTACGTTCTAGTTAGTGTCTGAATTAAAGTCAGTCGGCTAAGATAAGAAATACCGTCATGGTTAAAGTTATGGTCATAGTTAAAGTCGGTTGGGATTAGAGTTAGGGTGATAGTTAGGGTTAGAAATACCGCCAGTACTAGTAACTGATAAATTTAAGATTCAGAGCTACTTAGGCTCCTTGGGGTCAGAGTATGGGTCAGTTGTATTTAAGGATCAGAAGTAGGGTCAGAATATGGGTCAGGTAGTTAGGGATTGAGTTGGGGTCGGTTCTATTTAAGGGTCGGAAGTATGGTCGAATTAAGTGTCAGTTTTAGTTTGGTTTGTAGTTAGGGTTTTTTATACGGGTTTGGGGACAGGTCAGTTCTAATTAGGGTCTATGGGTCAGAGTATGGGGCAGTGGTAGGGTCTGATTTAGGGTCGGTTCTATGTAGGTGTTATTTACGGTCAGAGAAACTGTCCTCCATTCTAGTTAGGGTCTAAATTAGGGTCTGAGCTAGCTTCGGCTAACGTAAGAAATACCGTGAGTACTAGCTAGGATCATGGAGTCAAAGTTAGGTCGGGTGGTGGATTAAGAAAGCTATTACACATGCTAGATTTATCGTGTTAACGTTGGGATCAGCGCAGGTTTGTCTAGGACTATTGTCAATACTAGTTAGATCCAGAATAGTTTTCAAAGGTTTAGAATGCTGTAATTCCTGATTTGTCCGATTTGATCAGTTAACACCAGCATCAACTAGGGGTAGACTGCGGTTGTTTCTAGTTTGTGGGTTCTGTGAGGCTTGGAGAATTATGGGAATCGTGTTAGTACTAGTTAGGGCCAGAGTTAGGATCAGATAGTATCATATATACCACCAGAACTAACTTTAGATTTAAAGTAAAAGTAAGGGTCCGTTCTAGTTAGTGTCTGATTTAAGGTTAAGGTTTAAGTCGATTAAGATAAGAAATTGTGTCAGAACTTTTTTCATAGGGTTAAAGCTATGGTCTGAGTCAAGGTCGGCTAGGTTTAGGATTATTGTTACTACTGTTTAGGATCAGATATACGTTTAGAGCTGGGATACATTTTCATGTTGGTACGACTGATGGGGTTTTGTCTCTAGTACATAAGGGTCAGAGTTAGGGTCAGCTTATGGGTCAAAGTGTGGGTCAGGGTAGTCAGAGTATGGGTCAGAGTATAAGTTAGACTATGGGTCAGAGTTAGGGTCAGAGTGTGGGTCAGAGTGTGGGTCAGAGTATGGGTCAGAGTTAGGGTCAGAGTATAAGTCAGAGTATGGGTCGTAGTATAAGTCAGAGTATGGGTCAGAGTGTGGGTCAGAGTATGGGTCAGAGTATGGGTCAGAGTACCAGTCAGAAGTTGGGTCAGACTTAGGGTCAGAGTATGGGTAAGAGTTAGGGTCAGAGTATAAGACAGAGGTTGGGTCAGAGTGTGGGTCAGAGTATGGGTCAGATTATGGGTCAGAGTATGGGTCAGAGTACCAGTCAGAAGTTGGTTCAGAGTTAGGGTCAGAGTATGGGTCAGAGTTAGGGTCAGAGTTAGGGTCAGAGTATGGGTCAGAGTTAGGGTCAGAGTATGGGTCAGAGTTAGGGTCAGAGTTAGGGTCAGAGTATGGGTCAGAGTATGGGTCAGAGTATGGGTCAGAGTTAGGGTCAGAGTATGGGTCAGAGTTAGGGTCAGAGTGTGGGTCAGAGTATGGGTCAGAGTTAGGGTCAGAGTATGGGTCAGAGTATGGGTCAGAGTGTGGGTCAGAGTATGGGTCAGAGTATGGGTCAGAGTATGGGTCAGAGTATGGGTCAGAGTATGGGTCAGAGTATGGGTCAGATTTCCAGTCAAAAGTTGGGTCAGAGTTAAGGTCACAATTGGAGTAAAAGCTAGGGTAACATGGCTATTCTTAGATATACGGTGAAGTAGCAAACAATAATAGAGAACAAAATATGTGAAATGGAGGGTGGGGGAAGGGTGGGGGCGGATCTAAAGCTTTGATAAGCTGGGTAGTTACCAGAAATATTCTAGATCTAACTGCGATGTGCAACAATTATTTTCTATAAAACGGCAAGGCGTGGCTAGGTAGGGGTGGGGGAGGTAATCCTTGTGTTAAGCTAGATATAGGCTAGTTCTAGAATCTAGATCAAATTGTAATGTGCATGAACATTATATTGTATAAAATGACAAGGTATGTGTGTGGTTGGGGTGGGGTGGGGGTGGGGGGTAAAAGGGAGGTTACCCTTGGGTAAAGCTGGGCATTCACTAGAAATACTCTACTTTAGATCTAACAGGGATATGCATTAAACAATGGGGTGGGTGGGGGTGGGGTGTGGGAGGGGGGGGCTGATGCGTAGAGCTACTTGGACTTAGCCAGGCACTCACCTGGAATAAATCTAAAATTTAGATCTAAGTGGAATGTGCATGAATATGTAATTACACTATAAGGTGGTGTGTGTATTGGAGGGGGGGGGGACGGACACAGGAATTCAGCTAACATAAGCTGTTTGAGATGGAATGTGGATGAAAATTCTATTCAATAAAATCACAATGCTGGTGGGTGGAGTGGGGGGGGGGGAGGGGGGCGGGGATGGAGGGGGGCGGGGGATGGAGAGGGGTACTGACCTGTTATGAGCTGTTCGGGGTGGGACATATCCCATAAAATAGCACGATGGGATTGGTGGGTGGGGGTGGGGGTTGGAGGGTGGGGGTTTGGACAGAAATGTATCGAGGTACTTGCCTGACATGAGCAGCTCGGGATTATTATTAGATCCTATAAAATAGCACGGTGGGGGTTGGAGGGTGGGGGTGGGGACAGAGACTTAAACAACCCGAGGTACTGACCTGATATGAGCTGCTCGGGGTGGGGGGGGGGGGGGTGGGGGGACAGAGACTTAAACAACCCGAGGTACTGACCTGATATGAGCTGCTCGGGGTGGGGGGGGGGGGACAGAGACTTAAACCAACCGAGGTACTGACCTGATATGAGCTGCTCAGGGTGGGGGTTGGAGGGTGGGGGTGGGGACAGAGACTTAAACAAACCGAGGTACTGACCTGATGTGAGCTGCACGGGGGGGGGATGTATCCCATAAACTAGCACGGTGGGGTTGGAGGGTGGGGGTGGGGACAGAGACTTAAACAACCCGAGGTACTGACCTGATATGAGCTGCTCGGGGTGGGGGTGGGGACAGAAAATTAAACTGAGGTACTAACCTGATATGAGCTGCTCGGGGTGGAAGAGCTGTCGGTATGTTCCTGTTCTCACCTCGTCTATCACCGTGGGCTCCAGGTCAAGCATGACGACCCGCGGCACGTGCTTCCCCGCGCCCGTCTCGCTGAAGAAGGTGTTGAACGAATCGTCCCCACCGCCAATCGTCTTATCGGAGGGCATCTGCCCGTCGGGCTGTATACCGTGCTCGAGGCAGAACAATTCCCAGCAGGCGTTGCCGATTTGGACGCCGCCTTGGCCCAAATGTATGTTGATCACTTCCCTCATGGTGTTTGCTGGTGTGTTGGTTCGGGAGCTAGATCTGACCTCAGATGGCTGGATGTCGTGTGACCGTTGGAAAGGACGGAAACGACAGTTCTCGGTCTATCACCGCGACCTTCTGTATTTATGATGGCTCGGTTGGCAGGGGTGACGTCATTCTATTTCCGTCACGTCATGTTTTGATTAGAATTAGGTGAAAGAAGAAAGGTTTTGGAGAGTATGTACGCAAATTTATGAAGGAGGGAAATTTAACACTTGTTTTATTTTACTTGAAGTTGGAGATTAATTGTATTGTATTCACAACTTAGGAAAGTTAGTGTAGATATTTAGATCTATTTCCGTAACTCATTAACTGGCCATGCAGCTTCTTGATTAAAGAATAAGAAAAATAGATTACAATAAATTATGAACATAATTACATTTTTTGAGAATGACGTTTGTGACTTAGTTATTATAATTTTTTTAAACTAATATTTTAAATGTTCTTTAATCGATCAAATGGGCTACAACGTATTTTATAATGTCTACGACAAATTCACGAAAGACACTTGCACGAAAGCTCGGGCAGTGTTCATTCGGGCGTTTTTTACATTCGGGCATTTGTCCCATTCGGGCGTTTTTCACATTCGGTGTCTTTCGGGAAAACGTCACCAATACCGTGGTGTTATATCAGTGGCGTAGCCAAGGGTTGAGAGAGGAGGGGTTACCTTCATAGTGAATCATTATTGACTGACGATGAAATAGATGATCTTACATCATATCAAAATTAAAAATCTGCGACTCCCTCCCACAAATAAAGTTTGCGCTGTTTTAATTTAATATTAAAACCAGGATATTTTCATGGGGGAGTTCTATCCCCCTTCCCCCCCCCCCCCCCCCAACACGCCTTGTCTAAGCCCTGACGGCCAGACTCATAAACGTGCTTATGTATTTCTTAATGGCGAGATACAAATGAGAAAAGAACGCTGGATAGTTAAAGCTAGAAGTAAATTTTGTTTTAGTTAACAGTCTTGAGTATTTTCAGTTTTAGTTGCAATGAATTTGGGAATTCCCGACTCTATTCTCCCTTTTCATATCTTCCATTTCGTATAATCCACATAATATCTCCCCTTGACTATCCAAACGTTTCTATATTCCCCTTCATTTCTCCCCCTTCCCATCTTCCCCTCCATGTCTTCTCCTTCATTTCCTCCCCCTCCCTATCTTCCCTCCCTATCTCCCCTCCCACTCCCTATCTCCCCCTCCCTATCCCCCCTCCCTATCTCCCCCTCCCTATCTCCCCCTCCCTATCTCCCCCTCCCTATCTCCCCCTCCCTATCTCCCCCCTCCCTATCTCCCCCTCCCTATCTCCCCCTCCCTATCTCCCCCTCCCTATCCCCCTCCCTATCTCCCCCTCCCTATCTCCCCCTCCCTATCTCCTCTTCCCTATCTCCCCCTCCCTATCTCCCCCTCCCTATCTCCTCCTCCCTATCCCCCCTCCCTATCTCCCCCCCTCCCTACCTCCCCCTCCCTATCCCCCCTCCCTATCTCCCCCTCTCTATCTCCCCCTCCCTATCTCCCCTCCCTATCCCCCCTCCCTATCTCCCCCATTAATGCCTGTTGTTTGTGTGTCCCCAGTTGCTGGTGCAAGAAACGTCGTGTGGCGTCCATCAAGGTACTGGTGGTCAATGAGAGCAACAAGAAGATCAAGCACTACATCTCCTTCTGTGGCCTCATCACCACTTGCTTCGGTTCTTTCCTCTTCGTCTTCTGCATTTGTTGCAAGAAAAGTGACAAGAACGCCAGATAGATTTGTTGCAAGAAAAATGACAAGAACGCCAGATAGATTTGTTGCAAGAAAAATGACAAGAATGCCAGATAGATTTGTTGCAAGAAAAGTGACAAGAATGCCAGATAGATTCACTGAACAGGACAAGAATGCCAGATAGATTTGTTGCAAGAAAAGTGACAAGAATGCAAGATAGATTTGTTGCAAAAAAAAACTGACAGAATGCCAGAATAAATGGATTGGCCACAAATGCCAGGTAGAATCATTGACCTAGAACAAGAATGCCAGAGAGATTGCTTGACCTAGGATATGAATGCCAGAGAGATTGTTTGACGTAGGATATGAATGCCAGAGAGATTGTTTGACCTAGGATATGAATGCCAGAGAGATTGTTTGACCTAGAATATGAATGCCAGAGTGATTGTTTGACCTAGGATATGAATGCCAGAGAGATTGTTTGACCTAGAATATGAATGCCAGAGAGATTGTTTGACCTAGGATATGAATGCCAGAGAGATTGTTTGACCTAGGATATGAATGCCAGAGAGATTGTTTGACCTAGGATATGAATGCCAGAGAGATTGTTTGACCTAGGATATGAATGCCAGAGAGATTGTTTGACCTAGGATATGAATGCCAGAGAGATTGTTTGACCTAGGATATGAATGCCAGAGAGATTGTTTGACCTAGGATATGAATGCCAGATAGATTGTTTGACCTAGGATAAGAATGTCAGAGAGATTGTTTGACGTAGGATATGAATGCCAGAGAGATTGTTTGACCTAGGATATGAATGCCAGAGAGACCTAGGACAATAATGCCAGATAAATTACTTCACCTTGGACAAGAATGCCAGAAGGATTGCTTGACTTAAAAGAAGAATGACTGACATATATCTTGACCTTGAAATCAGTTTTCATACGAGCTGCAACATAATCATGTTTTTTTGTTATATGATTATTTAAGGACCTAACGGGCATGCATGATATTTTAAGTTCAAATCAGTTAACCATTAAGTTTTTAAGTTTAAACGTTATTTTTTTTTAAATAGTAAAATTTTTTATAGCGTTAATAGTTTAAGCCCTTTTCGTTTTAGCGTTAATATTTTCCACACGTTACATGTTTTGATGATGTCCGTCGTCTTTAAAATTAAAACGTAAAACTGATTTATCACATTGGCAACACATTTCGTTTATTGGTTGATGTTGTTGTGATGTTGCTGTGGTCTTTCCGCCCGGTGATGTTAGCCCAGGGGCGGCTCTATATTCTGACACGGATAGAGGTCTCCTCCATGACCAGGTACAGGGGCGGCTCTATATTCTGACACGGACAGGTCTCCTCCAGGTACAGGGGCGGCTCTATATTCTGACACGGACAGGTCTCCTCCAGGTACAGGGGCGGCTCTATATTCTGACACGGACAGAGGTCTCCTCCAGGTACAGGGGCGGCTCTATATTCTGACACGGACAGAGGTCTCCTCCATGACGAGGTACAGGGGCGGCTCTATATTCTGACACGGACAGAGGTCTCCTCCATGACGAGGTACAGGGGCGGCTCTATATTCTGACACGGATAGAGGTCTCCTCCATGAAGAGATACAGGGGCGGCTCTATATTCTGACACGGACAGACGTCTCCTCCAGGTACAGGGGCGGCTCTATATTCTGACACGGATAGAGGTCTCCTCCATGACGAGGTACAGGGGCGGCTCTATATTCTGACACGGATAGAGGTCTCCTCCATGAAGAGATACAGGGGCGGCTCTATATTCTGACACGGACAGACGTCTCCTCCAGGTACAGGGGCGGCTCTATATTCTGACACGGACAGGTCTCCTCCATGACGAGGTACAGGGGCGGCTCTATATTCTGACACGGACAGGTCTCCTCCAGGTACAGGTACAGGGGCGGCTCTATATTCTGACACGGACAGAGGTCTCCTCCATGACGAGGTACAGGGGCGGCTCTATATTCTGACACGGACAGGTCTCCTCCAGGTACAGGTACAGGGGCGGCTCTATATTCTGACACGGACAGGTCTCCTCCATGACGAGGTACAGGGGCGGCTCTATATTCTGACACGGACAGACGTCTCCTCCAGGTACAGGTACAGGGGCGACTCTATATTCTGACACGGACAGAGGTCTCCTCCAGGTACAGGTACAGGGGCGGCTCTATATTCTGACACGGATACAGGGGCGGCTCTATATTCTGACACGGACAGGTCTCCTCCATGACGAGGTACAGGGGCGGCTCTATATCCTGACACGGACAGAGGTCTCCTCCAGGTACAGGGGCGGCTCTATATTCTGACACGGACAGAGGTCTCCTCCATGACGAGGTACTTGCTGTAGAAGGCGTGGTTGTACATGCGCAGGTCCATCCATGTGGCCAGGAGGGGGTCCCAGGGGAACCCCAGGCACGGGCTCATGACGGCGGACCGCGCCGCCTCCACGTCGGTGAAGATGACCATGGCCGAGTTGGGTGAGATGCCGTACACGCCGTCTATAGGGCCAAACCTGGGGGGTAGAAGTGGGGGGAGGGGTAAAGAAATAGCGAGTTGGGTGAGATGCCGTACACGCCGTCTATAGGGCCAAATCTGGGGGGGGTAGAAGGGGGAGGGGTAAAGAAATAGCGAGTTGGGTGAGATGCCGTACACGCCGTCTATAGGGCCAAACCTGGGGGGTAGAAGGGGGGGGGGTAAAGAAGTGACGTGGGGGGGGGGTGCTGACAACAGCGTTTTGTAGGGCCAAACCTGGGGGGTAGAAATGGGGAGAGGTAAAGAAGTTGGGGGGTGCGGGTGCAGACCGCAGCGTTGTGTGAAAATGACGTGTACTCCGTGTGTAGGGCCAAACTTGGGGGGGGGGGGGTAGAAGTGGGGGAGGGGTTAAAGAAGTAGCGTGTGTGGGGGGGGGGGGGGGGGGCGGGGGGACGATGTTTACCGCAGCGTTGTGTGAAAATGACGTGCAATCTGTGTGTAGTGCCGAACGTGGGGTAGAAGTGGGGGGGGGGGGGTGGGAGTTGGGTAAAACAGTAGCACCATAAGGTGCGGGGAAGGGGTGCTGACAGCACCTTTGTGCGAAAAAGCCACGCACTCCGTGTGTAGGACCAAACCTGGGGGTGAGGAGATCGACTGGAGGGGGGTAAAGCAGTAGCGTCAGAAAGCGGGAAGGGCGCGGGTGCGGGTAGCATCCGGGTGATCCCATCTAATGGGAATCCCACGAAAAAAAAAAGAAAATACTAATTTTTGAACGTTTGATTTTCCATTGCGTTTAATTACTTATTTAAACACTATATCAAACATGTACATCATAAGGCTCAATGTGAAACCAAGGGCAATGACCTCTCCTATAATTTTAGTACACGATGTATGTAGCTGTTGGTGTAGGTGAAGGGGAACAGGGCATTTCCCCCCTGTCAATTACCCCCCGGATATTTCCCCCCCCCGACATTACCCCCCAGAGTAATTATCCCCCCTGTCAATTACCCCCCTGTCAATTACCCCCCGCCCAGTAGGACATTACCCCATGGACAGGGTTAGAGTTAGGGTTAGGGTTAGGGTTAGGGCTAGGTTTAGGGTTAGGTTTAGGGCTAGGGCTAGGGTTAGGGTTAGGGTTAGGGTTAGGGTTAGGGTTAGGGTTAGGGTTAGGTTTAGGTTTAGGTTTAGGTTTAGGTTTAGGTTTAGGTTTAGGTTTAGGTTTAGGGTTAGGGTTAGGGCTAGGGTTAGGGTTAGGATTAGGATTAGGGTTAGGGTTAGGTTTTAGGGCTAGGTTTAGGGGTAGGGTTAGGGCTAGGGTTAGGATTAGGATTAGGGTTAGGGCTAGGGCCAGGGTTAGGGTTAGGGTTAAGATTAAAGTTAGGGCTAGGGTTAGGGTTAGAGCTAGTGTTATGGTTAGGGTTGTGTCTAGCTTTGGTTTTGGTTTTGTGTGAAGTTTTAGGCTAAGGTGGATGCTTAGGTTTTGGTCTTTTTCTTAAGGTTTGGATTAAAGTAGTATATAGGTATAAAATTCGAGTTAGAGTTAGGATTTTAACTTGAGAGGGGGGGGGGGGTAATTCCCCGGGGGGGGGGGTAATTGACAGGGGGGTAATTGCTCCGGGGGGTAAATACTGGGGGGAAATGTCCGGGGGGGGGGGGGAAATATCCAGGGGGGTAATGTCCTGTAGCCAGGTGAAGATGGCACATTTTGTTACCGCCGGGGGTATCACCCCACGTAATAACGCCACAAGGGGTATAAGCAATGGCGTAGCGAGGTCGGGTGTCACCCGGTGCGCACTTAATGGTGTCCCCCCCCCCCCCCAGAGGCGTATAGCGACCCTTCCCGGGGACAAACTTTCAAATTTTCGATTTGCACCCCCTCCCTCAAACTCTAAATTTGCACCCCCCCCCCCCTCAAACTTTCGATTTGCACCCCCCCCCCCTCAAGTTTTTCTCTATATTTTTTGCTATTTTTTGCCTTGGTGTTACCCCCCCCCCCCCCCCCTAAATGGTGTCACCCGGTGCGGTCCGCACCCCCCCTCGCTACGCCTCTGGGTATAAGTATAAAGAAGTTGCTTACGTGATGCGTGTGAGTGGTGAGTGGAGAGGAGTGGACCAGAGGGTAGTTGTGTGTGTACTCACGAGGCGAGTATAAAGAAGTTGCTTACGTGAGGCGTGTGAGTGGTGAGTGGAGAGGAGTGGACCAGAGGGTAGTTGTGTGTGTACTCACGAGGCGAGTATAAAGAAGTTGCTTACGTGAGGCGTTTGAGTGGTGAGTGGAGAGTAGTGGACCAGAGGGTAGTTGTGTGTGTACTCACGAGGCGAGTATAAAGAAGTTGCTTACGTGAGGCGTGTGAGTGGTGAGTGGAGAGGAGTGGACCAGAGGGTAGTTGTGTGTGTACTCACGAGGCGAGTATAAAGAAGTTGCTTACGTGAGGCGTGTGAGTGGTGAGTGGAGAGTAGTGGACCAGAGGGTAGTTGTGTGTGTACTCACGAGGCGAGTATAAAGAAGTTGCTTACGTGAGGCGTGTGAGTGGTGAGTGGAGAGGAGTGGACCAGAGGGTAGTTGTGTGTGTACTCACGAGGCGAGTATAAAGAAGTTGCTTACGTGAGGCGTGTGAGTGGTGAGTGGAGAGTAGTGGACCAGAGAGTAGTTGTGTGTGTACTCACGAGGCGAGTATAAAGAAGTTGCTTACGTAAGGCGTGTGAGTGGTGAGTGGAGAGGAGTGGACCAGAGAGTAGTTGTGTGTGTACTCACGAGGCGAGGTAGGCGTAGATGTCCTCCAGCTTATAGACAGTACTCAGCCTGTTACTTCTCCATTTAACCTTGACTGCGCTCAGTGGGATGTAGTTCTTTAGGGGGCGGATGTTCTTGAAGATCTTCATGGGCGGGATGCTGGGGAATCGGGAGGTAAGATTTGTAAGATGTTGGGGAATAGGGAGTTAACTTTGTAAGATGCTGGGGAATCGGGAGGTAAGATTTGTAAGATGTTGGGGAATAGGGAGTTAACTTTGTAAGATGCTGGGGAATCGGGAGGTAAGATTTGTAAGATGTTGGGGAATAGGGAGTTAACTTTGTAAGATGCTGGGGAATCGGGAGGTAAGCTTTGTAAGATGTTGGGGAATAGGGAGTTAACGTTGTAAGATGTTGGGGAATCGGAGGTTAAGCTTTGTAAGATGTTGGGGAATAACGGGTAAGATTTGTAAGATGTTGGGGAATCGGGAGTTAACTTTGTAAGATGTTGGGGAATAGGGAGTTAACTTTGTAAGATGTTGGGGAATAGGTAGTTAACTTTGTAAGATGTTGGGGAATAAAGTCTAAGCTTTATAGCATTGTAGGGAATCGGGCGATAAGCTTTGTAAGATGTTGGGGAATAAGGTGTAAGCTTTGTAAGATGTTAAGGAATAAAGTGTAAGCTTTGTAAGATATTAAGGAATAAGGTGTAATCTTTGTAAGATGTTAAGGAATAAGGTGTAAGCTTTGTAAGATGTTAAGGAATAAGGTGTAATCTTTGTAAGATGTTAAGGAATAAGGTGTAAGCTTTGTAAGATATTAAGGAATAAGGTGTAATCTTTGTAAGATGTTAAGGAATAAGGTGTAAGCTTTGTAAGATATTAAGGAATAAGGTGTAATCTTTGTAAGATGTTAAGGAATAAGGTGTAAGCTTTGTAAGTTGTTAAGGAATAAGGTGTAATCTTTGTAAGATGTTAAGGAATAAGGTGTAAGCTTTGTAAGATGTCGGGAAATAAGGTGTAATCTTTGTAATAAGTTAAGGAATAAGGTGTAAGCTTTGTAATATGTCGGGAAATAAGGTGTAATCTTTGTAATAAGTTAAGGAATAAGGTGTAAGCTTTGTAAGATGTTGGGAATGAGGTGTAATCTTTGTAATATGTTAAGGAATAAGGTGTAAGCTTTGTAAGATTTTATGGAATAAGGTGTAAGCTTTGTAAGATGTTGGGGAATAAGGTGTAAGCTTTGTAAGATGTTGGGGAATAAGGTGTAATCTTTGTAAGGTGTTAAGGAATAAGGTGTAATCTTTGTAAGATGTTAAGGAATAAGGTGTAAGCTTTGTAAGATGTTGGGGAATAAGGTGTAAGCTTTGTAAGATGTTAAGGAATAAGGTGTAAGCTTTGTAAGATGTTGGGGAATAAGGTGTAAGCTTTGTAAGATGTTAAGGAATAAGGTGTAATCTTTGTAAGATGTTAAGGAATAAGGTGTAAGCTTTGTAAGATATTAAGGAATAAGGTGAAATCTTTGTAAGATATTAAGGAATAAGGTGTAAGCTTTGTAAGATGTTGGAGGATTAGGTGTAATCTCTGTAAGATGTTTAGGAATAAGGTGTAAGCTTTGTAAGATGTTGGGGAATAAGGTGTAATCTTTGTAAGATGTTAAGGAATAAGGTGTAAGCTTTGTAAGATATTAAGGAATAAGGTGAAATCTTTGTAAGATGTTAAGGAATAAGGTGTAAGCTTTGTAAGATATTAAGGAATAAGGTGAAATCTTTGTAAGATGTTAAGGAATAAGGTGTAATCTTTGTAAGATGTTAAGGAATAAGGTGTAAGCTTTGTAAGATATTAAGGAATAAGGTGTAATCTTTGTAAAATGTTGGGGACAAGGTGTAAGCTTATGGGAAGTTAGGTATAAGTTTGCAATGTTCTGGGGAATTTTATGTAAGCTTTGTAAGATGGCTGGGAATTAGGTGTTGTAGCCTTAAGAGATGTATGGGGGGGGGGGGGGAGGGCTACATGTGTTGATTTACATTGTATTACTCTGTAATACGGGAGTTGTCGTATATCTGGTCTCTTTCCCTTGGCCAAAGTATGCGTTAAACTACTACACTATGTTTAGAAATGGTGTGTAGGTCATGATTACATAAAGGGGGCCAGCTGCAGTTCAAGTCACTCGAGTAATCACAGCAACAATGACTAATTAAATTAATTAGTAGAGTCGTTGAAAATTAAAAACACTTACTTTATTTTACAGTCTAGCTGTTTCATACTTTTCAAATTTTTACTGGGTTGATACGCTTGAATAACTAAATATCTCTACTTTAGTCATTTCAATAAAGTGGGGTCGGAGGGTTGGGTTACCCCACCCCACCTATACTAAGGGCTACTCACACCTCTCCTGTGATGATTACATGCTGTCTGGGCTGGGGTTGTTTGTAGATCGGCAAGTGGTAGTGACGGTAGTAGTTGGGGGGCCCTGTGTGAAGGTAACAAACATGGCAAATGGTAATGGCGGTAGTAGTTGGGGGGGGGGGCTGTGTGGACACATCAACAAGCAGGTAGAGAGACATAGATTACGTATAGATAGATAGATGATGTTATCAAATTCTGTGTTAGGAATAACATTCACATTTTGTTTTTCTGAGTAGCAGGAATAATTTCCACACGATTTCTCTGTGTATTAGTCGTGTTCACGCATTTTGTTCTGAGTAACAGGAATACTTTTTGCACGTTTTCTCTGTGTGTGAGGAATCTTGTTCATGCGTTTTGTTCTGAGTAGGATGAATAACTTTTACAGGTTTTTAAGTGTGTTAAAAATTGCACTCATGTTTTTATGTGTGATAGAAATAATGTTCACATGTTTTTTATGTGCTTTATGAATAATGGTTCACACATTTTTATTCCCACCGTGTGTTATGAACAATGTTCATATGAATTTCTATGAGGTAGAGACAATGTTCACATGTACATTTTTTCGTGTGTTAGGACTAATGTCCATGTTTTGAGTGTGTGTGTGTGTGTTTGTGTGTGTGTGTGTTAAAATGGTGACTGGAAACATGCGCAACGGAAAACTGCGCACACAAATGTGCGCATGGGAAATTTACATTTTTGTAAATCAAGCATCCGTAGGATAGGTCACATGCACATTATCATATCACATGCACATTTTATCATAATAAAACAATTTTACACAGATTATTACAAAATCAAAGTGTATTGGTATAATTAGCTTTTTTTGCGCACTGTGCTGTTTTAGCTGTTTTCCGTTGCGCAGTTTTCAGTTTTTCGCATTTTCCCGGGAGCCATTAAAATAATGTTCATATATAATTCTCTTCTGGGAGACGTTAGAAAGCAAGCTGCAAGCGCGCCTTGCAGTCCCCTCTCTTTCTCTCTATCGCTACCACCCCCCACCCCCCTCACATGGTCTGGTGAGCTGTGGTTTACGCTAAATGTTTACATTTTACACTCGTAGAGCCGGGTTTGGTGACGGCTATTAGGGGCAGATAATTTAGTTTGAAACGATTTTAACTTTAAACTTAGAGGAGGTAACTATGAGGAGGCTGCTTTCACGGGGGTGGGGGGCGGGATGGGGGGAGGGAAGGGGGGTTTAGTGTTTTAAAGCAAATATTTTCAGTGGCAGCATTGATACTGTCGAATTCACAAATTATGAATTACTGAAAAGTAGAAAAAACAACAGCTAAATAGCAGCGTATGATACACCGCGGGTCGACTCGTATTTCTTATTTGTGTTAGGAATACTATTCAAAGGTTTTTGTGTTATGAATAACGTTCACGTATTTTTTCTGTCTGGAAGGAATAACGAGATACAGCGTCTAACGCGACAGTGAGGTGCGCTAAAAATAATTAATGCGCTATAATAAAAAATAAAAATAAAATAAGACTCACTTTGGGACTGAGCTGAATATAAATATCCCACATATTCGTGTCGCGGAGGAACTTTCTGAAATATAAGATCTCAGTGTTACACAGCAATCAAATGTTTACAAACATCAACTTTCAATATTGCACAATAATCAAGTTTCTTTTATAATCTGGTCAGAAATCTCCAAAAATATACAGGAAGATGAATATTTTCAACTCTTGTAGAACTATTTTTCAAGTAATAAACACTTGAGCGATGGGGTTATTTTTACAAGCTTTAATTACACTCACTTCCTCTGTCTGTCTGTCTGTCTGTCTAGATAAAAACACCGGAGCGAAAATTCGGACACTTCTAACTGACAGATACGGTTCGTAATTGGTACGTCAAGACATGAAGACAATGCATTATGACATTAAATTTGACTTAATTGGATGCCTAATTAATTCTTTATGAATTGATTATTAATTTATTTTCCACGTTAGTATGATAAAATATTGACATACAACACTGACGTATCGTACGCTGTAGCTAAATGAGCCACGCTATGATAAACATTTGGTCGTTAGACCACATACTTCCATATATAAGATGTAGCACGTACAAAACAACAGAACACATCAGACCAGTACTACATCTAAGAAAGTACCCATCGTAGGAGTACACCATTATAAAAGGCGTCATGTAATTTTAGCACCTTCTCTCTCGACCTAGAAGACGTAAAAAAAATCAATAGATTCCCCACTCCCAAAGCACCGTACATGACGTTCCATCCCTCCCCCTTAATATAACTATATATGATTCTATCAATAATTAGTTTCCACGTCAACTTTAATTTTAAAAATACTTAATATTTGTTACGTCATATACTTTAACACACTCCCCCCCCCCCCCCCCCCCCACACACCATTCCATAGTATCTCTATACTCTGATCCCCGACCCCCTTAGAAGTGTATGACGCCATTGATTTTGGGGAAGGGGGGACGACACCTAACCAGCCCAGGACACCCCGGTACCTGCATGGCCTTGATGATAGCGCGCTCGTCCACCGGTCTAGCATGAAACGGACCGTTAGGGTTGTCGGGCTTTTTCATCTTGGCTTTAACGGACTCCGGTGTGCGGACGATCTTGATTTTGACTTCTGAGGATACAAATTTTTAATAAAGGGGTAGGCTTAGGGATAACTTCTTAATTAATAGCCTTAATTATTTATTTGTGTGTATCTTAGGGTACTTAAAGGAAAATATTTAAATGCATCAGGGACTCTTCTGAAAGTATGGTTATCATAGCAACTGTGGCCTTGTTTAAAAAAAACAACTTTTCTGGAGGTCTAAAGGTTGGAAATTAACATTTATATTGATAATTTAATCATTGATCCTCATTTTACTAACTTATATCAGCAGGCCAGTTTTTGTAAAAGAAAACACGACCAAATATTAGGACCTTTTGAAATTTACAAGATTGTTATAAAATAGAAACGAGCGAAGTTTGAACTTGATGAATAGTTCACACATAAGCAGATTCTATAATTTTGGTCCAAGTAAGCCACACTTCACAAGTCACAATATAACACCACTGTTGTCACTACTACCTCACCACTACCTCACCACTACCTCACCTGTCACCACTACCTCACCGCTACCTCACCTGTCACCAATACCTCACCACTACCTCACCTGTCACCATTAGCTCACCACTACCTCACTTGTCACCACTACCTCACCACTACCTCACCTGTCACCACCACCTCACCACTACCTCACGTGTCACCGCTACCTCACCTGTCACCACCACCTCACCACTACCTCACGTGTCACCGCTACCTCACCTGTCACCACTACCTCACCACTACCTCACGTGTCACCGCTACCTCTCCTGTCACCACTACCTCACCACTACCTCACCTGTCACCGATACCTCACCTGTCACCACTACCTCACCTATCACGCCACCCCACCTGATACATTCACCCCATGACTCACCCTTCTCCTTCAGCTTGACACTGTCCTTGACACTTGGTGCCTTCTGTGGTTCACTGGGCGTGGACTCCACATCTCCAGAGATCTGCTCCACGGATTTCTCTGAAGGCTTGGTGGAGACAACGGTGGTGCCACGTTCAGCTTCGTCCTGGTCAGGTTGGTCGGTCTCTCCCGTCGGGTAACTCTGTTGGGACTGGTAGTCTTCTAGAACATCACGGCATTACATGATTAGTGAACTGTGTAACTGTTGAGAGTGGTAGTTCTCTAGAGCAACACGTCATTACATGATTAGTCAACTGTGTTTCCCAGGGTAATGCCGGAACTTTATAGATAACTAAAAGCTTAGAGTAAAAGTAGTTTAAAATACCACTATGATGATTTAGTTAATTAGTACTCGTTTATCATTCTTAATTAAGGACGGCGTTGTCGAGCGGTAGAGCATAAGACTGCTGACCCGAAAGTTCGACTCTCGAGTTTTAGTACAGCTTCCATGAGTCCACCCAACTCTGATGGGTACCTAACTCACGTTAGGGAAAGTAAAGGCGGCTGGGCATAGTGCTGACCACACTATCCTCTCATGACCACACTATCCCATCATGACCACACTATCCCATCTTGACCACACTATCCCATCATATCCCATTCTGACCACACTATCCCATCATATCCCATTCTGACCACACTATCCCATCATGACCACACTATCCCATCATATCCCATTCTGACCACACTATCCCATCATATCCCATTCTGACCACACTATCCCATTCTGACCACACTATCCCATCATGACCACACTATCCCATCTTGACCACTCTATCCCATCATATCCCATTCTGACCACACTATCCCATCATATCCCATTCTGACCACACTATCCCATTCTGACCACACTATCCCATCATGACCACACTATCCCATCATGACAACACTATACCATCATATCCCATTCTGACCACACTATCCCATCATATCCCATTCTGACCACACTATCCCATTCTGACCACACTATCCCATCATGACCACACTATCCCATCTTGACCACTCTATCCCATCATATCCCATTCTGACCACACTATCCCATCATATCCCATTCTGACCACACTATCCCATTCTGACCACACTATCCCATCATGACCACACTATCCCATCATGACCACACTATCCCATTCTGACCACACTATCCCATCATATCCCATTCTGACCACACTATCCCATCATATCCCATCATATCCCATTCTGACCACACTATCCCATCATATCCCATCATGACCACACTATCCCATCATATCCCATCATGACCACACTATCCCATCATATCCCATCATGACCACACTATCCCATCATGACCACACTATCCCATCATGACCACACTATCCCATCATGACCACACTATCCCATCATATCCCATCATGACCACACTATCCCATCATATCCCATCATGACCACACTATCCCATCATATCCCATCATGACCACACTATCCCATCATATCCCATCATGACCACACTATCCCATCATATCCCATCATGACCACACTATCCCATCATATCCCATCATGACCACACTATACCATCATGACCACACTATCCCATCATATCCCATTCTGACCACACTATCCCATCATGACCACACTATCCCATCATATCCCATCATGACCACACTATACCATCATGACCACACTATCCCATCATATCCCATTCTGACCACACTATACCATCATGACCACACTATACCATCATGACCACACTATACCATCATGACCACACTATACCATCATGACCACACTATACCATCATGACCACACTATCCCATCATATCCCATCATGACCACACTATCCCATCATATCCCATCATGACCACACTATCCCATCATATCCCATCATGACCACACTATCCCATCATATCCCATCATGACCACACTATCCCATCATATCCCATCATGACCACCCTATCCCATCATGACCACACTATCCCATCATGACCCCACTATCCCATCATATCCCATCATGACCACACTATCCCATCATATCCCATCATATCCCATTCTGACCACACTATCCCATTCTGACCACACTATCCCATCATGACCACACTATCCCATCTTGACCACTCTATCCCATCATATCCCATTCTGACCACACTATCCCATCATATCCCATTCTGACCACACTATCCCATTCTGACCACACTATCCCATCATATCCCATCATGACCACACTATCCCATCATATCCCATCATATCCCATTCTGACCACACTATCCCATTCTGACCACACTATCCCATCATGACCACACTATCCCATCTTGACCACTCTATCCCATCATATCCCATTCTGACCACACTATCCCATCATATCCCATTCTGACCACACTATCCCATCATATCCCATCATATCCCATTCTGACCACACTATCCCATCATATCCCATCATGACCACACTATCCCATCATATCCCATCATGACCACACTATCCCATCATATCCCATCATGACCACACTATACCATCATGACCACACTATCCCATCATATCCCATTCTGACCACACTATCCCATCATGACCACACTATCCCATCATATCCCATCATGACCACACTATACCATCATGACCACACTATCCCATCATATCCCATTCTGACCACACTATACCATCATGACCACACTATACCATCATGACCACACTATACCATCATGACCACACTATACCATCATGACCACACTATACCATCATGACCACACTATCCCATCATATCCCATCATGACCACACTATCCCATCATATCCCATCATGACCACACTATCCCATCATATCCCATCATGACCACACTATCCCATCATATCCCATCATGACCACACTATCCCATCATATCCCATCATGACCACCCTATCCCATCATGACCACACTATCCAATCATGACCCCACTATCCCATCATATCCCATCATGACCACACTATCCCATTATATCCCATCATATCCCATTCTGACCACACTATCCCATCATATCCCATCATATCCCATTCTGACCACACTATCCCATCATATCCCATCATGACCACACTATCCCATCATATCCCATCATGACCACACTATCCCATCATGACAACACTATACCATCATGACCACACTATCCCATCATATCCCATCCTGACCACACTATCCCATCATATCCCATCATGACCACACTATCCCATCATATCCCATCATGACCACACTATCCCATCATATCCCATCATGACCACACTATCCCATCATGACCACCCTATACCATCATGACCACACTATCCCATCATGACCACACTATCCCATCATATCCCATCATGACCACACTATCCCATCATATCCCATCATGACCACACTATCCCATCATATCCCATCATGACCACACTATCCCATCATATCCCATCATGACCACACTATCCCATCATATCCCATCATGACCACACTATCCCATCATATCCCATCATGACCACACTATCCCATCATGACCACACTATCCCATCATGACCACACTATCCCATCATATCCCATCATGACCACACTATCCCATCATGACCACACTATCCCATCATGACCACACTATCCCATCATGACCACCCTATACCATCATGACCACACTATCCCATCATGACCACACTATCCCATCATGACCACACTATCCCATCATATCCCACCATGACCACACTATCCCATCATATCCCATCATGACCACACTATACCATCATATCCCATCATGACCACACTATCCCATCATATCCCATCATGACCACACTATCCCATCATATCCCATCATGACCACACTATACCATCATGACCACACTATCCCATCATGACCACACTATCCCATCACCAAATGTTGCCAAATGTGTATGCATCAAGTATCAAAGTCGGAACTCACAACTTCTACTAGACTGAGAAGTCAATTTTCTCCAGTTTGAGATTCAAGCATCTCTTCAAACACAAGCCCTGATGTAAGTTTCCAGAATTCTCAAACTGCTACTCACTACCCTTACCTATTGTAGCATCGGGCTCATGGTCGGGCTCAGGCTCGGGCTCTTGCTCGCCCTCACTGACGATCAGCTGAGCATTGGATATGACCCTCTCCACCAGTTCCTTGACGGATGACACTTTTTCCGATCCGACGCCTGTTGGTACAAGAGACCTCTCATCAAAACTTCAATTACACTCATACAGGGAAGTGGGAGACATTATACATACTTTTATACATATCTAATATATAAAGCTCAGTTCTGTATGTAATGCATTTGTATATCGTTGGAATTGTACGAATTTAAGTGTTAAAAAATTATCGTGCGCATTTGTCTAAATTTATGAGCTAAAAAATTACTATTGAAAGTGTTGGGAAATAATTTTCATTTTTCAAATTACAGTAATAATTGTCGGCATGTTCATTATACACAAGTTTTAAAAAAAATATCATCTTTTACAAAAATTCTAATTATGTCTTTATTTAGTCCTATAGCACTTACTTCCCTTTGATAAATTAGGAAAAACACAATTACTTCCCTTTATAAACCCATTGCATTCCGTGAAAATAATTTACTTTTTAATTACTTTGTTTTGGTGTTGGGAAAAAAAATAATTACATAATTAGCGGGGATTGATCAAGTGCAAATGTTGTAGGTATTTTACGGATAAGCTTGGAGTATTAAAATTGTTCATCAAATTGAAACAGGCGCGTTCGTTTAAGTGAGTGCAAAAGACTATGAATAAGTTGGGGTACTATAGTCGTTCATTAAGCTAAAACAGGTGATTCCGCCCCGGGCGTTTATGTTCGCGTTAGTGTTTTCTTTGTGTTTAGGTGGGTTTGCGTTAGTGGTTGCGTTTTGATTTGGTTCGTTTTTGTTCTTTCTTTTTTCGTTTTTGTTTGTGTTTTTTTTTTTTGGGTTTGTATTTGTGTTTTTGGTTGGTTTTGCGTTTGAATTTGGTTTGTTTTCGTTTGCTTTTTCGTTGTTTTTTTTTTTTTTTTGTTGGTATTGGTGTTTGTGGTTGGGTTTGTTGTTAGGTTTTTGTTTCCGTTTGCTTTTTTGTTTGTTTTTTCTTTGTGTTTGTATTGGTGTTTGTGGTTGTGGTTGGGTTTGTTGTTAGGTTTTTGTTTTCGTTTGTATTTGTAATTGTGTTAGCGTTATGTTTGCGTTTTGTTGTTTTGGTTTTGGTTGGTTGTGGTTTGGGTGGGCAATGCCGGGTTTATGATGATTACTAAACACACAGGTAATGGTCTTTAACAGGAAGGTTTTTCACAGAAGCCAGAGCAGGGCCTGGCCGGGACGGCTAGTAATATTATATATATATATATATATATGTATATACTTGGAAACGAGGCACCACAATGGCGGCAGCACACATAACAACTCAACTAACTTGGAAACGAGGCACCACAATGGCGGCAGCACACATAACAACTCAACTAACTTGGAAACGAGGCACCACAATGGCGGCAGCACACATAACAACTCAACTAACTTGGAAACGAGGCACCACAATGGCGGCAGCACACATAACAACTCAACTAACTTGGAAACGAGGCACCACAATGGCGGCACCACAATAGCGGCAGCACACATAACAACTCAACTAACTTGCATCTTCCTCCGCCGTGTTGTCCGCGCTGTTCTCCGACTCCTTGACGATGAGCTGGGCGTTCGAGATGACCTGCTCCACCACTTCCTTAGCCGAGGCCACACGGGCCAACTGCTCCTCGGGCTCATCCTCGTTGTGATCAGAGCCGTCATTGCTCATTTTTCTTTAGCCTAGTCAGGAGACACATTACTTTTTTAAAAAAATATATACAACGTGATGAATTCTTGACTTAGGTTGGGGAATGTAAAGCAAGGCGGCTGGGAACACCATCCCTTCATATGCCGAGGTCAAGTAACAAATGAACTCTACTTTATGTGCCTAAAGGATTACTAGGTCTAAAGCGGAACTTAACTAGAGTGACCCAACATTTTGTCATCCCCTGTTCATTGCCACGTCAGCTTAAACTAAAACACATGTGTTAGATGCAGTGTTTCTTCCAGGCATTTTTTGATCCCACCCCCTTCACAAAAGAGAGTCTACAGCCCCCATGAACAAAATGGAATTTATATAGAAAATATACTTTTAACAGTGTCCGCCCCCCCCCCCCCCGAACATTCCCTCCCCCTCCCCACGAACATTTCAATTGCCCCCCCCCCCCCGAAAGTCTCAAGTGCCCCCCCCCCCCCCCGAGGGAATAAAGTATGGAAGAAACACTGGTTGGATAACTTGTACTAGCCATGTCCGATAATTGACTCTTCCAGAAATAGGTTTTGCCATGCAAGTTTTTCATATGACAAGTCCCGTGAGTTTTTGCGAGATCACCGATAAAGTAATGCAATATTGTATTAGGACAGTAAAACGCAGAGAACTGTTTAAAAATCTGTTTAACCTGTGAAATTCACTTGTACCATACAAACATTCACTTGTACCATGCAAGCATCCATTTGCACTATAACAAACACTCATGTGCACTATGTTGAAATTCTGTGCTACCTCTTTTAATCCTGTGTCACCATCACCTAATGAGCCCATTAGACCGTAAGTAAAGACCCCTTAAACTAACCTGAAATCCTATGGTTGACATTGACAATAACTTTGTATTTCTCTAACCACACGATCAAGTAAAAATGTCTAAAAAACCCTTGATTGAGAACATATTGCAGGGAACTTTACCCTGTCATTTTGTCAATACTGCTGTTATTTTACCTTTATTTTGGGTTGATTTCTCGCAACTAAAAACCCATGGTTTAGAGCGGCCAGAGTTTCTTTCAGGCATTCTCTTCGGTGATCTCTCTTCCCCCCTTCCCCACCAAAATGAAAAAAAAAGCTATAAAGAAAATATATACTTACTTTAAACAGCGTCGTCACCTCGATGAAGGCGTATTAGCCCCCCCCCCCCCCACCCCTCACGAGACAAAATGTATGAAAGAAACTCTGATCGGTTACCGTGTGGACATTAAATATTGGGACAACGTTTGAGAGCGAATTGATTTAGATGACTCAATGACACAGTGTCTTACCAGCAGCGTTATTCTATTCGGAGTCCTTTTCTGCCCGGAGCCAATCTTCTATCCGGAATCCTTATCTTTATGAAGCCGATCTTCTATCCGGAGTCCTTGTCTAAACGGAGCCAATCTTCTATCAAGAGTCCTCGCCTACACGGAGTCAATCGTCTATCAGGAGACCTCGTCTAAACGGAGTCAATCTTCTATCAGGAGTCCTCGTCTATTCGGAGCGTGCTCGGTGCCGACTGTCCTGGTACACTTGTAGACCACGTGACCTACTCCACCTACACCTTCCTTACAGTCCACATGTCCTGATACATTGTGAAACATTACGTCAGGTATTTAACGTAATCAAACAACACAGATATACCTACTCCACCTACACCTTCCTTACTGTCAACATTTACTGGCACATTGTGAAACATTACGTCAGGTATTTACCGTACCCACATAGATGCATTTATAGTTTCACAAGCTTGAAGCAAATTTATTACAGCTTAAAAAATGGTGGCTTTGAAAGATAATTGCAATGATCTGGAGCGGCCGGTATAAAAGAAAACCCAATTCTGTGTAATATACTTTTTTAAAAATAAAAGTTATCTAAATACGCGGCTCCATGACAAACTATCTGAGACAAAATATCTCACACCGATAGTACTGTAAAACATATTTTATTTGGCGTGATCTTTAAATAATTCATAGCATTCACACATTTGTATCGATTGATTGTAGTAGCATGCTAAATACTGTTTCGCTAATAATTTCTATTGCTAATAATTTGTTTTTGTGTGTATGCTAATTATTGTTGCTAATCAATTTTCACTAATCATTGTTCTAGTCTTTTTTTTTTACTAATTTATTGATTATTTTTATCTATATCTAGAGATCTACATCTAGATCTAATTGGGGCAAATTTTCTGCAAGTTTTTACTTCTGTGCATCTTTAAAAAACATACATTTCTGCATTTTACTTTTAAAAATCTATAATTAGATCTACAAATTGCTGCTAATGTTCTGCACGTTGTTTTATTCATGTTTCCTTAGGTCAATTAAACTTAAAACAATAATTAGAACACTCGACTTTACTTGTATTTCACCGGTCGAATAAATAATGGTTTACAGTAACCAGTAGCGTCGCGAGGTTGGGCGTCACCCGGTGCGGGAACTCATGGTGTCAACCCCCCCCCCCGAATATATATATATATATATATATATATATATATATATATATATATATATATATATATATATATATATATATATATATATATATATATATATATATATATATATATATATAAAGTTCAACATAGGCATATATACTATATGTAGAGTTGCAATTGACACCCCCTTCCCATTTAGCCTAATGGCATTAATGTGTGCGAAGAATCCACCAATTAATTCATGTGGAAAAAGCATCGTTTTTAATCACCCACTCTACTGTCGTTGATTGACTTATCTGTTATTCAAAATACTCAACAAGCCTTTATTCCTCTCTAAATTTTGCAGTTGGTGTCACCCTCCCGGGTGATAATTTTATACCGTGCACAATTAATAGTAAAGATGGGTAATTATTATTAATCATTAATTGAACTGGCAAAAACCATTTTTCTTCCATATATTTTGCAGTTTTTCGCCATGGAGTCAACCCCCTAAATGGTGTCACCCGGTGCGGTCCGCACCCCCCACCCCGCCTCGCGACGCCTCTGACAGTAACTAATGTTTACATGACATTTCCGGCTCCCCTTCACGTCCTAACCGGATGCGCCATCAACTGCGCAACCTTTAAAAACTCCAACTACTCACAAACTTCATGTAATACAAATGTTAAAATTAATCAGCAATGCGGTAATTAATAATTAGTATAAATACATAATTCTAATTAGAAACCAACTTGTTCTCGGACACAGGTCACCACCGCGTGCTGCCCACTACGGTCGTTTAGATATCTCGTGCCAATGTTGTTGCTGGTGTCGCTGATGTTGTTACTGACGGGGCCGTGTTGAGAACAGAGAATCAGACAGGTGTGGATTGGTGCGGCACTGGTGCTAAGCGGTGCGAAGTAATGGAAATTTTGGCAGTGTTAGTGGAATGCATTTTTTTCCCGTTTCAATGGTGCGTAGGTAAGGGTAGAAAAATTAAATGGTGTAGAGGTTTCAGTGTAAATGGTGTGTAAGTGTCAGTGTAAATGGTGTGTGTCAGTTTAAATAGTCTGTACGTGTGGATAGAAATAGTGTGTATTGGTCAGTAGAAATGGTTTGTGGGTGTCAGTTGGAATGTATTTAGGAGTCAGTAGAATGAATGTGAAGGAGTCAGTAGAATGAATGGGAAGGAGTCATTAGAATGAATGTGAAGGAGTCATTAGAATGAATGGGAAGGAGTCATCAGAATGAATGGGAAGGAGTCAGTAGAATGAATGTGAATTTGTTATTAAAATGATTGTGAAGAAGTCAGTAGAATGAATGTGAAGGAGTCATTAGAAATGATGTGTAGATATCCGTAGAACTGGTGAATCCCGATATTATATATAGAATATCATTTTTAAAATTTTATAAACGACAATTGTGCAAGGATATTTATCTAAACAAAATCGGTATGACGTGCTAATGATACATCATAAGTTAATAGTATATGTTTTATGTCGACGCCATTTTGGAAACTTTAATTGAAACAATTTCACGTGACAATAACAAATCAACAAAGATGTTTTAGTCAGACAAAAATCTTCTCAATGTGATGGCAATTTTTTTTATTCTTCAATGTTAGCTGTGAAATGTAATGATAAAACAAATATTATGATAACATAAATATTTTGATAGCTTAAATGTAATGATATCATAAATGTAATGATATAATAAATAACATGATATCACAAATGTAATGATATCACAAATGTAATGATATCACAAATGTTATGATATCATACATGTAATGATATCATACATGTAATGATGTCATAAATGTAATGATATCACACATATTATGATATCATAAGTGTAATTATATCATTAATGTAATAATACCAAATGTCTAAGGGTACCATAAATGTAATGATACCATACATGTGATTATATTATGAATGTGATGATAACATCTCTAGCAATCTTTGGTTGATGCTGTCTGTGGTAGATGGTGAGTACATGCTGTGCTCATGTTGATACCTGCATGTCTCTCACGTCAACCTTAGATCTGTGGATGGGCATGGCATCCAGCTGACTCCTCCCCCCCACCCCCACCCTCTGTCTCACCCATACACACATTGGTTGGCTGAAAAGGTCAGCTAACTACATACTCATATAACCGGCGGATCGATCTCCTTGACCAACATATACATACATATATATCAGAACACATGATAAAGCACTCACATAATCTGAACATACAGTCATCTCTCCCCCCCCTCCCGAACACACACACACACACTAACCCGATATGGCATCTAATCTACCTCCCCCTCACACATCATATACATATATGTCTGAACTGGTCATCTAAATTAAATAAACATATAACCTGAATCGACCGCCATATGCTCCCACATCTATCCCCCCTCTATATTCTCTGACTTGTTATTTGACCATATAAGTCTCATTACCCCCCCCCCCACCCCCCACCCCCCACACACACACTCACAGTGACATTAAGTCATCTTCTTACTCAGGGCAACCCCTCATCCCCATCTCCCTCACACATACATTTACTTGATACTTTGACTTGAGGACTTTGACTTTCAAAAAACTCCACCCCCCCCCCCTCCACCCCCACACACGTTCACACAACTGAACACAACTGGACAGTTCTGTTATCAACAAAACAAAATTCGCCACGTCACTTGAACTTTGAAGGCGAACATGAAGGCCAATGGTAAGAGAGAAAGAAAAAAACACGACCCCAAACATCAAAGATAAACACATGAACTACTGATAAGGCATGTCAATGATGTACCTACATACAGCATTCTTTGCCAACACAGACTGAATTAGGCAAATATAACATTCGATATCACATGAATATTAAAAATTGAACGCTCAATCCTAATATAATAATTTCACATAGACATTGTTTTGCAACGAATTGGTTGTGCTGATATATATATATATATATATATATATATATATATATATATATATATATATATATATATATATATATATATATATATATATATATAGTTATATAGATATATACATATACATATACATATACGTATTCTACATTGAATTGCTAATCAATCGTGTGCTTTAGACTAACTAGAAAAAGATGGCTTGCCAGCCAAATAAAACTAACTAATATCATGTTGCATATTATACCGTTCTAGTTATTAAAACCAGCAGTTTAAAATGTCGACTGTGTTCACCTTAATACGATGCGTTAGGGCATGTTCATTCAGCACAAGAAACACTTTCCGAAGGTCCAGTAACCACTTTCCGAAGGTCGAGTAACCACTTTCCGAAGGTCCAGCAACCATTTTCCGAAGGTCCAGTAATCACTTTCCGGTATTCCAGATTGCAAAGCAAATATTATGGGTATGCGCCGAAAAGTTGGGTGGGGGGATGTCGGGCATTGATATTTCCAAATTTTTTATGTGAAAGTGGTTAAAACTTCATAATAAACCCGTGATAATAATTTATTAGAAGCAATTTATCAATGTTTCCGTACCGACTTAATTTTACAAAAAAAAAAAAAAAAAAAAAAAAAAAAAAGAATGAAAAAAACCTACTAATAAATGCCAAATCTTATAATGACATTTTCAAAAAATATAAACAAATACAGATTTTACATGAACACCCCCCCTCCCCCACTATCCCCTGACCCTGCTACCCAAGCAAATCAATCCAACTACAAGTGCGTGTCCCTTGTGTGGTTTGAGTTGCTCACCAGTTTTTTCTTCTGATGTTGAAAGACAAGACTCGGGTCTAGCGTCCTCAAAGGTGGGGTGTGTAGAGGTGGGGACTGTACCGGTGGGGGGTGCAACGTTGGGGGGTGTAATGTAGGGGTGGATGCGTTCCCTGGGAGGGACGGGGTTAAGGAGTTAACACAATTGTGTTGTGGTTTTGTGTCATTCTGGTTGGGATTTGAACCTGCGTTGACCTCTGTATCTAAATAACCATGAGGGTGAGGTTTGCAGTTCAACATGTACTTGGGTTGTGTTGAAGAAAATCCTATTAGTTTTTCAGTGTTTGTATGTAGATGTTCATTATTTCCTTGACAAATTATAAGATTCGCGTTGGAATTTATAGTAGGAGTTATCGTAGACTTCCGCTGTTTGTCCGAGTTTATGTGACTCGTATTATGGTGAGTGTTGTGTTGAAAGGTTCTCTGGAGACCATGCGAGAGGTAAAAGTCATTTTTAAACTCCGAGTAATGATTGGAATGCTGGTGTTTGGTATGGACTGAGTTAGGGATTGAAAGAAAGTTACCCGATATTGGTAAGCAGTTTGAGTTATGGTTTAATCTAGGGTTGAACCCGCGGGTTGTCGGATCTAGGTTGTCTTTGGCGTAGGCTCTGTTGTGGTACGACGAGGGTTGGTCGGCATACGGGTTGTTCCGGCTACGGAAAGTGGAGATATCTTCTTCCTCGAACGGGTACGCTTCTTCTTCGGACACGGCGAAACCGGAGGCGTCGAGGATAGTGTGGTGGTAGTAGTTGTGTCCCTTGCTGCCGTAGCCGAAGCCGTCGTCGTTGGGGTCGGAGAGGATGTAGGGCTGGGAGACGTCGGCGTCGTCGTAGAACGGGGAGCTAACCTCCCCGCGGTCGTGGGTGAGGTGGTGGTGGTCCGGTGGCTTGTAGCATTCGTGCATGTCGTCTACGGGAATCCCGTCGTACCGGCGCTTTTTCTGTTTGGGTTTGAAGAAGAGCGGGGACGGGGAGGTGAAGGGCGTGGTTAAGTTGGTGTACAGAACGTTGGGGTAGGTCGGGTGTACAGGGGGCGTGGCGCGGTACCCGTGATGGCTCGGGGAGTAGCGGCGTTGGGAAAAATTACTCCCCGGGGGGTACCCGGGCTTGTAAACTTGCTGGCAGTATAAATCGTCTTCCTCGTCACCGTACCAATTTTTTTCGTGGTTCATTGTTTGGGTAGCGTTACCATGGTGATCTTCGTAATGAGTCTCGTTTTCATACGCGTTGGACTTCTGATCGTTGGTAACGATGCAGTGGGCGTTGATGGCGACAGCGTTTCGCTCAGAAATCTGCGGCCATGTCTGGGAGCTTGTGATGGTCTTCGTGGCTCGGCTGTCGGCGGCGTAAGATCTGTTTGTCAGGGAAGATAACGCTGCGCCGCTGGTCGGGATGGGAGATGACCGGGAAACGCTTGCCGCGTTGTTGTAATATTCTTGGTACTCTCCCCTGGGGTTTTCGTGAATGTCGAACATTATGACTGGGTTGTTGTTGAAGAAAGACTTTTTGATAATTTCAGACGTTGTCTCATGTTTGCCGATACCTGAAATATGAAAAAAAAAGGAATTTAATATTTCGATAGATAATGTTGCGTTTATTTTACTTGAACATAATTACAGTAATGCCCTACTTGACATTTAAAATAGTAGATTTTAATTAAAAAGGAATTATTTTTATTTCTATTTTTAATTAATTAATATTATAATTAATGTTTTAAATTGAAAATAACTATTCCGCCATATGTAAGAAACATGAATTAAATGTAACGATGAAAAATATATTATTTATACAAAAGAAAATAATTAAACCGAATGGTCTGCAATTATGTTTTATTATGTAAAATTAAGTAGTTTACTTATAATTGGCTAAATTAGAGTCAGAATATTCAAAACACATGTAACAAAACATCAGGTTTTGCTTTTGGTTTCTATTTACTTAATATAATGCGATATGAATAAGTAATAATTATTTTAAAATATAATTTGAGTAATTAAAAGCCGAGTTATTTCCCTTGAATACGCACAGCAGATACACTGATGTAAACAGTAGATTTCGTGCGTTGTTGAGGAATAGTTAAATGTTGATGCGCAGTGTTGGTTTAATGTTGTTACATCCGTTGTTTTGCGCGTG